TTAAACTCTAATTAAGAATGTGTTTTATTTTTATGACATTTTCAAGGTACAATTTTTTTGTCATCCCATTATATTGAGATCAGGATTTCTTAAGTTTGATCAATTTTATTATCTTAAGATCACAAAACATAGTTTGTTTTGTTAACAGTTCAATTAGGTCATTTTCTCAAAGCAAGGTCAAGTTATAAGCTTTATACTTTTCACCTTTTTATTATATCATCTCAATTTAAAGAGATGTGCAACTCTTGGTTCCAAATATAGTTTTACTATTGTATCATCTTGATACAAAAATGTAAGATTTGTCTTTGTTACCACAACGATTTCATCCTCATGGTGATCCTATATTCCCAGTCTCGTTATTTCAAGATAATATGATGACATTACAGTTACGTAATGATAATATTTTGATTAGGTCATCATCTTGAGATGGAATGAGTTGTCACAAATGCCATATTTGCAGTAATGCAATATTTATCTCATGTTACTGGGTTTTTTTTTACTGAGAGAAAAGTATTAAAGATAACTTTGCTATGATATTAATTGGATGAGTTAATTTTCCACAAATACAATCTCTCTCTCCTCATTTCTAAACCTGATGTGAATACAGTTTCATCGTGTCATTTTCCTAAGACAGCAGGGACTCAAGCTCATTTTGTCAGAATTAATTTCAATATTTCATCTTGATTTAGAGAGATATATTGAACCATTTGATGAAAATGTAATGATAACAGTTTGGTTCGTCCATTATCACAAGATAATAAACTAATAAAGTACATTTGGTTTCATCATATCACTGAACTCTATGGAGGACATGGTTGATTAAAGACGTCCAATGAATTTTCTAATAATGAAGATTTGATTATGTTATTTTAAGATGACCAACCTAGAAAAAGCGACATAAATGTATCACAGAAGGAAGTAAAAATGTACTCTATTACACTTTGAGAAGTTTGGAAAAATAAACTGTTTTTGTAATTTTCCATTTTATACTAAAACTAGACTTTGAAAACATAAAAACAAGTTTCATTCTCCTTCTCATACTTTGAGTTTGTGCAGGAATCCTGGTAATGTGCATCCGCCGGCTCCCAGCCTATCAGAGCGAGAACAAAGTGCTGAGACATTAATAAGTAGTGTAAGCAGGACATTAACACCGGATCAATCATTTCTAATGTGGCGCGAGCCACACAGAAACAGAGTATAAATGCAGCCATTAGCTGCTAGCAGGAAACTGTAATTACACAAGATGATAGTTTTACACCATCCGAGTCATCAGGAAATCTATTGGTGGGGGTTATTGGATCCACCCAGACTGATATTACAGAGGTTGTGACACACCACACACTGTGCCTCTTGAAAATGATGATTAGTTTCTACACTTCTAGTTCCATAAATGTGTCCTGCGTGATTTGCATTTCACTCTTTAGGGTTTAAAACAGAAGCCCGGCACACAAACCGTAAGGACGCCTGATGTTCGCTGGGTCCAGTCCAGGTTGTCTAACACACATTCTTACAGAGTCCAGGATTCAGTGGTTTTTCCTGATGTTCAAGCTTCCAGGTGGGCTCGTTTCAGATTTGCTCTGAAGTTGGCAAGGTGTCCTGGCAATGCGGAGGCCTAAAGACGGCAGAGAGCTCGCCAAAGTCATGTGAGCCCACATGAATCTCCTCTGCCAAACAACAGCCTCCCGGGGCTGAGAGACTCAAGTTTGGGTTTCATGTGTGGGAGACTCAAGAGTCCCGCTTTGTCGATTAGGCATAACCAGCCTGTGAAAACGTGCTTCTGCTCTGAAACGCAGGCAACAACATCCAACACGCGGCTACGCTCTGATGCACTTTGCCACATCACCTGGGTCTCGGGGGAGGAACGCTCCAGCATCTATCTCATGAGGCACGCTGACCCTCGAGGTGAATGGAGAAGCAAGACGCTCATCAGACAGACAGCTGGATGTGCAGCAGGAGGAGATGCTGCTGCTCCCCCTGCGGCTGCGTGCCTGCTGTGGGTTCAAGGACTGACACTTCATCTTTCTCTCTCTCTCTCCATCACATCCAAGACGCCTCATCTCTTGTCATCAGTCATGGAAATCCACGGACATGCGTAATGAAGATGTCTAAATAGTGTCACGCGGACCATTAATTAGATTGCTTAATTGATTATTACACAGTCCCCTTTTCTGACCCAACTATAGGGGCAAATATTCATTAGTTTCGATCTTAACAAAAATACAACGAGAAAAAAAAAGAAACTGCGACTATAGTGACAAATATTCAAAACAAGACTTTACGAGGGATTTGCGCGGCTTTTCGAAGCGACACAATCTAAGCAGACGAAGAAGGGATCAGGCTCCGGACGGTGCAGCCCGAGCTCCACTCACCGAGTCGAGGCGAGGCACAGCGAGCGCCGAGGAGAGGCGGCGATAAGCGGGCAGCGTTTCGCTCCACGGCAGCGCAGCTTAATCTCTTCAGATCCCCCGCACAACGCGTCACAGGAGTCCGTGCGGGGAGACCGGACATGCGGCTCGCCCGACCCGATCCTAGGGTGACAGGAGCGGAGGCGGTTCATTTACATGCGGCTCTCGACGCTCCACTCCATCAGCGCCACGACCGCACCGGCTGGCTCGACTTGGACGAATGAAAGCGGGCGGGAGGGCTGAACGCGGAGGAGGAGGAGGAGAAAGAGGAGGAGGTTTCCACACGGCGGGTTTACACAGACGCACCGGTGGAGGCTCACAGTTTCCTTATTCCATGTTGACGTCTCAATTAGTCAAGTCCCAAGTAATAATAAAATAGACACAAATGAGAGCCGGATATTTAAAGTCAGGATGAACAAAAGATCCAAAGATGGTTTCAGTAAAAATAAAAGGTTTGGGGAAAATGTAGCAGATCAGTTCTGGTTGTTGTTTGGCACTAGAAATTACTGCCACCCTGCTGAAGTGGGCGGCAGTAGGCGGACCTTCTCCCGCTTTGTTTTATTATTACAGTTCGCTAAATCTTTCAGGAATTTTAAATGATAAAGTATTTTATTTATTTTTGTTTTTTTCCCCCACATATAAAAATCTGAAAAGTGCGGTGTGTATTTGTATTCGGTTTCTTTTTAATATTTCTAAAACAAAAACAAAACAAAAACAAACAAGCCTGCTCAAATGGACTAATTACATTCAGCTGTTTTGTGAATACATCTTGTTAGAGAACATTAGTGAACAAACCTCAGCAGGTCACGAATAATCTATGTTAACACTAAATCCCAAAGTGATCCAAATCTGATTATTATTATCATTATTTTGCCCTTATACCCCAATCTTGTATCTGATCTTTTCATGATGATCTGAACCCAAATGAACACCACGCACTTTAGGGAAAATACAAAACTGAATCAGTTTCCCTCCGTTTCACATAAAATCCCAATAAAATAAGTAGAAATCTGTAATTAAGGATGGGATTATTATTGTGTTGTTTATCATTATTGAAAAAAAAACCAAATATGGTAGGAACTGTGGTTTGTTATAAACAAGTGTAGGCAAAACTTTGTTTACAAAGAAACTTTATGGCTTTTGTTAAACTATTTTTTAATGCCACAACATTAATTTTGATAAAATATTCGCTCCTCCATATCATCCTTCCCTAGATGCAACACGAAATGTGAAAAAGTTTGAGGAATGAATACTTTTGCATTCACGTGACATTATTTTTTTAGTGCACAACAGTAAGAAAGTTTATAAATATCTCAGTGAGGCACTGAAGATGTACAGTTTTAAAAAAACAAAAGACGGTATTAGCAGTCAGTCATGAACGACAGCAGCAGTGGTTTATTTGTCTTCCAAGAACCCCAAACAACAATCCACCAGCAGCAAATGTTGCAGAAAAATTTCACCAAGGACATTTTTAGTTCTAAAATGACATTTTTTGCTTCTCTCAGGAGCGACATCAACATCTGTTCCTTTTTGGCAGCGAAGGCCTTCCTCTCTGCACAGACAGTGTCATATCGTTTCTTTTTTTTCTTCACTCCCTTCAACAAAAACCTTCATCGTAATCTGCTGAGCGGCTGTTAGATAAATGAGGTACAGCGAGGAACACAGCCAGAAAGAAGGAAGAAAGAGATTTATAAATAAAATTTTTTAAAAATCAGGGTGTTTTCAGAGAGAACTCAGACATACAGAGGGTCACATCGCCAACATTTCTGACGGGATGAGTTAAGGGTCAAGGAAGCCAAGGGTGAAGGCTTGGATGTGTGTAATTTAGTAGCAAATGCTTTAAACCAGAAACTGCTTTCTCCAAAATGAACCCACAATTACCTATTTAAGCCGATATTCTGTCCAAGATCATAGAGTTTAACTTATTGTGACTCATTTGCATTCTTTTATAGTAGGTCAAATTTTTTTTAGCAAAAAGAATCATGAGATTAGAAAGTCTGTAGAGACAGAGCTAAAAAAAATGTATGAAAAAGTTCTAATATTTTCATTTCAGAAAGTGAAACTCATATTACAGACTTATCACACACAGTCAAATATTTCCAGTCTTCACTTTTTTTATTTGTAAATTTAGCTAATTATAGCTAACAGATACTCAAAAGTCAAAATTCAATGTTTCAGAAAATTGTGAAAAAGTAAAAAAAAAAAAAAAAAAAACAACACTCCTCAAAATCTGCTGGCCTTCAGATTTTAGATGAATTTCTTTTCCTGAATCAAACGAATGGCTCGTTACGATGTATCGAATCTATATAATATGAGTTTTGCTTTCTGAAAATACTGAAGTGGCTGTCTCAGCATAATAGTCACAAAAAGAAATAAACATATCAGTGACTGTATGTGTTAGAAAAAGTGCTGACGAACTGGATAACAGCTGATTATGTTCAAAATTTCAACAAACATTAAATAAACTTCTAGGAAAATCAACTAAATTGAAGTGTTTAGTCAAAAACTGCAGTATGTGCAAATTTAATTTGAGCATATAACTGGTATTTATGCTTTTAATTCAATTCAAAAATACTTTCTTTATCCAAAAATGAATGTAATGTAACTCATATTTTACAGAAACAATCAGGGTCTGTTAGATAAATGAGGTACCGCAAGTTGTGTGTGAGGAAGCGTTTACCACCTACTAGATTATCTGACTGTGTTTGGTGTGAACGAGTTCGATTCACTTCAGGCTACGGATACAAAACGTTGGACACGCTGCAGTTCTCAGCAGATCTCTGTGGTCCGAGCGACTCCATCAGTTTTCTCACTCTCAGCTTGTGGTCCTCTGTAGGAAGTGGAACGCTGCTCTGGATCTAAAAGAACGACACGATCTTAAGTTTAAAGCCAGGTGAGACCATTGAGATTAACATTTCAATTTCTGAGTTAACATCCTCTTTAACTCAGAAATTCACTGAGGACAGAAAAGTTGAACTGAGCTTAGAGGAGGACAACGACACAGCCGGAGCTACAACGGTCAAAGCATGGTAATGTGCGAGAATGGCCCAGTCAAAGTTCACTAGAAAAGTGATTCTTTCATATTTTGACTTAAAAATTAATTGGGAAACCACATATTCTTTTCTTTCACTGTTATCCAATACTTGGTGTTGGTTTGTTGCTGTAACCTGAGATGATGTGGAAGCGTATGGCACAAAATTGGTGTCAAACGTTTGTGCAGCAAAATGTTTTGTTTGTGCTGCTATCATTTCAAATACCTGATATTAGGAAATGTTTCCAGAGGTCATGAAAGGTCAACCAGCCCCTTCTTCAAATCAGATAAAATTGGTGTCAATCAGCTAGACTACATTTGTGCTGGTTTGTGCAGCAACATTTTTTTTGTGTGCTGCTTTGGCTTTGAAGATGTTAATGAAAGTTTGAAGGTCAAAAAGTCGACCAGCCCCCACACTTTCACAAAATCAAAATTACCTTTAAAGTTTTATTAATATTTTCAAAGCCAAAGCAGCACAAGCATAGAATTTTGCTGCACAAACCAGCACAAATGTAGTCTAGCTGATTGACACCAAATGATTTCATTTGAAGAACGTAGGGGGGTCCGGTTGACCTCGCATGACCTACAGAAACATTTCTTAATATCTTTAAAATGATAGCGGCACAAACAAAACAATCTGCAGCACAAACGTTTGACAAAAATTTGATCTGATTTGAAGAAGGTGCGGGGCCAACTTCACTCCCAAAATGAAACTGATGTAGCAAACTGCTTTGTGTGTTTTGCACATGTGGCTGAAAACAGAACTGAGGGTTTTGAGCATCACTCGGAATAATAGACTGCCTTCCCAAACTGTCTGCACTCATTAAATATTAAACCTTTTTTGAAACAAAAACTGATTACTCCATCGCAGGTTAGCAGAAAAAAAAACAAAAAAACACTGAAACACTCATGTAACGGCTCTTTTTGTCCGACTCTAAAAGACGGTGATTAGAGGGAAAAATATTTTTTTAAATCACATATTCTGGGTTTTAATCTGGTCAGATGTTCAAAAGAAAGGAAGATTAAAGGTGCATCATTTCATTTTGAATGTGAAACAGATGGAGGAAGCAAAGGAAATCAGAGTGGAAGTAAAGGCAAGGAGGTGAAAAATCACCAAATGTATCCAACAAATGAAACAAATAGAGATTGAGTGAAAATCTTTCAAGCACTATCACTTTGATAAAGCCAAATGTGCTGCCAAAGACGAGGGATTTGACCAAACAAAGTGGCCCATCAGTCATATGGAAACAAACACCGACTTCGTGGCCCTGTCGTCTTGCAGTGAAGACTGGTAAACAACCCAGAGTTAAACTGGTAAATGTCCTGAAAGCACACAGACACACAGGTGACTGATGTGCCACGGCTCAAAGCAATCATTTGGTTCCACACCCATGATTGGTGAACACATTGTACCGTGAAGCTTAATGTGTGTCAGTTTTAATTCATGGAGACGGCAGCAGAAAACATAAAATAAGCTGTGAGGGCAGAATCTGATCAATCAACGCTTTTGGAAAAGACAAACATGTATTTAAAGGAACAGTACGCGAAGGCACAGACAGACTGACGCATTTGCATCCAATCACATACAGTAGTTCATGACTCACTGGGGCGCTGGGAGCTGCTCCAGTGAATGTGCCATCATGCCATCATTCTGTCACTCTTGTACTCTGAGCTCTTCACTGAATACCAAATGCAGTTCTGGTCATTTCTGATTCAGATTCAATCTATTCGACCTGACACCGTCTGCGTTTTGTAACGTGCTCAAGCAATCCCAGCAGGCCTTGCTGTAAAGCTGACAAGGATGACAACAAGGATGCTGTTTAGGCGGCACATTTTTAGCCAGGATAATCTGAGTGACGTGGCAAAATGACACCAACTGCGGTGGATGGTGGTGTTGAGAAAGTAGATAGGTGCATCACTACCGGTAGTTTATCTATATTTATCCAGATTGAAATCATTACGTGTGAAGCTTTTATGTCAACTAAAGATGCACCGAGAAAAATGGCTGGTGAGCAGAATGATGTGCATCTTGTGCATCTTCTTTTGTTTGCAACAAAATATGCAGAAAGAGCCAAACAAAGACTGACTGATTTTATACAGGAAGAAAAAGGCAATGTAATTTATTCCTTTGCAAATATGCTCAGTTTCCAGTTTACTGGCATACATCTCTATGGCAATATGCCTGCTGTGGACATAACTGCATCATTATTTTTAATAAATGTAATCATACTTCAGAAGACCCTTTTCAACATCATTTGGTTTGTTGACATGTTTGTATCGTTATTGACAGAGTTGTTCTAAAAAGCCGATTACCTGCGACACGCGGCTCAGGTAATTACCACCCCATTGTGATAATTCGGTTTTGCAATTAGATTGCACGAACATTAACTTGTAATCACTGCCCTTAGATTAGCTTTGATCTTTCCATAAATCTGCACTCATAAATTACTTGAAACGCCCCGAGGCAAAATTGCATATTTCTGCTGGATGACGATGCGCCACTGCTTTGAGGGGAACGTTCCACACCGAGAAAATGGCGGTCTATGTCGGTTCCACTTGTTTGGATTCTGTCAGACTCCTCACAATATTTGTGCACACGGCTCACCTGTGCAAGAAGCAACCTTAGCGCCCGTGCCGCCTCGTGGTTGAGCTCCTTTATCCCGCTCCTCTCCACAGTATCAATCACTCGGAGCAGGTCCGGCTCCCACAGGACCGCTGTGCTGCCGTACTGCAACAACTGCAAACAAGGCACACAATCAGAAAAACCCCCAGAAAAGTAGAAATGCACAGCCCTCCACAGGCACAGCAAGGGAATGAGGGTTTGGATTGTGAAGAATTGAATCGTCTCTGAAACACAATCATATGTTAATTAATATTTTATTAAATCTACGTTAAGGTGGGATTTAAAAACCATGGCTGTCTTGTCTTGCAAATATTACAATACAAGATGCATTAAATGAGGCTCTTGTTCCTTTTGCCACAGTCCTTTGAAACTGGCCAGGGTTCAATGCAACAGACTGAATGTGACACTAATTAGCACCATAAGGACTAAAGGACCTAAACATTCCTGGTAGCTGGAATGGTAACCATAAAAACGGTGAGTTATTTTAGGTACTGACCTTATTGGGTCTGAAAGCATGGGTTACACCAAGCGGTAAAATTAGCCTTTTTCTTTTATTTGCAAAAGCCATTTTGAGTCTATTCTTTAGGATTAGCTTATATTACTTTTGTTAACTTGAATGACAAATATAAAATTCTTCTTTTCCACTTTGATCACTCCTCATGTCATGACTTTATTTGTATTATCCCTCCTGCATTGCAAGGGTAACGCTCAGAAGGAACACGCCAAATGTCACAGTCACACGGTGGCAAAGTTGGGGACTGTCCCGTCAGACCGTCAGTTCCCAAAACCACACACACAAAAAAGTTGTGAAAGCAGGACAGTGCAAAAACTTCCACGATCCAAAATAATCACGGAAAGGATACGTGTGCTATTTCAAGAAAGTACTTCAAAATGTTATTTGTACTTTAAATATACTGAAAACATGTTATTGCAAAAATAAAGCTTATAAAAGTATGCAACCGGCTGCAGCTTTTTGAAAACTGTGCTGCAAAATTTGTCATTTTAGGCTGCTACAATCACAACAAAAACTTTGCACCGTTCTGGTGAGACTCCAAAGCAAACAATTAATGTGACGCTTTATTTTACCAATTCAATTAAATCATGACAGAAATCTCGGATGTGTTGGTTTGTTTCAGGACTACAGATACTAGATATCTACCGACATTTTCTGTCGTTCTCTTGCATTAACCTACAAAACCCGATATTCATCCTTTACTCTGGTAACGTAAACACGTTTATATTACGATACACATTAAATTTTCATGATCAGAGAAGCATTTGAGGGAAATATCTTACAAGTGTGATGAGTCTGAGAAGAGCGGGGTGCAGAAGGCATTTCTCTCCTGGGCTGAAATTGCAGTAGAGGAGGAACTGAGACCAAGGCTGACACACTGCCTGCTTGGCTAATTAAAACAGGAGACAAACCCCCCCAAAAAAGAGGAAAATGAAAATTCACAGTTCAAACACAGAAAACTAAAAGCCTAAAATGTTCTAAAACATAAAAAATTGTAAAACGTGGTTATGCTGCAGTGTTAACAACAAAAATAAAATATACATATATATTGATTTGAATAGAAGAACTTTAGGGCTGCATGTCAAAAGTTCAATACAACAACTTTTTAATAAACTATTTCAGCTGCTTTGTACCTAAATCAGGATTCTTTCTTTTAAGGAAGCCCAGCAGGGAGCTCAGACAGTTGACCGAGGTTCTCAGCAGCAACTCGTGTTTCTGAGAAGGAAAACATCCACACGACCGTTTGAGAATCCAACAATACACACCTAGAGCTGAAATTATGACTTATCCACTGAGAAAACTTATGTCAGCAGCTCATGTTTACAAAAAACGCTTGAGAACGAGAGACTTCCAGTTGCTACATGGCTCAATGTGTTGTGTGGGGATTTTATGTGATTGATGGACCGATAGAGGTAACTGTGAAGTGGAAAGAAAATGATGCAAATTATCAAAAATATCCGACATAATATGATAATATGATGTTTGTGCCCGTATTGTGATGCACTGTTCAAAAAAATACAAGCTATTTCTTTTATGAACCCAACAAAGATATTTCTGTTCCCACAGTTCTGTAAGGAAACTACGGAGGTGAGGAACGGCCGCGCTCAGCACCACTTCTTCATCACAGGACCGGTCTGGACTGATGAAAGGATTCTTCTACACAAAAGGAAACTCATAAGGGAGTCGGCAGCGCTTCGTCACTATGCTCGTATGTCATCTTGACAACAGTAAAGAAGTGAGGCGACAATGACAAATTGCAAGCTGTGATGGCCTGATGCGTCTTCAGCAGTTACATTTGTCATTAGATTGCTGTGATGCGCTGCTTGGCGGATGCAGAAAGGTGCGAGTTGTTCAATCTCTCCGTTTCGCCAGCTCTCCTGAGAGACCGTCCTGCTGTAAAAACTCAATCGGCAGATTTTTAACAAACGACTCAGACGGCCTTGTGTATTGAAACAGTCGTATCCTGGAAAACACAAATGTTTACTCGACAGTAGAGGATTTTATTTCATCCTTCAAGCAGGTAAAGCAGGGCAGCTCCTGCAAATTTTGAAAAAAATAAAATAATTTTGTTGAAGAAATACCAGTAATGCGAGTTCACTTGGGACAAAATAAAACAACAGATGCAAAGGGAGAAAAAAAAAAAAAACGCAGACACATGCTCGCAGATGGACGGAGATGCATTCAGACACAGAAGGGACAACAAGATGATGATTGACAGTGATTGAGCAAGGTTTTAATAATGCATGCTTCTCCCACAGCACAGAAGCTGTCAGGGAGCACTGCATGGTGTCCAAAATTACAGAAGTAGGCCAGGAAGATGTATAAAACAACAATGGAGTTATAACCTAAGCTACAGTCAGAGAGAGACAGGAGTCAACGGGACGGGCAGGAGGAGACGAGAGAGTCAGTGAAGAGAAAGGGAGCAAATCCTTCAGCCAGATGAGGATGCAAACATGAACGGAGGGAGAAGAGAGGAGCTGTGGCGCTTTCCTTCTGCAGCTGAACCAAAGAACCAAGAGTAAAGAGGGCAAAATAGCAGAGGAGTGGTTTGGGAACAGTTACTCATATCAGCTGCAGAGCAGCAGACCACAGAGCGCTGAAGCATCGCGCCACCGCTTTTATTTATTTTTTTACACAAAGGGGAGATTAGGAGCCAAAGGTTGGTGCGCTGCAGCACAGTTTTACAAGACACTTACAGGCCTGGCAAATGTATTTGTAGTGCTTAAAAATCTAAAAACTGTGATGAGCATTTATAGCTTCTATCATCTTTGCATTTCAGCCTTCGCTTCAAAATAGCCGCGTGGTTTTTGTGAACAAATCTCATCACCCACTCAAAAATAGCTAGAAATATTTTCAACTTCTGCTGATCTTTTTAAAAACAGAAGCAGGGTTTCAGCCTGGCGGTAGGAATTTTCCCTTTTATCATGTTTTCTGTGAAGCATTTCAGGATCCTAATCTATGAAAGGTGCAACATAAACTTAGAACGTACTATAACGTTGGTATGCAAAGTGTGACACTTTCAATTTCAATGATCAAGTTTTACTGTTTGATATTCATGCAGCCCATGCTGACATTGCATTGTAATGACAAAGACATTGTATGGCTCTGTACAAGGAGACAGAAGGTCATATTTAATATTGGCATGAACAATTTGCATAGAGAATTTGAATTACAGCATAACAATAGCATTCAAGCACTCCTTTGAGATTGGGATATTGCTAACATGAATATTGCAAGTATGAATGTGATTCCATATGTTGTGCAGAACCTGCATAAGAAGACCGCTGAGAGTGATTAGGAGGCACTGGGCCCCCGTCGAGCCAAGCGGGTACAGCGCTCCGTCTTCAGGCTCCAGAGGCCGGGGCCCGACTAGCCCAGAACCGGTACTCAGACACACCACTGGTGACGCCAGGTCAGCATCAAGCAAAGCCTGCAGCATCCGAAGGTAGCTGACTAGAGAGGAAAAGAAGAAAGTGGTAAGATTAAAAAAAAAAATGGTGCATTTTAATAAATTATTTCAGCACTTTAATTTAGAAAGTGAGACTCATGCATTGTTTATAGACTAATGGATATGGTTTACAGCGGATGAGAAGTATCTCCATGTACTGTTCAGTGTATGAATTCAAGACTTGGCTGGGGCTCCTTTAGCATGAATTACTGCGTCAGTGCAGTCTTCTAATGTAGTCTCTCTTTCAGAAGTGGATAAACATTTGGAGGCCATATTCTGGATAAATATCTGTGTGATAACTCATGAAGTTCTGCCGTCCACACCTTGTGAACCTCCTCGGTAATTTATTGTGAAAAATGTGTAATGACAGGAATTTTGATTTATTGTTGCATGAATAAATTTCACCTAATGATGTTAAATAATAAAAAAAAAAACTGACGGTATCGCTGGAAATGTTTTTTTTACCATTTCATTCACGGTTTGTTCTATAAGATCTGATGAACAAGACAGACATGAAAAAAACGCGGCAAACATAAGTTGTAAAAGCGCAGAGTGGTACACGACTGAGTAGATGATCGGAAAAACGTAACGGCAGCAGAAACTGAGGCAGACTGGAAACACGTAAAGGCAAACCAAAGCAACTTTTGAACTGATATGCGTCAGAGAGCTCAGACAATGAGTCGAAGATGTCTGAGTGCAGAGAGAGAGAAAATCTTGAGTAGGATAAAGAGAATTAAAAAGCCCCAAAACTGCGACTAAAAGAGAAGAATCCAAACTAAAAGGAGCCAACCATCTGAAACACACTGACGCCATGAACACTCAGATCTAATCGCCCAGAGGAAGGAGCCCTAATTAGTTCGCACAAAAGAGGAAACTAAGACATAGATTCAAAAAAGCAGTGCTGGAACGGCAAACATTGGGGAGATAAAAACTGAGATAGTGAGACGGAGAGGAAGCTGAGCGAGCGGAGAGGGAGGGAAAGAGAAATCGGTGCGCAGAAGGAGGGAGCCGATAAATCACAGTGACCCTGACAGGCTACTTATTCAGCTGACAGACAGAGACACAGGAGCAGCAGGGATGATCCGTCTACGAGCGCTAAGGTGGTTTGTGGGACATTTAATATGATGAGTGAGTGTGAAACGCAAGCATGGGGTTAGGAGACGCCACTAAAGATGAAGATTTGACAGGAAGTTTGCAGAACTTTATGTAAACTGGAGGTAAGAGAGCCAGATTGGTATCCTGTGAATCACAGTATGTAAAAAATGTTTCATAACCAGACTGCATGGGAAAACACTAAAGTGTGCGTCATTCGCTGCGTCTCCATTACAAATGTGCGCAAAACATTCTTGGCATACTGCTAACGTTGAAAAAACACAATATTTTCATTTAAAAAGAGATTAAATTAAAATCACGCGTAAATAAGCTCGTTCGTGTGAAAAGGTTTGCTGCTGTATGCAAACTGCTGATGAGAAAAAAATAAGTTTCCATTGCACAAATTTGGATGCAGATGGATAAACTACATCATCGTAGAGCAAATTTTTTTTTTTTTCAATCAGTAAATGTGAATTTGGCTCGTCTTGATTTAGTGAATTTATTTTCGGAATTCCAATTTGCGTAATTTCAAAATCATTTGAAACGCAGCTGGTGAGCGGCAGGTTGCAGACATGAACAGAGACAAAAAAACAAAACAAAACACAGGTCAATTAAAACTGAAACAATTCTCCAGAAAATCACACTTAGATAAACCTTTTTTCTCCTGCAAGAACTAGTGTTAAAACATTAAAAACATTGTCGTTACCCAGCAAGAGATTGTCTGTGTTTCGTTTTTGGCAAAACAGTCGGTGCACAGCCGTGTCCAGACTCCAAATAACACTCTTATGAACCTTACAAAAGAGAAAAAAATGTAAGTTTGAGGCAATCAGAGAGTTAAGGATTAAGGTTAAAATTGTCGTATTCAAGAATGTATTACACCTCGTTGTGAACAGAATGAAACAGAGCAGATTTGCACTGTGATACATATCAAATGAATGCAATTGTTCCCTATTGCACAGCCACAGCCGGCTCTTTAGTCACTTTTGCTGAGTGTTGTGTGTCTCGCCCTTGACTGTTTCTGTTCTGTGTGAAGTTCAGCCCCGGAGTTGTGATAAGAGCCGGGCTGAGTCGAGCGGCGGTGTGTACCTGAGTGGAGTGAACGCGCTGCAAGGTAATGAGGGAGGAGAGGAGAAGATGGCTGCAGCACAGCAGAGCCAAAGGAGGACAGGAGGGCGGAGGGGGGGAGGAAGATGAAGAAGAAGAGGAGGAGACGACTGTCTCCAGCTGGTCCATCAGCCCACCGTTGGAGAGCAACATGGAGACGGCTGGAAAGAAGACCATTCATGGGATTTGTCATTTTGTGTTTTGCAGCTGCATACAGAGGTCATGTTAACTGAATATTTTTCAGTTTGTCGCCTTTTGTGCTGATGGAAAAGAAAAACCATCACAAATCCTGCAAAAGCATAATCACGGCTTCTTCATACCTTTCCAGGGTTAAGCTTAGTTAAAAGAAAAAACGGGAACGAAATGAATGCAGACCTGAAAGGAAAGTTGTGTCTTTTTAGGGTGATCTTGATAACCTTCAGTACATTTTGTCCAATTGGGCGATACACATGAAACTGATCATATCTGCCTCTGCAAAGGTGTAAAAATCAGCCACTGTTCCCATCAGGTCATCAACAATGGTCACCTCACTGGTGCCAACTTAGCAACTTTTCATTGTGTTGTGAGATCAATGATTGAAGGTGCATTGTGACCTTTTAGCCATCATGGTGTATTGTTGAAGTGGACCCAAATGCAGCAGGCGACAGAGTATAGTTGAGAATACGTAATAAAACAAAAACCAGAAACTAACTTACAAACAGGAACATCCAGGGAAGCACAAGAACAAAAAAAAAAAACAGACATGAGGAGATCCATGAGGAGTGGCGAATTGAAGAAAGTGATAAGATGAACAGGCAAGTAGTGACTGACTAAGAGGTGCTTAAATTCTGGGAAGGTTGTGAGCTTGATAAAAGACCTGGGCTGATTAATTGCAGGTGTGAGCAGCAAAAGCAGGAGCCAGGCTGAGGAGGGGGAAAGACTTTTTAAAGATTACGACTGGCCAAAAAAAAAACTGCAATCTGTTAGCCCCTACTATATGGACATCAATAATAGGACAAATTTTGAAAACCAATGGTTTAAAAACATAACAGTAGCCATTTGTACAATTACTGCTAAAAGAAAACACACTGATTGATGTAATAATAGTATTTTTTTTCTGTCGGAGTGCAAAATATACGACATGCTGCAATACTAAAACTCATTTGGCCAAAAACTGATACAAATACCGAAATGTATCCAGAGCTTGTAGAACGAACTGCTGGTGAGGTTTTTAACTACTCTTTTGCTTTTCCTTTTGGCCACCATGAACTCATCGCAGTGGTCGGAATGGTGGTTCTTTATATGATTAATTAGATTTGAAGTGTTGGAGTACTTTGTTGTTGCTCCTCCTCGCATCAGTGACGCTGAGCAGTCATTGCAAATAGCAGTTCTGCTGTCAGCTTCTGACACACTGCTGACATTTTCACCTGGACACTTGATCATGACGTTGTCCTGTGCTGCAGGCTTCATTGTCACTGCTTTGTCATATAAAAACACCACCATTTATAGATAAATGGACCATTTTATACACCATTTATACTGGTTATTTTCATGGAATGGCAGGTGTTAAATAAAATTTTACATCTAATTTTGGTTGATATCGATACCATGCCGATGATATTGTACATCCCTGATTATCTGAACTATTTTCTCATTGTTATTTTGATGCACCTTTATAGTTCTGTTCTTTACTAAATGTAACAAGCTGATTGCAGAAGGCTGGTTAAGATAAATAGTGTTACGTTAATGGAGAGAGAGAGAGAGAAAGAGCAGTTTCTCTAAAATAAAAAAGGCGACTGTTGCTTTTCTGGGATCTCATCAATTGGACTTTGAATCCTTGGAAAGTTACGATGACATCTTTTTGCAGCTCTTTGCAGGGTACATTGACCCATTCTTAGTTTTTACATCGCTCAAGCATGTCAAAAAGAATGCCGCAGCAAATCTGAGCTGTAATCATAGAAAATGTGGTCCAGCAGTGAAGTGGTGTGTGTGTTAGCTTCATCCTGGCAGAAGATTTCCATTTCACAAACAGGAATCTGGTAGGATCCCCGCGCGCCGCACCATCGGCTCAAACACTCTCTGGCCTCAGGCTGAAACAACTGAACTCACCACACATGAAGCAGCAGCAGAGAGAGAAAGCAGACAGGCTGCAGCAGCAGAAGCACTAATACAGAAAAATACTACTGACATAATAAGACTTTCCCTCCCATCTGGATCCCTGCTCTCTTGCTACCGAGCGCCACCTTATTAACCACAACGCAGCTCATTGCTGACCTCTGCTGAGTTTTTTTCTTTTCCGTGGGGGCATGAGCAGGGAAATTCAACTTGTGTAACCAATCACATCAAATGGTGTGTGTGTGTGTGTGTGTGTGTGGGTGTGTGTGTTCGTGTGTGTGTGTGTGTGTGCATGGAATCTTGTTCACAAATTTGTTTTGTCTTTGATTTCAGTGAAGACATTTTTCATTTGGGTTCTTTGGATTCCTGTGCAAGTCTGAGCAGAGCATAAAACTGCAAACAGAGTTTGCAAATCAAACGAAAATAAAATGAAAAACAAACATTCAGAGCTGAGGCACCAATTACTTTTTGTCTGACTGAGTTTTGGGAAATTGCTAACAAAAATGCGGTGGTTGATAATAATCCAAAAAGCTTGTTTTGACTAATTTGATGTTTATTTCTGCTGGACCATTTGTCAGAAAAGGTTAGGATTTAGAATATTCATCATAAAAAAAAACACCTACATTTTTATTTTTGTTAAATAATGCATGAGCCAAATCAAATTGTAGTATGTAAATTTTCAGTCTATCTGTTTTTAGGAGATAAGCCACTTTTTATTTATTCATTTCAATTTTAATAGGAGCTTTTTTCGGTTTCTGTGCAAATGCCATAAATTCATCAACATGATTCTGTGTGAGCAAGTAAATTTGTTCTTGCTGTCCATGACAAATAGAGGTAGGCAGGTATTGGTGCAATTTGATCAACATCACTCTGGATAACTAGTAAAAACATAAAAGTCAGTATCAGAGTTGGGAACGTATGTAACGGCAAAATAAAAGCATTTTCACCACTTAGTCTTTCGCAACATGTGCGTCTAATGCAGGCATGTAATGCAGTAAGAGTTTATCAATCATACAGCAACATGTTTGATAAATTAAATGAAACATTTCTCTATATATTGTCATTTTTTTATTGATCACATATAGTGTTCTGAAAACACAAATTTTTGGTTTTCATTATCTGGAGGCTATAGTCATCAAAATTACAAGAAATATAGTATTTAATGTTTAATGAATCTATATAAGCAAATTTTGACATTTTTCTAAATTTTCACATTTTTTGAGGTGTAATAATGAAATGATGAAACCCTATCACAGAGGACAGATGGCAGAGGAGTTTATTAAGTATAGACTCCTGATATGAACATTAAAATTGGGGAAAAGGCTTTAACATTTCATGGCGTTGAATTAAAACCATGTTGGACATTAAGCTTCAAAATGCAAGATGAAGAAACAAGAGCAGACATAAAAAAAAAAACAGCAGGGCGATTAATTAGTTGAAACCCATCCTTGATCAATCATTAAACAAAAACCAAAACAATAGTATATATAGTATAGAGAATTTAAAGAGTTAAAAAAGGACTCAGTAGTTGCTGTCCTGCAATAAGAATAAGCTAATAATTACTATGTACTATGCGTTCATGGTCTACACCTGTAATATATTCAGTGACATTTGTTTAATGCAGCATGAAAAGTTTTATAAAGGTAAAAAGGTGGCAAATGTGGTCTGGGTTTCAAACTATCGCTAAGTTTTACTATCAAACAGCAGAAACTGACCAGAAGAGAAAAAAATCTAGAATTGTATTTTTCCTGTAGCTCGTTATCTGTGGTCTTTGTTTGCTGTGAGCCCAAAGCAGAAAAACAACGAGACCTTTTAAGTATTTTTTCATTTATCACAGGTCACAGCTTAAATTGCAACATTTACTAACATTGCTACATCAATTTATATCCCATAAAAACCTCTTGAATCACAAAAGAAGATTAAAATGATTGTCAGCACAACAATCCTTCCATGTTTAAAGACAGAAAGTCTTTTTTCCACATTGCCATCAGCGATTCATGACAGTGTGAATCCCTAACGAGTTTAATGCCATAATGTATCTACTCAATTTTTTTTTTCTCTTGCTGCTATTTTGTTGTTGAAGCTCTAATTATCAACCTTGTTAGACGCCACCAGTACCGAATGCGAATAATTCCTTCCTCAGTCTTAACGTTTTGAACAGGGGTAAAAAAAAAACAGGCAGCGCTTATAAATGATGCCACGTCAAGAAAAACAGCAACAGAAATAAATGGGAGCTTGACTCAAACAGGCAGAAGTGAAAGGAGCCTCACCTCGGTCACTGCTGTGTGCCGGGGACAGACTCAGGCAGCACTGCAAGAAGTTGAAGGCAGGCAGCAGGCTCTCTGTGTTAGTAGGCTTCAGCATCCCAGCTATGCTACTCACTGACACACACACACACACACACACACACACACACACACACACACACACACACACACACACACACACACACACACACACACACACACACACACACACACACACACACATCAGTAAAATTAATAAAGTTTTATAGGCCGAGTAACTTAATGAGTGTGTTAATCCTCTGTAACAAAATCAGCAATTTTAAAAGAAATCATATTTGTTACACAAAAAAAAAAAACAATCAAATGCATGTCAATGAAAAACACAAACGATAAAACACACCATGTGTAGCACATTTGTGGCAAAGAGGGCCATGTTGGCACCAGAGTTTAAAAACCGACTTTAGCCCTTTGGTCACATTTTGTCATGTGACAACCACAAACTTTCCGCATATACCTTTTCCCGATGCTTTTGTCGAGACAGTGAGTCCATCTCGAGAAAACAAACTTTGCTTTCTTGAGGTTATGACACGACTGCTGTGTGTTAACCTCGATTTCATTCTTGAAGTGCATGCCGTTGTGCAGGCCACCTTGAGAAAACTATTGGGAAATTAACTCGTTTCATGAACTCATTGAAACTAACTAAATGAAAACACAACACCAACTAGAGCGTAACTTTGAGTTTTGCATTCAGACTCAGATGCATTTGCATTCAAAGTCGGGTTCTCACAGTACTGAAAATTAACATCAATGCAATAATCGTCAACATTTTTGTAACCGTGGCAACCTTCTTTGAAAGCAAAGGTTTTTTTCTAACAAAGAACAGAAAAATCCAACCAATTCCATAAAATCCTAATAAACTACTATAAACACTGTGATTATGACACAGCAATATGTGATAAAGTAAAAGAAGAACATCACAAACTTTACTTGTTGATGCACTATACACTAATCTATAAAAATAAACTAGTTTAGTACCTTTCTGCTGAATTTCTGGGAACGTTCATCTGAAACCCAAAATGTTTTGCTGTGCTTTCGTGAAGCGTTACCTCAAAAGAAGGAATTAGACGACGCGGACAGACTACGTAAATGTGACAAAGGGAGTTATAAACGCTACATTTCCATCTCACCGTGATAGAGCAGCTTGAAACACACTCCCTCCATGTTACTGTAGATGGAGGGTGAAGGCGGGTCACTGGCCTGCGTCAGACAAAGCAGCTTCAGCACCACGGGGAGCGAGCTGGCCGCTTGACAAAGACGGGGAGAAAACACAAAGCATAAAAATAACCAGAAAGCGGTGTACTGTGTGAGAAAGACAAGAGACCGGTGAAGCTTACAGACTTCCACTTCTCATCTAGAATTAGCATAAACTCATTATTTAGCCCAAAGGATGTTGTCAGAGCATTTGTCAAAGTCACAACACAGAATATGGCTTTAAACTAACATAACTGAATTTGGAGAAAACTCCTAAATTCACGTCCGGATCTAATCTAGATCCAGACGTGCAGGCAAAGTAAATACTTTGCATCCCAATCCAGGGAGGAAGAAGGAATCAAAGCGATGAGAAAATGAAGCGGTTAAGACCAGCAGTCTTTTTTTATTTATTTATTGCTGGAGTGAGTTGCACTAAAATATCTCCCTTGGAGATGCTGCCACATGGGAGCTAATATGGAGCGTGTATTAATGCAAATTACATTGAACTGTACTTGATCATGTGCAAAGAAAGCCGTCTTTAATTCCCTGCAGACGCTAAACGAGCAGACCGCAGTCAGAGGCGAACCGCAGCAACAGTTGCTGAAGCCCCAGCTGGGCTGCTGCTGTTTCTGCCCTTCAGCTGTTCTTATTAACCTGGTCAAAAAGACTCCAAGGTGAAACCATCTCAGGACGCCGTGCGTATCTGCTACACTTCCACACAACCGAAGCTTAAACAATGAAAGAAATTGCTTTTTTCTGCTTGTATAAACATTAGCGATCTGTAAGCGCCTCCCATGTGATCGTTCATGCTTGAATTTCTAATTTACACCTCATTAAGATTCAAACCATATCTTGTTATTTTGTTGTTGACAACACAACACGAGAAGATTCCTGCTCCAGTGATGCAGAGACGAGTTGCGGAGGCTCGCTGAAAATGTCAAGGAGGCGTGCGCTTAATTAGAATCACCTTCTCCGCAGCATCGGTTTGCCTCCATGAAGTTTGATTTCAATAATCAATAATTCAGAAAAAGCCCACGGCCTCTGTCCGCAATGTAATGAAAATATGGCGGCGCCGACTCAGGTTAAACAGATCTGACCTGTTAGCTGGTAGCTTCTGGTGATCCACTGGTGTCTACCTAACAACGAGGTTAAGCTGGTTAAACATTGAATCTGAAGGTATTTTCCCAAATCAACAATGTGCACAAAAAATGAAAATCTCTGGCCTGAACGCGGACCGATACTAAAACTGAAGAAACTAAATCAATATGGCAGTTCTAGCTAGGTAAACACGTGTTACATCACACTGGCTTTGCTGTCAGAGGGGAATCCATGCTAGATAAAATTTTTTTTATAATAGTCCAACGGTAATCAAGAAAGACTTCAGGAAGATAATTTTAATGAATTTATTTACGTTTTCAGAAGAGTTTTCTGCTTTGATTCCCCCCTCTTCTAACACCAGAGGCCTGAATAAAATCGAAACAACTTAAATGTTGACTTTACACAATCTGGCTTCTTTTTCCCCAGCGTTACAATTAATGCTAAAAATGTCAGGAGCTCAATGATGTTCTTTCCATATTTACATACACTGTAAAGACATAATGTTTGTTTTACTGTGACATTAAACTTGAGATTACTGAGATGATGGCAACAGGCTTCATGATTGTAAATAAGATTTATGATTCTCATTATGATTTTCACTAACTTTCAATAGCTTTGTTATTAATTTCATTCCAATACTCAAAGCATTATGGAAGAATATATGTTACAAATGCTATTTGAAAACAGCCTGCTACATAATATTTTAGTAAAGCAGCTGGACTTAAAACTTTGAATTAATCTTAACTCTGTGTATATCCATTTTTAAATGTTTTCTAATGACCTGTTTAAAAGATACAAGAGAGAGAATACAGCATAAATATACCTGAAAACACCTTAAGAAATACTGTATCCTATCTTACAGCATAATTAGCCACTATTTGTAACGAAAACTAGCCAGGGAAAATTATTCCATAAACATAACTTAACGCAGATATTTTTTTAAGACTTTCCTTTTAGATTTGAAAATAATTAAACTAAGTGCTTTCCATTAAGCTTCGCAAAAACACGCCGTGCCAAACTAACCTATTAAACCTTCGAGATTACTTTACGGCTCTGCTGCTGTCTCGGCAGGGCTCAGTTGTGTGTGTGTGTGTGTGTGTGTGTGTGTGTGTGTGTGTGTGTGCATGCGTGTGTGTGCGTGTGTTTTTCTCTCCAGCAGCCGCCATTCAACTTTTCATCACACAGCTGCCATAATGCTTTAAAACTGCAGCTCAAGTTCATAGAATATCTGATAAGTCAAAGCTCAGTGGTGTCCTGAAGTCTGTGATCAGGAGTCGATGTTTTAGGTCTCTTTCTGACTCACCACCTGAATCCACTGATGGTTCATTAGCATTACTCTGCAGAGCTTGGACGTTTGACGTCACACCATTTGAGTCAGCTGTGTCGGAGCTGGAGTAAAGTTTTTATTTTCATTTCTGACCTTGCAGACACCTTTCCAGTTTTTATTCTCACATGAACTTCACGCCACCCTTATAATTATTTCAGAAAGTCTTCTGACCTTTGTGTCTTTGGTGTCACATTCCTGTATGGCAACCAGAATTCTGGTGTTGGGATGAATGTTTTTTTTTTAGCAGTATTGAAATTATATTATTTCGTAAAGCTGCAATGGAGACACTTTTTTTTCCCCTTCACACGAGTCTCACGATCAACGACCTGGTGTTGCTACTGGATGAAACGGCGAAGAAAAAGACAGGAAGTGGTAGGAGGACGATGGTGCAGCATGTTCTTTTGAATCGCTTCTCACGTGTGATTTTAATTGCATTAAAAAAGAAATAAATATTGAAAACACATAAACATTGTTTTTTTTTTCTTATTATCGGCCCACTTTTATATGTGGGGAAAAAAAAATGAACACAGATTTTAGTGTCGTCATGTATATTTCAAGATAAAATCGTAGCATGATTACTCAAGTTTACTACAGTGTGACAAAGCCTATGCTAATCCTAAGAGTTAGGACGGTTTAATGTCAAAATATGAAGTGGATTCAAAAAGTTAACACTTCCCAATTAACCATTTTCATTATTACACATTTCTTTAAATAAATGTAATAGAGACACGAGGTAGAGTGTCATTAAGAACAAGATGTTTGAGACAAAAACGTACAATTCATCCAACAAATTAACTAAAGAAATCAATGTAAACAAACAACATACAAGACGCAAGACCTGACAAGGACCTGACGAGGAACTAGGAACACAGGCGAGTATAAATACATAAGGAGACAATCAGGAGAAACAAGAGACAAACGTCACTAATCGAGGGGTACAACATAGAAACTCCACAAAACACAGAAACCAAAATAAACACGCAGAAAACCTCAAATTACTACAAGATGTCAGCTTTTTGTGACTTAAAAATCAAGAACGAAACATTTCCAGAACTATTTCTACATGAAAATGTCACATTATATAAACATTGACTGGAAACCCAACAATCTGGTTGCATCAGTGCACAAACACTTAACCTAATAATTTGTCGTGTGTTATGCATGCTGCATAATCAGACCACAGTGAAAAAAAAAGCAAATCATTCAAGTCAATATTTAATATGACATTCTCGCTTACGAAGAGTGGATTTAAACCTCCCCCTGAAGCAATGAGTGAAATCCTTTAGTGTTTGTTGAGTGGTGCAGCGAAGAATACATTTTATCTACAGCAATAAATATCCCCTGTAGGAAGAAACACACTAATTAAACCTGACAGTGTGAGTATTACGCGTGTCAGTCCAGTCAGGAGCTGTTTATCTGATGCATATATGGAGATGAATTGCAGTTTGTCTGACTAAATATGAAATTATCTTGCAAACTTGAATCAGTGATGAAATTTAACCAAGAGTGTTTGTCCTAAAAGAAACATAAAAGACAGAATCTATAACTGAGGCGGATAAATTTAAAATGAACTAATCTATTGGTTTTATCAGTGCCCTACAAGGAAGGACAACTTTATTTCTGCAGGTATAATACAATTTCATTTGACGGCTGTGTTTTATAGATTTAATCTGATATATTTTACAATATTTTCTTCAATACGCTGAAGCAAGTAAATGGTCTTTTATTATGATGTAGCAGCTATCTTTCCATTTCTATAATGGCTGTGTAAATCTTTATGCTTGTGATTTTGGATTACATTTTGTACCTGCTGCAGCGTGACGTTGTCCCGGTCCATTAGCCACGTTGTCCACGCTGATCCACTGCAAAGCCTGCAGCAGGGCTGGCCTAAGACTTGTGCACAAATCTGTTGCAAACTCTCTTTGTCCAAGCAAAACAACCTTTAGCACATGCAGGACATGTTCTGCAACAGGAGCTTCTCCGCGAACAACCATGTCCTGTACGAACACAGGCGAAACAGTAGAAGCATCACCTTTAAAAAATAACTACAGTAAAAAAAGAAGTTACAATAGAACCTCGGGAAAACAGGATAGATTTTAAATGCTAATTTTAAGGTTTACAAATTTCTAAATTGTAGCAATAATTTGTTGATCTCACCAAAAGGGTCAGCATCACATTTGGGTATTTCTCCATCAGAGCCAGCAGCTCTGAGGTTTCCCAGTCTGGTTCCTCATTCTGCTCCTGCTGATGTGTTTGGCTTCCTGTGTTTACATTACTCTCCTGCACACCTGCCTGCAGGCAGGAGTAACAGACAATAAAACTTTTCATTATTCTGATCGCAAGATCTGGAAAGAAATTAAGGTTAATAACTGTTAAGGTTATTTTATTATTAGTTACAATGCAGAGTATGACTGAAACGATTAATTGGATTAATCGTGATTAATCAGTAATTCAAAATAATCGTAAACTAATTTTACGATTAAACGTTAACTGAAGTATACATACTTAAAAACCCCCAACACTCTCAGACCAGTAATTCAGCCAAAACTGTACCAAAAATAAGTCACATTTTCAATTCAAGGTGAAAATAAAACCTCTGTCTGTAAATACGTTGGACCCAAAATTCAAAGTGGATGCAGTTTTAGCTTCACCCGGTACACATTCAGCAAAAATAAACACAAAACAGTTCTTTAAATGTCATGTGAGTTAATATATATTTTCCCATTTATCCATAACAAATAGAACTTTCAATATCTAACAAGTTATTTTCACAGTTTACCATCTATTAAAAGAGCGGCCCTCAGATTAATTTCACTCCCTGCTATGGCAGGGAGTGAAATTACTGTAATAACCCAATATTGGCTGGCAAGTGCAACGTCTCCCCTTTCAGAAACCGGTGAAATTTTTCAGAGTGTGAAATGTGTGACGGAGTTACGGTACTGAAAATTTGGCTGGACTGCCGTAGTACTTAAAGGTTTAAAAGCTTAAATGACAAATCTGCAGAATGTACAGATTTTTTTTTTCTAATTAATAAAAAAAGCCATCGATAGATCAATCGCTAACTAAACAATCACTAATTAAATCGTGAGTTGCAGGTGTAAGATTGTGTATGTACCAGGTCCTGCCTTGCTCCTGTCTGCGATTTCTTGGCCAACCAGAGCTCTAAGACCAGGGCTCCAAACTTCTGCGCTAGCTCTGGATAGCGCCAGATGAAGTGGAGCAGTGCAGGGTGGTGGCTGTAGAGGGAGGCGAAGCTCTGGCAGGACGACAGCGCTTTGCTAACGCAGTTCAGATGAGCCTAAAAAAGACCAGCAAAAAGAAGCACGATGAAAGCGAAGGGCTTTCTTCTAGATAAATATACAAAGCAGGGAGATTGCTTTTAAACCGAGCTGAGTCAGAGCAACCTAATTTAATATCTACCCTGTTGATATGACATAATCTAATCTTTCAGAAAATATTTACCTCTGAGCACTTTCAGAAAAGCTGTTTAATGCTCTTTGAAATAAAGCAGCACACATTTCCAGATAATGTTATTTGTTCTGCTTAGCATTAGATAAAATATATTAAAGATTAAGACGGGTGCCGGATCATGGAAAGCACGAGGAGATTTTTGTGCATAAAGACGGATAACGCCCGTTAATCTTGGATTATAAGCGTCCCGTGACTTCCACTTTAATGATTTTTACATTAAATCTCAGAGAGAGAGAGAGAGAGAGAGAGAGAGCTTCTGCTGATCTTTGCCTCTGTGCGCAGAAAATCCATCAGTCTGGGTACTGTCGTACTGATAAAACCCGGACACAATAAGACAGCGCTGGCTGCCATTAAAGCTTTCACGAAGAAAGCAGAGTGATTAAATATTTTCCTTAGAATGTGAAAGCTGAGTCAGTGAAGAAAAAAAAAAAACAAAAAAAGGAGTCTATTTATAGCTCAGACTATTTGACATGGCTAGAAAATGCAATTGTTAGGGTGGAATAAGTAGTATTCTGGAAATAATTGCTTTAGAGTCTGTAGTGCCTTAAAGAGAGCGCGTTATGAAATCTCTACTGCTTTGGTTGATATCACACATTTGAACGTCTGAATCAATTCAAGTTGACAGCTCTATCGTTCTACGTTTGAATGAACTGTTCATCATCTCTGGAGAAAAATCAATCATTCTCAAATTCACAACGAAGAAATCCAGCCTCTTCAGAAAATTTGCATTTACAGTGCCTTTAAAAAGTATTTACACCCTTGGGTGTTTTATCGTCGGATTTTAGCGGTGCTAGGATTTTTCTTTTTGGTAAAAAACCACAAGTTGGTGGTCAGAGGAGACGTGGCATCTTTTCAGTTATTGTAGTGACAAGTCTCTTGTACTTGGGAGCGAAGCATATAAACACAGAAATAGTGGTCAGTGATTTTAGAGAAGACTTTTGGATTCAATTCGAAGGACAAACTTAAATTTTTATTATCCGAGCAATACCGGTGAGGGCTCTGATACATGCAAACAAGCTCGTTAGTGCTGTTTGCAAACCGCCGCGTTGCCAGAGACGTGTTTCCGTTTTGCGAAACACACAAATTTAAAAATGGCTGAAAAACAACCTCATCCTGACGCAAAAACCTTTTATCAAAAATATAACTTTGCTTTCTTTTTTTTAATTTGATTGTGTTTTGGGCGCAGCAGTGGCAAATTTATTTTTACGATTCCAATTTGCGCAATTGTATCGTCACTGGCAACAAAAGTAGTGAGATATTTTTGACCCTCTGCACTCCGACTTCAGCTCAAGGACACAAATAAATTACTGTAACAAAAATTAAATAAAACAAAAAATCTTACCAGAACAGCTGAATTTGGTTTAATGCTATGCTGCTGATAGAAGGTGAGGACTGGAGATAAACGCTCAACTCAAAACTCAAACTTTGCATCTAAAAATCAGTAAAAATACATGCAATGTTTTCTTCTGAACACATTAAATGTATAAACATTAAATAATTCAGCAAAATATAAATGTTTTTTCACATCTGAGGACCCGCACATTTGCGTTCGAGAGCCTGAAGCCTCGTTTCCTCAACATTGAGGGCATTATTAAACAGGGTGCAACAAAGCCAAACAGTAAAGTTGATGAAGTTGTGCATTGCAGCTGACACAGAGCAACGGTGTGTCCTTCTCTGTTTGGTGAGCTGATCAGAGTTACCCCGTCGAGACTCGGGCTCCTGTCTTGGGTCACTGCCAGCAAGTAGAGGGCAGAGCGGAGAACAGAGCGGGGAAGGACGCAGTCGCCTTGCTCCTGCACCGACTGCAGCAGCACCACCACACTGGAGAACACGGCCTGGTCTGGGAGCAGCCTGGGGGTCACAAACAAAGCAATGTCACGACCTACCAACTCACAGGATCACAAATACATCCTCTATTTGGACTTTTAGAAGATTACAGGTGTGTGAAAAGGCTACAAAAGTTCTTCTCTACTGGTTTCTATAAGACAGAAACACACAAAGACACATCCAGGTAGGAAGACTTTAGACACTCTAATCTGTAAGCAGAGACAGAATCAACTTTCAGCCTCCCGATAAAATGTAGATCTACTTGTAAATCTTGGTGAGATCACAAAAAAGGCAAGGAGAGGCTTTTATTGCTCTACCCTGGAGGGAAAGCTTACCCACGGATCAACAGAAAGGCAGATAAAACTTTTAAGTAGACAAACAAACATTTCTGAGAGCCATAAAATATCTATTTGAAAACACAGTGAGTGCGCCGTAGGAGCCTGGCAGAAATATAAACCTGAACAGACACATCGTGACGGACGGTTTTATTTCTCACCGTGCTCTGTTAAAACTCCACCTTGAGAATGTCAACCATGCAAATGACTTTTAAGAGAGTGCAGCCTGAAATACAGCAACACTGAATTACAATTGAAGCAAAGCTGATAAACAACATTTACGCTTTTTACACTGCCTTACAAACCTATGTCCACTCTGTGCCTTTTTAAAAATTTCATCACGTTAAGACAAATATTGTAAAGAAACCTGAGGTGACAAACCAACATGAAGCTGTTTACATATCTAATGTCATGCAAAACTTTGATACATCGCTCATGTTAAAAAAAATAAATTGCAATTTGTGGTGTTTCCATGAAATAAGAAACACAATTAAAATCATATGTGATTAAGTTTGTTCACGTGATAAGACATGCCGCGGCACGATAATCCAACAACTTCCTGTTGTCTTCTGCATAGTTTGGCAACATTCGGTTGTTGATCATGACTTGTGTGATGTGAATAAACTGTTTCCTTTGCACTTTTGTGAAATAAATCAATTTTGATTTAGCCAAAAAACAAAACAAAACAAAAAAAATCACCTCATCCCAGCGCCAGAACCAAAAAAATAGTTTTTTTTTTTCAAAATTGGTTTTTCTCCATGAAGCGAATATGAAATCTCAATCTATGCAAATTTATGGTCATTTTGAAACGCAGCTTGTGAGGAAAATTAAAGTTTCTTGTTTTTTTCTTTAATAATTAAAATGTCTGAGATGTTCAGTGTCCAGTTGAACTCACCTCTCTTTTACTCTGGTACCTCAAAATTATTCATAGAATCAGTCAGGGCATAATTTAACTTCAATTTCCAAATATCTGCTCTGTGAAGCTATTTGCTAATGAATATTAGTCAACAAATAGCATCATGAAGATCAAAGAAACGCAGCAGACAGGTCGAGGAGAACGTGTTAAAGAAGTTAGGTAGGTTATAAAACATCATCCCAGACTTTGAACATCGCTCAATAGTGCGTTATCTCACAAACTGAGAAAAACATCTTGAACCAGAAGCAGCAGAGTTCCATGAAAAATAAATAAATACACAGAAAAACTTGTAAAATAAAAAACCATATCGAAGCTTCCCAAAAGGTATTCGTGGAGATAAATATTAAAGGCCTAAGTTTGAATTTATGGGGCACATTCAGCAACATTAAAGTTTCTGTAACTTAAAAGTTCTGACAATAAACTACAGCAAAGATGAATGTTTTTCCACTGGCACCGAGCAGAACAAAGTTTGGTGACACTGTACTTTTCCAATTGATTCCCGCAGCACAGTTAATATAGTTCTCCCCAGAGAAACTTGGCAGCCAGTAAATGACTTTCCTGATCAAAGACTCCTTTTGTAGCAGTGCAGATACACTGCATGCAGCTACAGGCGTCCAGTCCGGACTTCCATTGCGTTTCTTATTAAAGTACTCTCCACAAGCGACTCGATAAGAATGGCGGTTTTCACTGTACACTGAAATAATTATTTCTTCGTGACATTTAAATAAAACACAAGGCGCTTTGCGCTGCAGATTGTGTGTGGATTACGTTCTGGAGTGGAAACTGTATAGCAACCTGAAGAAACAGCTTGCAACATGTGGTAAGAATGTCTCAATCTTCTCCTTGGAGACAATTTTCAAGGAGAGAAAAGCTTTGTGACGCAAGAAGAAAGATTTTCTATTGAGAAAAAAAAAAACAACCTCTCCCACCATGTAAAAGAAGATATAGCTCAATAGATTCAAAAACAATGTGTTACAGCTTCAGTTTACAAGAAAACTTAATTTGTTTCTTTTATTCTGCACTCCGCAAGGACGGGGAAGAAGAAAGCGCTCCTGAATAAAAATGCTATCACACATCCCCAAAGTGTTTCCAAAACACGATTAAAGCCATAAATGATTTAGTTTGTTTTACGGTTTCATTGCTTGCAGGTATTTGCTGTAGTCGATACCATAAATAATTTTACCTGTCTCCTTGCTTCAGAGCCAGGTAGAGCATCATCACCAGGCAGTACTGGGCGGCCCTCGGTTCTTGATATTCACACAGCAGAGACGGCCAGTCTGACAGGTGACAGCACAGAGAGGAAAGGTTGCACTGCAGAAGAGTTTCCACCTCCTCAAAATCTGGGGATGAGGAAAAAAAAACCACAACAAATTCTCATGACCAAATAAAAACAAACAAAAAACTTTTTGTGAGTGTAAATAGAGGCCTATTCACTACAGATTCAGTGTCTTATTGCCACGACTGGCACTGCTAAAGTCCTGGGTAGGAAAACCTTGAGGGGTTGTGCTGATTTGTCACTTTTCCAATACCTTCTGGCAAAACCATAAATGAGGTCAATATCTGTCTCTTTAGAGAACAATGCTGTCATGGATGTGTGAAATCAATATCTGTATCGCAGAGGAACCGTAACGTGAGCCGTCAGCGTTGGTACCTGGAGAGACGGTTTGGCGAGAGCTGAAAGAGCAGTAAACAATAGGTGCTTTAATGAAGGCAACATACGGCGGAAAGAGGAAAATTTGGACATTTTAAAGCTTTTAAACTCTTTTAAACACTTTCACCCAGTGTTTGTTGTCAATCAAAATGGATTTCTGCAAGATTTGCTACGTTCAATTTAAGATCATTAAGATTTAGGTCTTAAAGTGATTTAAAAAAATAAAAGACATCAACTTCTGAGTAATGAGATGATCTGACATTTGATTCCAGTCACCCTACCCAACTTTTTGTTAGGCTTCAGTCAACTACTAAAGACAAAGGTGTAAATATTTGCTTTTTGTGACGAGTGAACATGTTTTGGGACGCTGACAGAAATGTTTTGAGTTTAATTCCTTAAATAAACTATAAAAAGATAGTTTTGCAACCAAAATTTCTCCAAGTTTTGCACTTTTCAACAAGCAGCAGAAGTCAGGTAGGCAGGTAGCAGCTTTTGACCAATACTTTACTAAAACAACCTTTGATTAAGAGTCTTACATCTTAACTCAACAATATTAATCTAGAATTTCTTCAACTCAGATTATGAGGACACTTCATAATCTGATCTGAAGCTGCCTTCAGATGACTTCAAAGATTTTCTGTCAGATTTAATCTCTGGCCATGTCATCCCAAAACATTCATTTTCTTCTGGTGATGTCAAAATGTTACTGGTTTTGACACGAGCTCAAATGATGATGAACATAAAAATCCCTCTTCATCTTCAGGAAGCGCCGATGAATTAAGTAAAATTGAATCGTTGCTGCTGTTTTTGTGCCAAACATATATTTTTTGGAAATATAGTAAAAGGCTCGAGGTCAGTTTCATCAGATTCTAGCCGGAGGTTTTTGCAAAGATTTCAGGCAGTCCTGGATCTTTTCTGCTGATGAAAATGCTTGGTGCACATTAAAGGAGAATGCAGGAGGATGTGGTCACATGTAAAACAGGATAGTTGGTAATCAGAAATTCCTGCTGCTACTTCTGCGCTTCTGCCGGTCTCTTAGCAGTCTCCCTTACCAGTTTCAGCCTTCTAGTTTTATTAGTTATGGAGAACGGTACTTCCATGCAGGCGAGGTAAAGGAGATGAATCTGAAGTGGCTCTTACAAGATATTACAATGCTGCATCTCTCTCACGCTCCATAAAATAGGAAAAATACATTACGCTTTGCACGGTGTTGCATTTTTAGATGTATCCTGCACACTGCTCAAACCAAATAGCTGCAAAACACGCAGGATTCACACAGTCTGTGGAAACCTCTATTTTCAGAGAAAACCGAGCTTCAAACTCTAATAAATCAACAAAAGCAAAAACAGATCAGATGTGATAAACTTAAATACTGCAGCTTTAGCAAAATGATCTAAATGAGGGAATGTCATGAAAGTTAAACTAATAAAACTGTCACATGTGAGACCAAAAAGACAGAATTAAAGGGTGTGAACATCGATGCCACCAGTTTTGTGTTTGTGCTTTTTGTTTACTTTCACACTTTGAGCATAATAATTTCAGTCAGACTCAGAAATAGTTACCTCTAAGCCAAGTTTAATATCTTTACTGAACATCTTAATAGTTTGATATTGTTTTTGTTATTGCCTCTTGTATATACATAGCAAAATGTTACTTATGTATTTATAAAAGATTTTCCGTACCTACACCAGTAAAACTTGAACGTCCGTATACGTACATGCAGCCACACTTATGATCTTCTGATTCTTTCTGTTTATGTGCAACGACTTTTCACTGCCAAAACAAATGTCACATTTCGTGTGAAAAAAGTGTTGAAAAGATTTACCAAGATCCACGATTATAATATTAATAAAAAGGAACTTTAATAATCCCGCTTGAATAAGATCCTTTTAGGTGATTATCGGGTATTTGCTACTTTAAAATAGAGACCAAATCCACACATATGACCATATTGTTATATTTAAAATATATTTATTATTCCTTCCTTGAAACATCTAAGAAGTGGAGGTTTTAAGGGACGGTAATAGAAGGGCTTTTGTTATTTATAAACCAGGTTTGAAAAAAGAAACAAATCTAGAAAAAAAGATTTTGCTAACATATGTCTTCTGGAAACCTACTTTAAACTGTGGTCATGTGTAATGATTTAGGTTATTTATTGCAACAAATATTTTCCCTACAGGGGTTCAAGCTTTCATAACCAGAAGGATGCAGAACAAACCTGCAGAAATATATGAGTGAATAAACTGACTGGAACAGCCAGAGTTTAACAAAAAGAAAATTCATGATTTAGGATCTTGAGAAAAAGCCAAGGACTAAAAGTGCTTCATAAAAAATAAGGTGAAAAAAAGACAGATTGAACTTTTTTTTTTTTAGCAGAAAACGAGTTTCAGATAAAGGAACACAGAAAACCGAAGAGTTTTGATAATTGCAGAGAGAATGGAGTGAGACAAGTGCAGAAAGGACAGAAGAAGAACAAGAGGAAGACTAAAAATAATGACAAACATGAATGAATGGATTCTAAAACAAAGGCAAGGAGGAAAAAGAAATCTGAATCATGGAGACTGAAGATGGTGCAGATAGCAGTGATAAAAATGTGGCAAGGCAGAAAATGGAGCAAACAAAACTCCAGTTCTCACTGCTTACACACACATACACACACACACACACACACACACACACAACTCCAGACGTACATAACAGTGATGCATGCTTACTGATACACATCTTACATCTTATTGCTTGGAAGAAATAATATTTTACTGAACAGCGTAACACGTCCCCTGGGAGCTGCTGCAGTCACTGAGATGCTTTTGTACATTTTACTTTTCATTTGGCAGCAATGTGGAAAGTGTGAGAGCAGAAACAGTGATGACTTTGATTCTGTTTTGGTTCTCATTCTTATAGTTTGGACTTATGCTGTACAAAAGTATACAGATGTTTCAGATCATGCTCACACATTCAATACATCCGCAGTTTCTGAATGTGACCTTGCTAACTTTAGCTGAGAGCAGCACCGACAGTTGGTTTGTGTTGGGGTTTTTTGACCATGATGCTCTTAACACACTTTCACTTCTTTTATGTTATGTACAGTGCCTTGCAAAAGTATGCAAACCTTTTAACCTTCTCCACATTTTGTCACAGAAGGAAATGGATACATTGTTTTCAAAACAGAAAATAAATAACTCTGAAAAGTGTGGCATGGATTCAACTTTAATGTTCTGGGGCCAATTGTCTCAGTAAGCAACACATCATCTAATCGCATGATAAATTAAAGCAAGCTCAATCTCCATTTGCATGATTTGTTGTTCTTCTCTTTCTACCCAAAAAAATGGATGACCAAGGACGTTGGTCTTTTTTGAAGGACAAATTTCTTTACAGAGACTTTGTAATTAATTTTATTTGATGTTTAATTTATTTATTTGGGATATTTAAAATGTCTTCCAGTGCCAGTGTTAAATGTTTATTAGGATTGAAAGTTTATTTATCTTTGACAATGTGTTCTGGCATCATTATGTCAGGTTGTGTAACCCCAGTGTGTCTTTAGCTTGTCCATATCTCCTGCAGTAAACTTTAATAAAGAAAAAACATGCTTTTTTCAGCAGTGGAGTTTTGCGCAGTGAGCTTACATAGAGGTAACTGTGTTTGAGGCCATCACTTGTCATGTCATTGGAGAAACTGACCCAGTTCCACGTCTTTCAGAAGCGTCTCTTCATGAAACTGTCTGTGAAAGTGTCTTCAGTCAGAGGCTTCTTCTAAGTAGTTGTAATACAGACCGCTACAGGAGATTTTTCCTGCCCACAGCCATCACTAACTCTTTAATTAAACAAGATTTAATTTTCCTCTGAGATCAATAAAGTATGTTTTAATTTGAATATCAAAGTTCTGTTTCAAACTCAACACCACCAAAACTATTTGCAGCTGTATAGCAGTTAAAGATGGTTCTACAAACCACTGAACTGGTGGAGGTAAAATGCACACGTTTTAAAAAAATTTTATTTGTAAGAAAAAAAAAAGTTCTTTTCCTTTCACCTCAAAGTTAGGCCCCATTTTGGTTTGGTCTACCACAGAAAATCTCAATGAAACAGTTAAATTTGTGGTTGCAGGCTGGCACATCATGGCAAAGTTCAAACGGTGTGAATATTTTTGCAAGGCGTTGCACCCGATCAGCCGCTACATTAGTGACAGCATCTACATTTACTTCACACTTTTCTTAAAATCTAAAAAAAAAACTCTTGCCCAACAAGCTGTAACTCTAGGCAACACACAGTAAAATCACCTTATTCTCAGTGGTTCCTAATTGACTTTGTGCACTGTGGTGCAACCATGTATGCAAGCTGTGTATACCATGACTGGAGCCACAGGGAGGGTCTGACTGGAAGAGTAGACACATGCTTAGTTTCTGCAGAAAGCCACAGCAAGTTGCGTTCAGATTTGGGTTCCTGCAACAATTCACAAAAGGGAGAAACGTTGACAAAACTCAGAATATAACCATGAATGCGTAAGATCACAGCAGAAACATTATCTCCTCTTAGGGAAGCTAAGAAATACATGTGCTCCCCATGAAAGGCTGGTCTATGGACGACTGAACTGTCAAACACAGGACAGGATGTGCTTTCACAACATGAAAGACAGACCGAGTGCAGTTCACTTTCATTACAGCTCAGAGCAGGGGGGCCTGAAGCCTTCTTCAACCACAACCACCATCGCACACAGCAGCACAAACGTGCAGCCTCAAACACGTGCAAATAACAGTCAATATGCTTTCATATAAGACAGAGAATGTTACACCTGCAGGTGCAACACATTTCTGAAAAAGATATTTCAGAATCCTCAGTCATGTTTCACAGTCTTGGTTTTTTTTCTTTTCTTTTTTTTTTTTTGCAATTGTGTCACTGAGTTCTGAATGAAGACACAGAACATGAACACCTCCACGTCTAAACGGCGTCGTTTTGTTAATTGCTGTTTATGAGCGTCCTTGTCTTTGTGTATTCTGTAGGTGTACCTGTTTCCTGCACAGAGGAGGGCTTTGTGCTCCACTGCCAGCCGATAGAAACCAGAAGACACTGGAGGGGAGAGAAGGTGAGGAGGGGAGCAATTATCCGACACAACGGTAATTATTCCAGGGACTCCAGGATGTCTTCTAGGACAATCCACAGCTTGAGTCTTTATGTTTTACTTCCTGTGAGACAGAATGTCTTCTACCTCGTTGTGTTTAACTTGCAAGCAAGAAAACAAGTTCATCCACTAACGCTTGTTTTTAAAGTGGGATTTGAATAATTCCTTAATTCCAATAAACTCTCATGAGGGCTGTTGAGTTTTAGTCAATTGTAATTTGAAGCCAAACCTTGTTCAGTATATGTTTTTTCTGAAGTACTTAATCATAAATACCTTACAGGAATGTTTCAGTTTTATTTTCTTAACATAATTATTATTATAATTAAGGAATATAAGGAATTATTATTCCTTCTAATTAGGTTGTTTGCTGCCTGTAAGTGAAATAATGCGGCCAGCATACGGCATACGTAGATTTCAGAAATAAAAAAAAGCCAATGGAAGAAGCAATATTGAACTAAATTTGACATGTAATGAAATGTAATTTGAAAACTTGTGTGAGAAATCTGAGTTTATTTAAGATTAACTGATGCCTAAAATTGGGATGATTAAATTTGATGCTTTTGAAAGCCCAGAGGAGACCCGGAAGGATTTGGGTAAAACTGCTCTGGGTCTCATAATTGAAGTGCATCTTTATATTTATTGAGACATACCCAACAGACTCGCAATAACAAAATGAAAATGCTACAGAGTGGTTTCAACATGCTCTGTTAAGGGTTTTTTCCTTTTTCTTTCGTTTTATGGAAATGTTTTACATCAATCCTGCAGAACACGGTTGCTTTTTCTCTGCATTGTTTTATTCAAAGCTGGCTTTCTGGTGACCAACTTCTCCTTAATAATCAAGTCTGATTGTATTCATTGACAGCTTAGTTTGAATTTCTTTTTAGGTTTTGATGAAATCAGGTCAGCAGTAACTACTAAGGTTTCTGCCTTAACCTTAAAAACATACAGTAAGTATTCGCTTGATATTACGTTACTGTGTCTATTTTTATTTAATTACTATTTTGCAGAAATTAGTTTTCACCTTCAAATTATAGTGTTTTTGGTGTAATTTATTTTGTCAAAAAAGCCAAATTGAGTTTATCATGATTTGTTTGTAAAAGCAATAAAAAGAAAAAAATCCATGGTGGTGATTTTTTTTTTTAAAATAGGCACTAAATAAATCATGTTACATGTCAAAGGTCAGCACTACTTTAACATCCTTCACATTATAGTGATTTTTTTCTAACTTTTCATAAAGTTAAAACTACCTCAAAGCTACTTGAAAAGAAAATATTTGTCTGAAAAACAGCAACATTTCACATTTACTGCAGAGAGTTATTAAAGCTCACCCAGTTTTTTTGCAAACTGTGGCATCAGAGATGGAAGAAGGACAAACTGCGAGCAAAGGATGGAGTAGAGCGACTCCAGAATCTGGGCGCTCGGCGGACCATCGCATGTCCTCTGTGGGGTGAAACACAAAAAGGGTCCAAGAACACAATTAGTTACAACCCAGACATTGATAAACATTCACAAGCTTCCATGTTTTATAAATAAGGCTGAGATCTAGAAATGAACCAATTAGGCTGCTGCTGGTCAGCATGGATTTGCCGTGACCTTTAATATTTCACCTGCTGATTCCAATTCTGATTAGTTTTTATAAGAACTATAAAGCAGAAATGGAAGGCAGAGCAACACATTGCTTTGATTGTTTTTATTCAACAAAAAACAAGAGAGCTGCATTTAGACAGAAAGTAATGAGAGTAGCCCTGTCATAATGACAGACTGATAAATTGTCCAAGAAGTTACTGCAATAACCAATTGTCATTTTGAGACCATTTCAAAGTAATATAATGGTAATGAACTATAATGCAAATAAACTCTCTCAAAAATTAATATAAATTCTAATGAATATTTAACGCTGGAACAGGAAGACATTTTGAATATCAAAATAAACAAAACAGAAACAACTAATATAATGAGTTATGAAGTCTCCATAAACAAAATTCTTTTGACAAAAAAAAAAAAGGTTTTAGTTTAAATAAAAATAGAATATATTTTATTGTCTCTTAGAGGAAACCAATGCACCAGAGTGACGACTTTCGTCATCCAGTTTTTAGTAGAAAGAGAGAGAAAAACAATAAATCATGCAAATGAAAATTATAGAGCTCGCTTTAATTTATTATGCAATTAGTTGATTTATTGTTTATTGTGACAAGCCGGGATGAGAGTTTTTAGTGATGATGCATGGATGAACTGGGAAAAACCAGCTGATTATCAAACCCTAACAAGGGAAATCTCCTGCAGATAAACTGGTGCATGTGGTGTTGTGTTTTTGCCATGCCATTTTTCACAATTTCTGCACACATTTCCAAATCTATAATACTGCAAACATTTTTTTACAAATTGTCACAAAGTTTGAGTTCCATCATTCAGACATCAGCTCTGTAACTTTGGGCCTTACCAGCACGGTTGGTATCCACACAGAGTCGCAGCAGCGCAGCAGACACTGGCAGACGGACTCCAGTGGATCCTGAGCGCCGCTGTGTTTATACGGGGCTGTGAACGGGTTCTTCGTCAGAGCCGGCTCTGACGCACACTCCTCTGCGAGCCTTCAATGTAAACAAGACTTTTGTTTAAACGAAGACACAAAGCACAGCTTGCACACAGGAACAAAGCAGAGGATGAGACTCAGAAAACGCAAATGATGCACAGAAAAATACCACATTGTTATATTTTCCTTTCCAATTTTACTAAAAAGAAAGAGACCTTTACGCTAAGAACTATTTGATCTAGTTCAATATAAACTCTAATAACACGTTTCACTCGTTATTTCTAAATTAGAAACATTCACTAGAGAGTTTCATTTGAACAAACTGATGCCTACTTGTTAAATTACTGGCAGAGATCTGCACTAATTATTTTACTGAGTTCATTGAGCCATTTGTTACCTGCAGGCTGCCTGGAAACAGATCAGAGCTTGGAGCAGAAATCCTTTGGACCGAAAGGTCTGGCTGCTGGAATCCGAACTTTGTTTGTTTCCCTGTAAGATAAAACAGAGCTGGGTTAAAACAAAAATAATAGAGACTGTAAAACTCAAAAAGAAAGAGCTTTAACCAATATTAATTATTATTATGTCTGACCGTATTGCATAGAAAAAAGAAATATTGATATTCTGTGTTATTTAAGTCTGTATTAGTAAAAAAGAAAAACTTTTTTTTACAGAGTTCTGATTGAAAATCAGTTCATTTTTCACTTCCTAACCTGACACAAGCGTTCATCAGGTTTACGGAAAATGTTCTGGAGGAGAGAAAACACCTTGATGGCTCAGGGGTCAAAGGGCAAACTGGTTCAAGGTGGAGAGAAATGCAGCAGTAGCTTAAATATCCACTAATTACAACCAAAGAATGAAGAGTACAGTTTAATGAATACGCAGTAAGTCAAACCTCGAAGCAAAAGGGCTTATGCAGTTTGCACAAGTACAAACTGGAAAAACGTTGCTTTGTCCGCAGAGTTTTGGTGTCACGTTTACGATACTCAGATGCCAGAACGTTTTATTTATCTCTGCAGCGTAACTTGTCAGGCTCCTCACAACCACCAGACGTCCTCATTGCTTTTTCTGTGCCTGCCACACCCACCTCACCTGACGCCAGATCAGGTGAGGTGGGTTGAGGACTTTTTCACAACTTTCCTTTTTATTTCTGTCTCCTCGTTTCTGGATGTAGTCCAGCACATTCCTGCCTGACTGCATTTAGACATGTAAAATCTCTAAGTGCTAAAAAAAAATTTTATTTGTATTTACGACAAACTCATATATATGCAGTGTGTTGTTTTTGTAGAGATTATTGCATCCTGAGTTCAGCTATTTTTACCCAGTCGAACAAACTATTGCTTGTGTGAGAAAACGTGATTTATCCTTTAGCATCCTCGAAAACAAGGCAATACCACAGCGAGACTTATTTTCAATAAAAAAGTGTGATATGTTGTGGGTTGGCAACGTAGCAATAAAACTATTTATTTAAACAGATGTTTTACTTCCCAATAAGATAAGTAACTAAGGCAACCAATACTTGCTGCATAACAAGCTTTGAGGCATGTCACTGCAGTTGGCAAAATTATATTTTATATTTTTTATTTAGTTTTTCTGATAAGCTAAAAAAATACATAAACCTTGTAGAGGCAAACACAGACGACTAGGCAACCAAAAACACCTGCTGTTGCATTTTTAAATGTGAATATAATGGATACAGTTTTATTTGATCAAGTACCTTTAAAAAAAAACAAAAAAACATGTCTTGACAATTTTTTGTTGTATTTTTAATCTGTTTTGGGAATTAGCTGATTAATCTTTGTTGTTGAATCAATTACTATTATCGTTATTTTTGCTTTAATATTGTTTTATGTTGCAATGCTATGCATTTATTTTGATTGAAGAACAGAGATTAAAAAAAATACACCAGTAAGGAATTATTTAGCAGACTCTTTTAAAAGACTTACTTATTAAATTATTTTACACAATTATATATTCTTTCACATCTGTTGCCATTAGCGCGCACAAGGAGAGACTCAGAACATACTGACTTACCGAATTAATCATTACAGTACCTACAGCAACCTTAAAAAACATAATGATGTAGAGATTTATGAGCAGAACAGATTAATAGTTTGAACTGGCTTGTATAAAAACAATGTGTGACTTGCCATGCTGCGTCGATGAGAAGGGGAAGTCAGAATCAGCTCAGGGAACCTGCTGGTGATGGCCTCCACCAGTTCCTCCAGCTCTTGGTACTGGACTGGTCTGGACTGATGGTTGAGTCTAAAAGAGGCAGAGACATTCCTTTGATTAAGGAAGCACCTTCTGATATGTTAAGAAGATGGATTGCAAAGATAAAGCCACATAAAAACTAATGAACAGCTTCTTCACCGTGCGTTAGCTATGATTTATGTGGGCTGCAATGTAGATACAGGTTCTTGGCAGACTATAGAAAACGGATAACGCCACAATTTACTGTCCATTTTCTGCTTTGCTGTAAAACTTGAGTTGGTTTGATCTTAAGCTCACAAACCGATTTTTCTTCTTTCTTTTTTTTGCCTGAAATGCCTTTTCAGATTTTCCTGAGGTCTTGGTGGATCAAAAAGATTTCTCCTTGGCAAAAGTGAGAAAGAATTACGAAAACAAAAAAGAAAAAAATACATTTCATTTTCAATGTAGTTTTGGATGTGCTGTAAAATGAGTCTAGATAAAATCTCAAAATCTGAAGTTTCTGAAAGCCGATTCTTTAGTGAGGTAATGTTTGCCTGTATCATAAGTCAAATTACGAAAAAAAAAAAAAAAAACATGTCCAGGTCTTAGCAGAACATGCATATTCATACTCTGGAAATACAATTTAATTAGGTACAACATATTTTCCTTTATCTCCTCTGAACTTGTCAAAAAAATACAAATTACAGCGCTCTCCACTGTTACTGGGAGAGATCCGAACAAAAACTTTAAAATAAATTATTACTGAGAATCCACGTCCCCAAGATGTCACTTTTTATTGCAGGTCTCTAAAGGTCAGATTTGGAGATATTTAACTTTCTCTCCATCACACTTATTTTGAGTGCAGACAAAATAAACTTTGGTCCTTCCTCCTTGTTTGTCCAAGTTTCTATTGTTTTGTCTCAGTCCTGAGTGTAGATATGTTGCAGCTGAGGGGAGACGCTAATTTGCAGCACTTTTATCAACTGGCTTTGATGAGATTTTAAGCACACCCATGTAAAGTCAGGACTTTCATTATTCATGCGTATCTTTACCATAAGCAAGTTGGAACTAAGTAAAAATAAACTCATGCTCTGAAAAGGCAAGACAGAAAAGAAAGAAAAAGAAAAAATGTAACAGTATTTCAAGGATAGATGTAGCGATACGAACCTCCTCGACAAAATGCGTCTCATTTCTACGCATGTCTACATTTTGGGTGTTTATACCTGAACAAAGCGGTTGCAGCTTTGACAGCCTGTGCGGCGACCAGCAGGCAGGAGGAGGAGATGCCGGCTTTTACCGCCTCTGACACTGACACAAACCCTGAAGCACTGGGGAACAGATGTACGCCTGGAGGCTGTCTGTTCACACACATAAACACACGGGTACAGCTTGTGGTGCTGTATATGTTTAGAACATAAGCTAATAAGAGAATAAAGCAGAAGACAGTACATTTTGGTTAATATTTTTTTGGGGTTTGGACAATCTTCCAGTGCAGTCTACTTAAAGAAAAGGGAGGATGGATGTATTTGTCCAGGGTTTCTACAGGTATTACCAACTCAAACTGAAGGCTTCTTAAGCTTCTTATTACAAATAACATTTAATATCTATTACATGACTAAAAAATAATGCATGTTTTATAATCTAGTAGTGTTGAGCTTTTTTTGCGTAGAATGGACATGAGATAGTGAAAAGACTAAGATAAATTGCACTTTTCCATAATAGATGCAAAGAATTCCAGCTATGTAGCTAGCTAGGTTTTATCAGCAGCTAGTTAGCGGTAGCCTCAACTGCCTCGAGTTACAGAACAAAATTAATATATCTGCACACGACTTACACATTTCCTTTACAGAAAAATAATTTGAGAAAAACTAAATTATACAGAATATATGAGATTAAATACTCCTGCTACATCAAAAGTTAATACATGTGAAACCTATTTAAGGCGAACTTATTGTTTTAAATTAATGTAAGACATTTCAAGGCCTTAATTTTAGATACGTGAACTTAAGACTCTATGAGTGTTGGAGAAATTGTGATATTATTAATCAATTATTTGTTATTCTCATTGATCTTTATAATGTATCTTTAATTGATGCTTTCCTTAAAGTTAATCTCATTATAGAATTAAGAATGTTTCTTGTATTGTTGATTTGCTCTGATTCCTTTCTCAGAAGGCCTCACTGACAGAGAGCAGAAACAAAATCTTCCTGCAGGTTTACCTCTTGGTGAAGAGCTCTGCTTCGGTTGAGCTGCTGGCCTCCAATAAAACCATCATTGCTAAGATCACTACATATTTTATTAATCTTTGTGCCTGGAAGGACATTATCTAGTACAGAATGATTGTGTGTTAGTTAGTGAATAACATTTGACGCTGTAGCTGTTTGCCCCCTCCCTTTAGAGCTACAGCGTCCTTGTGATTAGGGATCCTAGAAACAATAAAATAGAGGAGCAGACAAAATGTGCTTCAGAGCGGTAGGAGATTGTAACTGAAGCACATCTCTGTCCGTTCTCCTCGCGAGTGAAAAAGAATCTAACTCTTTTGTCTTTTCTGTCTTTGTTAATGTATGTTTAACAGGTGTTAACCCTAACATTTTTGGTCCTTCGAGCCGGATGTCATATACTGGAAAGATTCCGGCAGGTGTGGCGGACCCCAGTAAGACCGTGCGCACGGCAAGAGAACCTGTTAAAGGACTGGGCTCGGCCTGCCTGCTGGGATCTGAAGGTTGACGACACTCCAGGGAAAGACAAGAGAGGGTGAGTGATTCTTCTTTAAAAGTGGCGAATGACGTTTTAGAGAGTAAGTCATTCTTCTGTGTGAGAAGAGTGACTTCTTCTTTGACTGAAGGTTGTTGCGCGCACAAGTGAAACCCTGTCAATTCTAGACTCTAACAGGTAAAAGTAATGCACAAAATCCGTGGATAGGCTAACGGAGCCTGGTGCTTCAAGGCTGGAGGCCTTGTCCTGTTCTGGGGAACCAACAATTGTACTATTGTGGCAATGATAGCAGCCCAACTAATACTAGAAATGTTCTGGGTAATAGCAGCTCAAATAACTAATACAGCACTGTTCTGGGTAATAACAGCAACTCAAATAACAATTGTACTATTGTGGGTAGTAACAGTAGCCCAACAAAATACCTGCACTGTTTTGGGCAGTAACAGCAGCCCAATTAGTAATTGTACTATTGTGAGCAGTAACAGTAGCTCAACTAGTACCTGCAGGCTAAACGGATTGCGGAGTCCGGCGAAAACAGGCGCTTAAGTTCCGTATCAGTATGTAAGAGATAAAAATAAAAAATGAAAGACAAAAAAAAAAATAATAAAATAAACTAGAAAATAAGGGTTGGTAAACCTTACCTCGCTGGAGGTCTTGTAAAACCCTACTGGGACGAGGACTTGCAAACCTCACCTGGTTCGGGGTTTTGCAACCTCACGTGGTTTGAGATCTTACGAACCCCACCTGTTGTGGGAACGGGGCCCGACGAATACCCGTGGTTAAATGGACGGCGATAACAGGCGCTTCAAATCCGTGAAACAAAAAAAAAAAGGTGTGTATGTGAGCGTGATTGGAGGTATAATACCACTTGGTATTTTATCTCATGTAAAACAGTAGGATTGTGAGCAGCAAACCTCTTGTGGATGCACAGGCAAGAACTCTCCACTCGAAAGAGTTGAAGTGAGAGTTACCACAACAGGTCTTTTCAATTGCTGGCCTACTGAATCAGATCTCCAGTTTCTAGGACTCCCTAGGAGTCGGCAAAACTGGTCCAAATTTAAATAAAAAAAAAAAATGGGGAAATGAATAAGTAAAACTAAGCCAACAGACAGTCTAAAATCAAATAACTGGAAAGTTATTTAAGATCAGGATAAAAAAAAACAAATTCAAATAAAAATTGTACGAGGAAGGGTATGATGATGTACAATTAGTAGCGCAAAAACGAGAAAGTGGGGAGAAAGAAATTACAAAAGAAAAGGAAAAGGTTCCAGGAGCCTTTTTCCAGGATGAGGAACAAGTGTTTTATGAGGACAGGAGAGGAAGAGAAGGCTTTAGGGGCAGAGGTCAGAACCTTAGAGGTTTAAAAGGGAGACATGGGAGAGGAAACTACAGGCACAGTTACTCGGGGTGCTGGTGTTGTGGGCAGGAAGGACATTTAGCCAGAGATTGCCCGAGAAAAAGAAACAAAAAAAAAAACACAGGACAGTCAGCATGATTAAGATCAGAGAAATTGGGGAGTGAAGAGGTCCAGTTAAATCTTCAGGATTTACTTTCTATGGACAGCATAAGACCTGAAATAACTCTCCTAATAAATGGCAAACCTGTAAATTTCCTCTGTGACACGGGTGCATGTAGAACAACATGTAGAGAAAACATTCTTGGGGTAAAAAATTTGTGGTGAAAATGTCAAGATCAGCTACAGGAATAAAAGAAGGGGATTTCTTTGTTGTCCAGGGACACAGGGAACTGTATTACTTTTATTCATTGGATGTGCCCAACAAACCCCCACACAACACTGCACAAACACTTCTGGCAGAGGGGCATAAAGCCATTTCTGCCCTACAGGATCAAAAGTCTCCTGATGATTTGCATGTCACACTTTGGTTCAAAACAGTTCCTGGGCCTGATAGGAACTATGAAGCGAGACTCAACAAGGTCACCCCAGCCAAGATAACTGTGACCTATCTGTACACAGACACAAAACATGTGACTGATCCACACACATTGTTGAATTCTCTTAGATCAGATGCAAAAGTATTCACGGTTGTAGACATCAGTAAATGCCTTTTTCTCAATACCAATTGAGAAAGAGAGCCAATTTTGGTTTGCTTTTACTTTTGAAGGGAAAAGATACACGTACACCAGACTACTTCAAGGCTACTGTGAAAGCCCTACAATTCTCTTTCAAGTAATGAGTGCAAGTATGTAAACTTTTCAACCCCCAGGAGGGAGCCAAGTTTTGTTGTACATAGTTGATGTTTTATTGGTTTCTCCAGACAGGGAAACCTGTAAGCAAAACACTTTAGCGCTTCTGCAACATTTAGCTAAAGAAGGTCATAAGGTTAACAAAATAAACTTTAACTGTGTAAACGAAAAGTAAAATATTTGGGTCATAATTTGAGTGAAGGAGGACGAACCATAGCGGAGGATAGAAAAACGACAATTCTCCAAGCTCCCAAACCACAAACAAAAAAAAACAGATGATGTCCTTTTTGGGGTTGACTAACTATTGTCGAAACTGGGTGCCTAATTATGCAGAAATTGTGGCAGCTCTGAATAAATTAATGTATAAAAGATTTTAAAATGTCTTCTTCTTTGTTGTGGGCAGATGAAGCAGAAGAAGTACTTTGCAAACTAAAACAGGCCCTCGTGTCAAGCGCTGCGTTAGCGTTACCAGATTATCAATACAAAACCTTTTGTTCAGATGGTGGATTGTAAAGGTCATGTCATGACCTCGGTGCTAGTCCAACAGCATGGTGATAAAATGAGACTAATAGCATATTTTTCTTCAAAACTTGATAGTGTAGCGTGTGCCTTACCACATTGTGTGAGAGCTGTAGTTGCTGCTTCTATGGCAGTAGAAGTTAGAGCTCCTATAGTTCTTTTTCACCCATTAACATCAAAAGTAACACATGCAGAATTATTAAAAGAATTATTACAAGTCGTGCACCTACCAAAACAACTAGCAATCTGTAAATGTGCGGCGCACACTGCAGGGACAGATAAGGTGTCCCTAGGGAATGCTTTCGAAGACAAAATAAAAAAAAGCAGCTGAGGGAGAGATAAATGTATTACATGTGGATGAAAAAAAAATTAAATTTATGAAAGAAACTTTAAGAGACATGCAACAATTAAGTCCTCAAAATGAAAAGGATTTATGGATAAAAAAAATGGAGCAAAATTGGAAAATTATATGAAACTGAACCTATTTTACCAAGAAAAAGATGTGTATAAATGGGCTGCAATATTGAGCCATGGCGTTTTCGCATGTCTCAACAGGGGGGATGTTAGGATACATCGACATTAAACTACTTATGGATTTATTTCTTATTTAAAAAAAATTTCTGTAGGACCTGTTTGATATGTGCAAAACATTACTCTCAGGGCAATCTAAGATCACTTAGAGGAAAATTTCCTACTCTGCAATATCCATTTCAAGTAATGCATATGGACTTCATAGAATTGAATAACAGTGAAGGACAAAAGTATTGTTTAGAAATAATTGATGCTTTTCTAAATGGTTTGAACATTTCACTAAAAACCCAGATGCAGCGGAAAAGCCAACTTGGATACATTTAACACACTGCAAAAAGGAATTTAATTTCAAAAGTAATTGGGAAGCAAGCTCAGGACGCTCACCGACCTACAGGGCAAAGTCCAGGTTACAAAGGGGGTTAAACCAAATAGTTTTTCCGTCTCAAAACTGGTGAAGATTGTCCACAACCCTGTAGTGTCTTTAGGAGCAGAACGGACTTGCACATTAATGAAAATAACAAGTGAATATATCTTTGTTTTTATTTTGTGTTTTTCATCTGGGAACAATTCATGTCATAAATGAAAATGTATTTCTTGTAGCACTGTTTACAGAATGAGGATGAGTATTCAGGTATGTTTTCCACCTAGTTCTGTTATCATTGTTTTAGTCTCCTGGGCAAGTATGACGTCGGCAAACTACAGAGATTAAACTTGATATATGACAAATGATGTTTTTAACATCTGACTGTTCTCTCTGTGAACAATGAATTTAACCCTGTCTTTCGTGCAGATGTCTGGTGGTGGTGCAGTGGTGACAAAATTTTTAATAGATTACCTAGGAAGGTAACAGGGATGTCTGCATTAATTTCTTTATTATTGCCTGTTTCTGTTTATCCAATGACTGCTGATCATTTAATTCATGCTTTAACTGATGTTGTGCCTCAGCAGTGACGTCAGTTGCAGAAGCGAGACCTGACCTGGAGGAACAATGATCCTACATACATCGATGCCATTGGTGTTCCCCGTGGTGTACCAGATGAGTATAAATTGGCCGACCAAACTGCAGCAGGATTTGAGTCCACAATTTGTTGGTGGTGTACATTAAACAAAAACGTTGACAGAATCAACTACATCCATTACAATGTACAAAAACTGGGCAACTGGACACAGGCAGGCTTCGAGGCGGTGCATGAGCAGCTGGCCGCTACATCACTGATGGCTTTCCAGAACCGCATTGCACTTGACATGGTGCTGGCTGAACGAGGGGGAGTGTGTGCAATCTTTGGTGAAAGATGCTGCACTTTTCTACCCAACAACACAGCGGCTGATGGCAGCCTGACGAAGGCCATTGAGGGGTTCCGTACCCTTAATGGTAAGCTGAAGGAGTTCTCTGGAGTGAATACTTTCAGGTGGGACGACTGGATGAATGTTTTTGGAAAGAACCGAACCCTTGTGTCCTCTGCTTTAGTGTCAATGGCTGTCTTTGCTGCCATTCTAACCTTGTGTGGATGCTGTTGTATTCCTTGCCTGCGTTCTTTGTTTAATAGTCTCATCACTACAGCAATTTAGCCCATGGGGAACCAGATGATGCCGATGTATCCCTTATTGGCGAGAGAACCTGAGTCTGACAGAGAAAGCTCTGATGAGGACTCTTTTGATGTGTTTCCTGATTCTAAGTTTTGGACTGAGTATAAACCTTGAGTGTAAACATGTTTGCTTTCTTAAAAAATGAACTCCTAGTTGAAAATTGTTCGAAGTGGCTGTTTAGGAGAGATATGAGAATTAGAACAAATATTTGATAAACAGGGGGGAAATGTTGGAGAAATTGTGATATTATTAATCAATTATTTGTTATTCTCATTGATCTTTATAATGTATCTTTAATTGATGCTTTCCTTAAAGTTAATCTCATTATAGAATTAAGAATGTTTCTTGTATTGTTGATTTGCTCTGATTCCTTTCTCAGAAGGCCTCACTGACAGAGAGCAGAAACAAAATCTTCCTGCAGGTTTACCTCTTGGTGAAGAGCTCTGCTTCGGTTGAGTTGCTGGCCTCCAATAAAACCATCATTGCTAAGATCACTACATATTTTATTAATCTTTGTGCCTGGAAGGACATTATCTAGTACAGAATGATTGTGTGTTAGTTAGTGAATAACATTTGACGCTGTAGCTGTTTGCCCCTCCCTTTAGAGCTACAGCGTCCTTGTGATTAGGGATCCTAGAAACAATAAAATAGAGGAGCAGACAAAATGTGCTTCAGAGCGGTAGGAGATTGTAACTGAAGCACATCTCTGTCCGTTCTCCTCGCGAGTGAAAAAGAATCTAACTCTTTTGTCTTTTCTGTCTTTGTTAATGTATGTTTAACAGGTGTTAACCCTAACAATGAGACATTTTAAAGGGGAAGTATTATGTGTTATTTAGAAATAGACTAAATAAACCTTTTGAGCTCCTCAGAGTTGCAGTTTTTAAATATGATGATTTCCTAAATCTGGAGTTTCAGAAAGAGCAGGAGTTTTTAAAGAGACAGAGACCCAATTTCTCTGCATTAAATTATGAAGTCAGATTTCTCTCAAGTCATATTTGAAATATATACAACATTTTTCGAACAAATTAAAGTAACATAATGGACTACTCTATAAAACAGCACCATGTGCCAGGAAAACACATGATACTGTCTCTTTAAGGATCCACAGACATGACATGTTGCTCAAAGGTTTGCTGTGTGGACATCAGCAGTATTTTTTCTATGTCACTAGCGCCCACGTATCCATGCACACTGTGTTTTCTTTCCTCCCGGCGAAGCAGAGCACACAAAATAAATAAACGGCACTGACCTCTTAGTGTGACAAATATCACCAAAGTTTGTCTGCCATAACATCTGTGAACTGTTGCCACAATAAGTGTCACATAGAACATTCTAAATAACACAGGCATGCTCGATGTCATGTGTACATCATGCCAAAAATTTCCCATCAAGTCGTTAAACTCTCAGAATCCTAAACAAACAAAACTCCAAACTCTGCTAAAAATCTCACACACACCCTGATCCACCCATATATATATACACACTCGTTTTGGCTCACTCAGCACTTCAGTGCTTAAACGTAGCTCTTAAAGGACAAATTTCACTCTTGGATTATTAAATCTTTTATCTCCTCTATCATTACCATGTGACCGGTCACATTCCATTAAAATGATGTCAACCTTGCAAAAATAGGACGGTGTTTTATTAGTCAGTGATACATTTTCATCATGTGGACACCAGACAGTTCATTTAAATCCAATTAAACTCAACAGTGCACCGCACTTAACATGTTTTACAAGAAGTCACCTCACTATGCTGGTTGGTGCACCTTAGTGTTATGGCTTAGGGTCATTTTTTGGGCAAGTAATCCAAGAGTAATTCACATACTGTCAAAAGTGAAAAATATAATTAAGTCTGTAATAAATCACTCAAAACATAACATGATGCAAAGACATAAGAACACTGGAAAGTCATTAAACGTAAATAAAAGGATATTTTTATAAACCAGACCAATTAACATAAAGGACAAGACAGTTTTTTACGCAAATGTTAATAAAAGATGGAAATTAGTACTTGCTCATTGGCAAAATATGGGTCAATTTCATCAACCTAAAAGCAATTTGAACCAGATAGCATAAAATGCTATCTGGTTCAAATTGAATGCTGCTGCTTCGGATTCAATGCAAAGCAGCAGAGCTCCGGAGCTGTCGCCTGCCTGTGAGAAACTATATAATCAGTAGCAGAGGAAATGTTTAGTAATCTGGTTTAACTGGCAACTGGGGCATATTTTGGGGGGGGTGGTTATGGCCGACCTGTCGGGACGCTGCCAATCAACCCTGAGCTCAGCGATGCCAACTCTGTGGATGCAATTGTCTGGATATCATCCAGGCTCATCAAGCTCCAATTGTATGAAGCTGAAGAGTCCAAGAGCTGGTTTTCCAAATGAAACGGCAACTACTGACTGCACACACAGTGCAGGATGAACCTGTTTGTGTCAACAGGAATCTTTTTCCTTCAATAAATGCATAAACTATAAGTGATGCATAAATACAATAAAACTGTTTTGGGAAGGCGGTCAGGCATTTCCTCATGAGAATTTATTCAGCTGAAATTGTGTTTATAAATGTCTGAGTTTAAACACACAATATTTGTACATGAAGCACTCGGTGTGCTGCACAATCAGTCGATTTAACCAAATTTTGTTTTGTACTGATATTTAAAGCAACAAGTTCATTTGAAGGGATAGAAATTCAATTTCAGACCAAATTTGCCTTTTATTCTTTTGATTTAACTTTACTTTATTCAACAGACTCATGGTCCACAAGATACACAAAAACACAACATAAAAAACAAGTCTCCAAGTCGCTACTTTTATTGTGAGGTGATTGAAAAGTTTGTCTTTTGTTAATTTACTACCAAAGAAATCAAATAGCGTCCATACTTTACTATTTTTAGTAAAATGTTTTTGACCTAACTTGAATTGATTCAGGCAACAAAAACACACCTAATTAAATTAATAAAAATATTGCTATGTCATAAAACATACTGATTTTACTACAGTTAAACACATCAATAACTTTTTAAACTGCATTATTGGTAACCAGAATCCAAAATTCATCTCACAATTTGTAAAGGCTCACCTTTGAAGTATTTCGGTGAGGAGCAGAAAACCTTGTTTTGGTGCTTCCAGATTGCTCAGCTGCAAAGCCTCCTTAAGACTGCGCACCAGGGACTCGATCCCTAGAACACAAACACAAACACAAATACAACGGGAGAAAAACAAACAACAAACAGCAGCATCTCGCTCAAGTGTTCTGAGAACGTACACGTTATACACCATCAACTACAATAACTTCCTGCATTAAAATATGTGACAAGGCCTTAAATAATAGCAGAAATTATGCACCAAGAAAGCGACCCTCATTTTCATTCGTTTTACACAGCAGCAATGAGCCGTGTTTCTAATTTACTGCTACATGGATGCTGCAGTAATGAGCTCATTTTCTCACTGATCTAGCAACAGAATCCAATATGAGTATAATATCAAGAAGTGGACAGGCAGATATTACACATGCGGGCATAATTTTTTGTGACTGGAGATGACACTTTGTTTGAAAAGGGTCACATGAAAAAAAAAGTATCTTAAACAGCATCAGTATGTCCGCTAGATTTCCTACGCTCGATTCGCATCTCCCTTCAAAGCTCAGTTTGGCATTTCTCCCATTCACTCTGATTTTCTCTGGAAGAATTTCTACTGGGCAAACAGCAGACAGGAGAAGATATGATAGATGACTTTTGATTTTCTGCAGCATTTTAAAATTCTAGTCTGCCTGTAGTTTTAGCAAGGCCAGCAGAGAAATGAACAAAGCCGATCAGGTGAAGTTTGCCGCGCTTCCAAATACTGAATTAACATCAACAGCCATTTTGTTCAGCTTGCCACTTCTCTCTTCGCAGTAGAGGATGGTTGTTCACAGTCCAGGTCATTTTCATAGTATGTGATGTATAAGCATAACATGCGCCCTGGGCAGAGAGTCTACGCCTCCAGGAAGCAATTGTTTTTCAAAAGTAGAGAGCCCAGACCCTCTGTACAAAAAGTAGAGCTATAGGAACTGTTTGTCCTCTGCTTTCTTACTATCACACAATATAAAGAGGGCAAAAAAAAACATTATTAAAGAACCTCTCATCCTTGTAGCTTTATGGTATTTCGTAAACTGTTTAGATATAATGTATGTTTTAGTGTTTGTGTTTTTATTAAGATGTCTTACCTTGCTTACATTTTAATTGAGTGTCGCTCTGCCCTGAAGGTTTACTTAAATTGCAACAGGTTGCATATTACAGTTGCAAGTGGCTGGTAAACTGTTCCTGTCAACTCAAAGAGCTCTAGGCAAGATAACAAAGGACCCACTGAAGGACGAACCTGTCAACTTCACAGTTCTGTCATGACTCTTTGAAGGGCAAAGCAAAGGCACTTGTGTTGATAAGGAAACATAAGAGATCATTTTAAGGAGCCACAGATCATACAATCTGATCAGAGGCTTAAAACTGAAATCACAATCAAAAAAGGAAAAAAACAAATACAAAAATCTGTATTTAAAGCCAATAATTAGAATAAACACTCCTTTTAAATGGGAATAAAACAGAATACATAAATTAAACGATTTAAAATACAATTAAGTGAAACTACAGATGTTCTAAAATTACAGATGTAATTACCTGATGGCTAAAAAGGGAATAAGTGAGATTGAGGAGGAGTCTTGTTTATAAGATGAAAGCAGGTGTGGTAAAAATATGAGATAGAGAACATTAATGATTTGAAATCTTAAAAGTCATGTTTATAAATTAATAGAATAATTAAATCAATCAACTGTGTTAACATTTTAGCAACAGAGTCACTTAGTGACAGTTTCTTTTCATTTTTAAAACTGTGGAATTTAAAAAACACTGCAAATCTACATTTAAAATTAATTTTAAAAAATATTTGAACAGTGACAGACTATATAAACACAAACCTCCACAATGGGAAATTTACTAAAACTTTTTATCAATCAAATGAAATTCACAAAGCAACATTATTCTGCATGAGCTTTTAATGGCCTGTATCTCCATCAGTGATCAATCATCAGTTATTTTTAGATATGCAAACTTGGTGATTAAATACAACACTGAAAACTGGTTTCTAATCCGTTTAAACTCTCTCATCCGACAGACAGAAGAACAATGATCAGAAGTGAAGCTAAAATATGAAAAAGCCCTGCCATCTCCTTTTAATGAGGTCATGAATCAGTGCAATGAAAAGGGATCAAACTTCAAAGCTGTCTGAGCTTCACTTCTGTGGGAGAAAAATACTTTCATAGCAAATATGTACACAGTTGAAACCAGTAGTTTGCATACATGGAATAAAAAGATAGTTTTTCTTACAATTTGAAGTAAAATCAAACCAAACATCTTGTTTTAAGTCATTTAAAATGACCAAAATTATAAACAATAAGAAAAGTTTGTTCTGATTCAACTTCAGACATCAAGAAAAAAGTAGATGTGTTTTTTTTATGCTGTGTATGTAAACTTGGGGTTTCAACAGGCCTGAGTCTGGGGTCTCACCATATACAGAGTGGCATTGGGAGAAGAAAAGCGGCTCCTCAGTCAGTAAGACCAAACAGCTGTAGATGGACCACAGCAGCATCTCACTGCTGCTGCTGGCCAGACGGTCAAAGAGAAACCTGAGAGAGACGGAGGCACAATAAACGAAATGTACAGTCACTCTGCCACTAACTGAGTTCATAAAGACGTCTTCCAACAATCTTTGTATATGATGTATGCAAAAAAATTATAATAATTGCAATCTTAACCAGCCAGTGTAATTCAGGGAGAGAGGTAATATTTAGCTAAACTTACCTGGAAAAGCAAAAGAAAAACAAGAAAGAATTGGGAGACAAATCAAAAAGCAAACAGCTATGTAAAAAAATGAATAAAAAATTTTAAAAAGTCAAAACTTGCATGTTTGGACCTATGGATATTTAATATCAGTTTCAATATTACTAAACAATTAAAGCTGAATACTTTTCAAAACATTTTGCTAAATGTAACATAAAAAATATAATTTCTTTTGAGGAATAAACTAGAAACCTGCTTCATTTTTTCAGTCTAAAATGGCTAAAAGTAAGTGACAGGAAAAGCCTTACTCAGCGCTTTAACCGAGATCTCCTGCAGGTTTAACTCTGACATTTCGTTCTGTTTGCTCTTATCAGCTGAGGTGACGGAGAGCACCATGTGGAGATCAAAAGAGCTGCCTGAGGTCTTCGGAAAAGAAAACCTAGCAACTTTAGAGTCTGGTTTAAATTTTAATATAAACCAGACTTCATAAAATGATCAATTCCACTGTGTGGAAAACAGTTTATGGGGAAGTTTACGCTGAAAACTCATGCAAACTTGCACAAGTCGAGTCATCCAATCAAGTTTGTCCCAAAAGCAGATTATAAGATTCTGAAAATAGTCTTAAATGTCATCAATAGCAACCATATGATGTTTGGTTTTTTTTTTTTTGCTTTTTCATAGATAAAACAAACAAGGTTTATTTTTCATAACCTTAAATTTGAGTTTCTTCATCTTTAATAAAATAAATACAAGATCAGTGTGAACTTTTCGCAAAAAGGACTGAAGAACTAAAACATTCGAATGGCTGATTTCTTGTCTAGTGTGTCTGTGTGTCACCTGGTAAATCAGCCTTGATGCAGAGAGCGCAGTACTGAGTGGGAGAATGAACCAAAATGGCAGCGATGCACTTCGCACTGGTCACTTGCAGCATCTCATCACCGCTCAGTAGCAACTGAAAAATTTAATGTTTTCATTGGGATCCATCAGATATGCAAGTATCACCAGAGTACAACGTTGGTCTGCATCAAATATATCTAGGCTGATTTCCATTCCAAAACAAGGACCATAAACTATACATATATATTTTTTTACATATAGTTTGATTACTGTAGATTAAATAAATCAACATTAAATCAGATTCAGGGTTTTAATGCCAACCGTAAAACATTGAATAACTTTAAAAAACATGTCCAGCTAAGGAGGAAACAACCCCCTCCTTGCCTTATTCCATTTATTTAAAAAATAAGTTCTAAAGTAATAAGTATTTAGAAAGATCAACTGACTGAAGACGTCATTAATTACTTATAATTAGAGTGAAAATTACTCAGATCACTTAGAGAGTTTACCTTAAGGAATTTTATATCCTTCAGAAAATAGAATAAACTCTTATTTTTCTTTTTACATATTTATCCTGGAGAATCATCTGGAGAATAGTGAAAGCAAACTCCATTTATATATTTTGTAAAGCTGCACAGAAGCCCTGAGGCTCCTGGTAGTTTGAAAATGAATCAACAACTTAGCATAGCTGCAGAAAACATTCACTTCTGATGAATCAGCTTTTCATTTTGCAACTTTTGGGGATTTTTAGATTCATAAATGCTGAAATTAAGGTTTCCAAACAGCAGCGCACAAGTTGATTTGAAGGGGGAAATGACATGTAGGGTTCATCCCATCAGTTTTACACAGTTTATTATCTGACCACAGCTGACGTAGGCGTGGACGAATTAAATCACAGCATATTTCGTAGGATTACCTGTGCTGTTATATGAATATTGAGAGTAATAATTTACACAAAACATACAAAACATTGGTGGTTGAAAGATATCGGCTGATGTCATGAACTGTGAGCAACCACTGAGAACATCCACCCAAATATAATCTACACATCGATTTCCCAGACATGAAGCACAAATATTTGTATAGGCTAAAGCCCAAACTGAACCCCTGCTCAAAGGAGCATTAATCCGGGATTAGAGCTTGTTGTTATGATGATAGTCAGTGTTAGAGTTCAGCTCTCGGGAGTGGGAGCAGGATGTTTAGACAGAGACCTTTTTCAACAGGAGAGGCAGTAGGCTGTGGTCAGCAGGCTGTTGCTCTTGGTCTTGCATGAGGGCCTGGCTGTTGTTGGTGAGGATGTCCTCATTCGCGTCGCACATGAGCGGACCGCCGGAGCTGCTCATCAGAACCGACACGGCTTCTTCATACTTGACCAGCTGCCAGAGCAGGCCTAGCAGACGTAGGGTACAAGGGACTCTGATAACATGCTTCAAAAGTATAAGAAATTTTCACTCAAAACAGATCCCAATGTCCGTAAACTATGATAAAATATTTAATCTACACATCATTTCTCAAACTCAAGTGGAAAACAGGCCATGTTAGACATTACATAAATTACTGATGACGAACACATTCCTAACCCTGAAACTAAACAGTTAGCATTAGCACTTGAAACTAGAGGAATGCTAGTGTACTGCATCATCTCCTGTGACCAGATCCATAAATAGTTTTAATTTTAAGTTTAAATCCTGACTTTTCTATAAAACAAACAGGTGCATTGATTTGGATACAAGAATTGACTCCACTTTGGTTTTTTTGTCTTATGGGAACAAAACTTGGGTGCACTTACATTTGAATATGCACTTTCATGTCGCTTAATTGTCAGATAAATAATAGCGTTTGAAAATAACGCTGAAGCCGGTATTAAATCTACTTTTTATTAAGCTCAAATTTCTGCTCATTTTTTACTGATCTGATGTATATTAAATGTCACGTTTTCATTAGGTATATGAGGGAAATCCTAACTAAGAGAAATAAAGGTTTGAAAACATCTCTCTGTGTGTAATAAATCTATATGTTTCACTGAGTGAACTGAGTTGCTGAAATAAATTAACATTTCAAAGATACTCTAATTTATTGAATATAAGCGTATGCCTGGTTAAATATCCATTAGCAAGTTAGACCTTGACTTGAAGCTTTTTGTTGCCACCCAGAAGGGTTTTTTTTGTCTGGATATTTGATAGTTAATTAAATTGGATGATTTTCTTGCCATGAAATGGCTTTTAAGCAAAGCAATTTGTAATTGGATTGAAATTGTTGAATTTATGAAGTTCATTCCAGGCTGCTGTTACACATCCCTTCCCCTACCTAGCATTTCTATCATAGCAACTAAATTGCTCAATGTAAGTCTTGTCCAATCTTATAGCAATTTTTTCCCAAAAGGAAAAAAAAGGACCCAGATTTGAGTGGAGTTTGAAGATGTCGATTTTAAGCCAGCTGCTTATCATGATCTTGTGTTTTCTGTGCTCTCCTCTTTCTCGCTTCCTGGCTTCTGTTCCTGTGTTTCTAATTCTCTAGAAGGAACGGACTCCTCCTGCTGTGCTTTTAACTCCCCTCTGTCTAATCATCTCATCAAGACCCCAGCAGGTCTCGCCTGGTGCCTGATTGTTAGCCTTTGTTGCGATAATCAAGCTCTCGTTGTGTAACGTCCTCAGATAATCCAGATTGCTTACCCAAGGTCTCGTTGGGTCCTGGAACAAACTTTTCTGGGTCTTACCTTGAGTCTTCGAACATTAAAATTCTTGTCTTTCAGCAGGTATCAGGCCGGATTTACAATACCTACCCCCCCACCATTGCACTTTGTCAAAGAGACTAATCCCTGAAAAACTCACCTGCATGTACTCTCTTAGTCAACTTTCTTGGAGATCGGTGCATGAATAAACAGCAGTAGTAATGGAGTGAAATCAAGTTCCCAGTATGGCTATGTGATGATGGTTTTCTTTTAAATGTAAGGATCACAGCGCAATAACAAGGTTAGGACAGACAATGAATCTCGTTTTGGAATGGAAAAAGAAGACTAGCATCAGTTTCTGCAATGAATCTCCTAAAGCTATACCTTTACCCTATAAACGTTTGTTAAATACGCTTAAAACCCATCCTGACACACAAACCAACTTAAATTACTCTACCAGGTCCTTTAAGCTTAGAAGGTTGTTGAAGGTAATAAAAAACAGAGAATTTACAATAACCTCAATGTAATGATTGTTTATGAATATTATTAAAACTGTTTAAGGAATAATCATCAGCATTTTACCCTAAAAATAATGTCCAAGGTGTGTGAACCTAAATGACAGAGAACTACTAACTTGTGTTCAAGAAATATGAATATTTTCACCTGCACAGTTTTTAATGAGCTGCGCTGAGCTAGCGTTGCTAAACGTCTGCAGCAGCAGGGTGCATAATCTGTCCCTAGTGGCAACGGGCAGGTACTGCATCCCGGCGTCTCCAGATGTCTGCATCAGCTGCAGCCAAACATGCACTACTGAAGTCTTCAGTGCTTCGTTTGGATATCCCAAAGCTGAGCACAGGTGATCCAGCAGGGGAACTGATGAACAACGGGAAAAAATTGTTAAAAGTAATTGACAAAACTGAAAAAAGAGTAAAGTAAGTCAAATCTTGTAGATGTATTTCCAAGCTTTCTCAGTGGTAGCGCTAATCTGTAGAACAACCTGTCTTTGCTAATGACCTGTCCTGATGAAAGTCTACACCACACCACAGAGTTGTGCATTAGATTTGCATTTGTTGTGTTACAAATGTAACGAACAAGTTACATAATATTTTACATTATAAAACAAGCATTTTGAAGAGCAGTTCACAGATACAAATCAGAAAACAGAAACGCTTGTAAATATTATGTTTCAAAGTAGATTAGCTTGATGATCTTTGTGCTGTCCTACAGTTACCACAAGCCATCTGCTTTAGTGCTCCTTCCTTTGGCTATCTGCAGAAATCTCTTAGGAGATTAGTGATAGTGCTGACAGAGCATGTGGCTGTTACTGCATGCGCTGCCTCTCTAACAACATTTACAGCAAACTCTCAGACTGAGGATGCACCAGCCACAAAGCAGAGCTTACAATTGACCGTTTTTGCAGCCATTTGTTGTATGTAGGTCTTAATACCCAGTCTTGAACATGATGTATAGACTCCAGCATGATGGAGGAACTATAATAATACTTTTAATAGCACTACAAAAAGGCAAGGATCAAATACCAGAAATAAAACTTCTCTTAAAGACGAACTGAAAAAGCAGACAGGATAGAGAGAGAGGGTAGGACGGGCATAAAGCCCCCCATGTCTACCAGACTGGGAGTCTTTTTGGATCACAACTTCCAGGTATGCAGGCTGCCAGAAAAGGCAGCCTTTCACATTGCCAGAAAGAACAAGCAAAGGCAGCGGACAGAGACATCATCTATGCAGTGCAGAGAGAGGTGGGAGACGTCAACACAGACTCTGCAAGTAGCAAACAAGAAAGAAAGAGATGACAGAGCCAAAGAGCGGAGCTGAAAGCCAGCTGCTTCTGTCAAGAAGATCAAAATCCAAGTGAGCCTGGAGAGGACATGTTTGATTAAACTAAGAAATATGAGGCAGCAAAGATGAGAGCCAGGCATTAAGGCATTAAAAGGGAGGGAGAGGGAGAAGACAGAGCGGGTGAAACCTTCAGAAAGGGGACAGTAATACACTGCTGTTCAAAAAGTACACTCCACAACAAATAAACACAGCTGTCGGCACAACATGAAAGGATAAACAAATGACTTTATTTTGCCTTTGTCAACAGAGGAAGCAAAGGTTTATTTCCATGCTTTGCTGCCAAGCTGTGATGCTGCATGCTCTGAAATATCACTCCATTACCCTCGCGAGCCATTTTCAAAGGTGTTGCTTTGTTGTTGTGTACAAATCATCGCAGAATATTTAATTGGACCCTTCACAAGGCTTTTGAACTCTCAACTTCTAGTGTAAATACCAGCAATTCCCAAGCTGGAGGGCTTGCTCTTTTAGAGTGTGCCTTAATGATCTTATCGTAGGGGAGGAGGGCTGATGACACAAGCAAAACTACAAAGTAAACTCATATTACCCCTCTGAATAAGCTGCATCAAAGCGAATATTTATGGAGCAAAATAAAAAGATTTAAGTGTATGTAGATTTGAAGTTTAGTGTTGTTACAGTGCTTTATGTAGATATTATTGAGGTTATGATATGTTTAAGGGAAATTCAGAGAAATCCTCATTTAGCTAGAGCTCTATGAGCAATGCATTTTTTCTGGTCTTCACTGTTTAAAACACATTTTAATAATAATTTTGAACCCCTTTCGTTGCTCTTCTCAATTAAAACCATATTTGATATTTGTGTGTCCCTTCACTGATGTTCTTGTCAAATTTAGAGTATTTCATCCACAAGCCTATGAAATTTGAATCTTTGATTATCTGTAACTCTGAAAGAAAAAAAAAAGAAGCTTTTTTTCCTTTCTTTTTTTCATCTTGATCTCTTGTATCTCATTTTCCCTTCATCTTTTTCAGCTTTAATCAGTTTTTTTTTTATTAATCTCCATTCATTACGTGCACTTCAACAGTCCAATTTTTTTTCAGTCCCTTTAGCTTATTTTTAGGATTATTGAAGACGTCCTTAAGGAGGGCTGGCTTCTAAAGTGGCATCTGGAATAACAAGAGACTGTAGGAAAGGATGTACGTGCTTCCTATATTTGTGTGTCTGTATTAATATATATCCTGAAATCAATTTTTATTCCTTTCTGTAGGATCTCTGTTTATTTTCCTCAATCTCAAACGACTCCACCAACTACAGAGAAGGGGAACGACATCAGAGCCAGAAGACAGAGTTAATTTTACAGGCTGGGAGGCAGACGCAGCGTCTGAAAAAGGATGAAATCCGCTGGGAGCGCTGGGCTTCTGTTGTCATTGCCTGGCTGCTGTCGTTAGTCCAAACAGGCCCACAGAGACGTGTCGAGTGACAGGCCACAGACAGATACACACAGTCAATAATGGCAGCCCACATCTTACATCAGCAACATAGCAAAGCATTCCTACCTGTGCCTGCTTAGGAATACAGACAGAAGGTGGTCACAAAACGGAAAACATAATGGCTCTAATGCCAGCGTTTTGGAATAGGTCTTACTTTTGTTCGTAAGTGTAAAGACGAGCAGTCGGCCATGACGAAACACCTCACAACATCCACAAGCCTGAATAGGCTAACAATGCCCCCTGACAGAGCGAGCAACTGATCCATTAGCAGACAGATGTGTAACTGGTTGAAAATGAGATTTAATCGCTGTTATGTCAGGGAAAGGTGGCCAGGTGCAATACTTTCTCTCTCAAAACTGTACCACACTATCTTCTAGCTCTAAATCCACCAATGTATTGAGTAGGGAAATTACATGAGTGAAATGTAGCTTCTTTTTTTTACGTTTTGGCAGCAAAATGTTTCCGATTACCATGATAATGTTTCCAAGGGTTAGTAATAAAGTAATCACAGAAGAGCGGCTGTAATTCAGACTTTAACTTGTGGCTGCTTAGCAACAAATGGAAAATAAATTAACTTGTTTTGGTTCTTCAGTGTTGGCTTTTTCATTTTCTTGTTCTTTCGTAATCAGCCTTAGTTTCTCTCTTTACTATTTATGTTTTCTTAGTTATTTATTCATTTAGGTTTAATCTGTTGTGCTTATTCTCTAAACACAACAAATTTATCTAACTCTTAAATTTATCTCCTAGCTTCTCTCTCCCTCAGTCTGCCTTCTGCTCTCTCCTCACAGCTGCACCCTCTTTCTAATTAGCACTGGCCCATTGTCTCATAATCTGTATCATAATCAGGCTCCTAGTATTTAATGTTTCTCTCCTTCGCTCCTTGCTGGATTCTTCAGCCTGGCTCTTGGTGCCCTGTTCTATGTTCCACTGATCTTTGCCCTGCATTTCTTGCCTGCTGGCTTCAGTCTGAGTGAATGATTTCCACCTGTAATAACACTTTTGCATAATTTAAACACAATTGATATAATATTGATATCCATAACAGATTTGTACACAGTTATTACAATACTAACTGTTTATACCATCACACTCCAAATAGCTGCAAAGGTCACTTTATGAGGTCATCGACACAAGAAATGATTTAATTGTGTATCCTCTTGAATAAACCTGGAGTCATCAAATCCACTGTGTTGTGTTATTATTGTTGGTGGATACTCTACACATCCCTGATAGGAGAAATTTCTCAATGCCACAGCAGGCGGTCAGTGGCCAAAATCAGGTGCAAGGCACAGAGTTAGATAAATTTAGTTTTCAACTTTCATTTAGTTTTTGTTTTGAAAGAAAAGAGGGGCTAATTATAATTTATCACTAGAAAGAAAAAATAGATTATCTTCAGGATATTTCCTACTTTTGCACACCATAAACACGTCTAACCAATTCATAACTCCATCTAATTTCTAGTTTGAACCAGACAGAGACACTGAAGATAGACCAGTATTTTTTTAAATTATAAAAGTAAAAAGAACATCACCAATGAGACCAAGATGCTTTATCATCTCCTGCGATTACTTAGAGCCAGACAATATATTGAGCAATATTGCAACTGGAGAGCTCGGGATCAATATTGGGTAGGCCACATATATTTCAGGTGTTATGCATTCACATTATGCTTGCCAATACTATATTTGACCAGTTTTTTTACACCTGATTCACAGCAGTGGTCAGGATGCTAAAGCTCCAGGACAGTGGAGGGGTCATCATGATGATAAGAAAGATAAAGAAAGAGAGAGATGGGCTTCAAGTATATTCTGGTATAATTATGTAAATTGTTTTCATTATACCATATGATTCCTAATAGTAAATAGTAATGTGAACCAGCAGCATTATTAGATTTTCCTGAAGTATAAATATTAGAATATCACAATATCATCAGGAAAAGCATGTATTCTTTGATACATTATGTCTGTTTTCAACTAAAATAACGTATCTAAGAAGGATTAAGGGTGATTAAGTAAAGGTGAAATGGTAAAACATAAACTCATAAAAACAGTGGAGTAGTATCTAAATCAGCACAACATGCATGTGCATTTTTAAAGACAGAAAGTAAATCTCACAGAGAAGAAAATCATCAGCCTACTGCAGGAGACATTTGTCCAAAGGATTAAAGTTTTACTGCTGGCACAGAAATACAAACAAACAATCCAACAATGGTTGAATATTAAACAAACAAATATAAAACTACTATTGGTCTGCTGAGCGTCACTCATGATGCATGTCGGGAACTTGTGTTGTGGCAATGCCTACCTATTTCTATATAAAAGCTACTTTATCTGGTCGTCTACTTTATCTTACCGTACTTTCTATAGCAGCTTTTAGAGTGTAGCTTATAGAGTAAAAGCTAGTTTTAGCTTTTACCATTAAGTAAACACATTATGTTATGATTAGACAGATCTTTAACACATTCTTACTCCACAATCTGACAGCATATCGCCAAACAACATATTATATAATATATTGATTCTGGAGTCTTGAGTATTAACAAAAAATCTTACTAAAACTAATTTCTCATCTGCAACCCTCTGCCTTTTTTTTAAATGAACAATCTAATTGAGCTGCAGGGTCTTACCGTACTGAGTAATAAAGCTGTGAGCCACGTTGGGCACCGTCTTCACAAGGTTCCCCAGGAAGTTGAACGTCGGCAGGAGACGCTTCACACTGACCTGGCCGTTCAGCTGCGTAAGATAATAAAGAGAAAAACTTAAATTAAATGTATTGTGATTTTAAGCTGGCCTTAAAGAATCTCGTCCTGCTAAAAACATTAATGTGGCTGGATAAAACAAGGGGAGGAACAATCATGCAGAAAGTGCCACAAGCAATTTGGTGGAAATTTATCTGTTTCACATATGGTCACGTTGGCGTGGATAGATTTTTCCTTAAACAAAAAAATTAAAATTATCATCTCTCTTATTACATTTTAATTAAATCTCTATATCTCCTCAAGAAAATTAGCATTTTTTCTATTCCCTCAACACTACAGTAGAAAAGTATGTTCTTTTTAAGCATTTGTTTTACTGAAAGTGCTACTAAGTTGCCTCTAATCTTCAAACAACAGAGGCAGGACATTAACATTTAGTGCAGATAAGATAGAAAGGAGACAACTGTCTAATTCCTAGTCCAAGCAGGGAGTTCTTTCCGTGAAACATTTTTCCATTTTTCCGAGTTAAGATCCAAGATTTATGAGCCTGTCAAGGCTCCCAGGTGTTAAACCTTCCTGTCCTCAGCAGCACAGTCAACTTAACTCCGTCAACTGATTTCACAATGATGCTGCTCGACTATCTCCTCAACCCTGAGGTGACACAACAGCAGTGAGACGAAGACAAGAACCCTGCTTCCGAAGCAGCCTGGTGTGGATGTGACATCGGTTCCAGAATTGTTGTGTAAAACTTTAGGACGCGTGTTCCTGTCCGGCAATTTTACACTCACTGGCAAGCATTGTTGGAAGAATATAAATGGGTTTGGATTACCTGTTTGTGGACCTCATCCAGAACAAAGTGAAATGGCAGCTCATTCTGAAACTCGAGGAGCAGCTGAACCAGCACTGATTGGCACACACACACACACACACACACACGGACATGAATCAGAGAGAAATTCATTCAATAAACAGCAGTGAAGAGACTGTTGTACAATTTAACACGTTTCCAGCTGTCAAGCAAGATGTTTGATCTGCTTGAAGCATTTCATTAACAATACATCTAATGTTACATTCATGGCTATGTCTTCAGTTAAATGAGTTTAAAAATGTCAGAGGAAAGAGGGAATGAACATCCAGTCATTACGGTTTTACCAGCTTTTATAATAAAGCGGTCCCTGAGGCATTCTGGGACAGCAGCCATAAAATTATTCATGCATTAGTTCTTACAAAAACATTTTCATACTGCAAAAATCTGTTGGTTTAATACTATATGTTCATTAAAAGACAAAAGGGTTTATGGGTATGGAGAAGTGTGAACACTGATGACAGCATAGATCACAAAATTAGAAAAGAAAAAAAAATACTTCAACTCTCCAGTAAGCTAAAATGTACAAATATCTACCTGCAGATTGTTCTAACAAATGTGTAAAAATAGAGACAAGTCACCTTATTTACTGCGGTGACCCTGCATGGTTGAACATAAAGTCTGTCCTTATGTTTTATAGGAGTTCAGATGTGGGTACAACGTGTATATCCACAAGCAATATTGATGCATTTGTATGCGAGTACATATGGAGAAACACACAAACAACCAAAGCATAAACAGGAATCCCTTCACCTTGGTCAACCTTTTCCACCGTGACTGGGTTCTCCTCAGTTTGAAGCATACCTGAGAAACAGGAAGGGCATAAAGAAGGGCATAAACTCCACAAGTATTGAAAAGAGAATCTGAATAATTTGCCATCATTGCAATCTTGTGCACAATGAAGCAGGCTTGCTTTTAACCTTGGCTAGCAATTTATAATTATTTTTAGAGTACTATTTGGAGATAATAATTTAAACTGCACATGGACTGAGTGGCTGTCAACAAATTCTGAATCTTATTTTAACAAAATGTTGCACATTTTAGCCGTTCAATTATGATTCATAATTTTTTTTTCAACTGATATATCTCAGTGATTTTAGTTTTGCCATACTTTACTGTAGCAACTGTATTCATAATGAGATTGCCCAGGTAGACTATATTTAAGAAGTCGAATATCAACCTTTCAAAATATATGTGCTGAAAACTTTCACAATACATTTCCACCACTTTCACAGTTACGTACTTCTCTGTCACAATAAAACATAAAAACCAATTGAGATGTGTGGGCTGTAGTGTGATGAAAATGTTCAAGAGGCATAAACACTTTTGCGAGGCGCTGTATTGTTCTGTAGCTTAAAAATACTCAAAACTAAAAGCACCAAAGGTGGATAAACAACTTGTCTTCAGAGAGATGACAAATGTTTTTTTTTTTATCTACATGGTGCAGTTTTATTTTTTCCTGCTGTTTCATTTCTGCTATTCTTGTTATGTAGAGTGCTTAAATTAACTGAGACAATAAACTGGGTTATATCATCGTATCTCCTTTGAAAACATAAATTCTAAGTTTCTTGAACAATCTTCCAATACCTTCCTTTGCCCTCTTGTGTGCTGGTGCATATTTTCCTCACCTAATAATGTGGTAATAAAATGCAGAGTGACTCTGTGGTCCTGTCGAAACAGCTCTCTCAAGGCCCCTGCAGAGCTCTTCAGGATGCCACTTATACTCGACAAGGCAAAACATTTCCTCACCGACTGCAACAAACACGTAGAGTGCATTAAATGACCTGAGTGAAGTTGGCCCCCCCACCTTCTTCAAATCAGACAAAATGGTGTCAAAGGTTTGTGCAGCAAAGAACTCTTGTTTGTGCCGCTATCATGTCAAAGATATAAAGAAATGTTACTGTTTGTGCAAACGTTTGATACCAATTTTGTCTGATTTCATAAAAGTGTGTGTGTGTGTGTGTGTGTTGGGGGGAGGAGGGAGGGACCTGGTTGACCTTTAACCTTTCATTAATATCTTCAAATCCAAAGCAGCACAAAAGAAAATGTTTGCTGCACAAACATAGTCGAGTTAATTGACACCAATTTCATTTGATTTGAAGGTGGGGGCTGGTTGACCTTTAATGACCTCCAGAAACATTTCTTTACATCTTTAAAATGATAGCAGCACAAACGAAAGATTTTGGTGCACAAACGCAGCACAAACGTTTGACACCAATTTTGTCAGACTTGAAGAAGGTGGGGCGGGGCAACTTCACTCAGGGCATTAACCTGACAGCTAGGTTAGACTTGAATACAAAGTCATAATATCGCTACTGTAAGTTGGGGAGGGGTTGCCATTGACATAACAGCGCGATACTTACGGCCATTTCTTCCGTCTCCATCATTTCAATAGCACAGGCCACACAGAGCAGCAGCCCGCCGCCCTCAGCAGCCCGCAGGCGGACGCTCCACTTTGGGTCATGTCTGAAGTGAACCTGCTCATAAACAATATCCGTGCTCGCCATTGTTGTTGTTTCACCTACCAACTTACATGACTCGGGCAGGTCGACGGAACAAACAGGAGACTAGTTTGTTCTCTCCTCCGCAGACTATAATGCTAACACCACGTAACATTCATGTTAATTAAGCCTCTCGAACACAAAATGACTCCCGCTCACTTTTCTTTGCAGTCGGTTTTATTAACGAGTCGCTACAAACCACCAACACCTGTCAAACTATGGATGACGCAGCAATTAATAAACTAGCTTAAACTAACGTGCCGCTCGCGCGCAAGCTTACGCTGTCATCACAATGGCGGGAAAATTCAAACTTTATTGACAGCAGGAGACAATGACACAGACGCTGCCAAAAGACAAAGGATCATTTCTTTATTTTCTTTACCTGACAGTAACTCAGACTAAACCTTTCCTGTTTTAGGTGAGTTAGGATCATAAACTTTATTTTCATCCTTTAAATGCCAGGATAACAAGTGAGGTATCTCTTTTTATCTCTAAAATTAGAAGTGCATACACTGCATTGAATGCCCACATGATTTTAATTAATTTGAGTTGATAAACTAGGTTCACCTTATATGTCTTTTAAGGCTTTTATGACACAATGGACCTTTAATTACAGCAGTCACATATAAAGTCATAAGATATGTAGAAAAGGACCTAATAAACTCCATTCCATGTAGAGGAAACACTGTTGGTTAACCACTTGGCAGCCAACACAATCCATTTTAATGCACACAAACACATGGCTTATATTGGCCAGCATGTCCGGAAGACAACATTTGAAAAATGTTTCTGAGAAAGGCAGCCTATGCGCCTACGCACCTGATATAAAAAAAATTTTAAAATCCCTTCTGACCCACCGCGGGTGGTTCTTATCCTCTGAGCTCGGGTCCTCTACTAGAGGCCTGGGAGCTTGAGGGTCCTGCGCAGTATCTTGGCTGTGCCAAGGACTGCACATTTCTGGACTGAGATGTCTGATGTTGTTCCTGGGATCTGTTGTAGCCATTGCTCCAGTTTGGGGGTTACTGCCCTGAGGGCCCCAATGACCACAGGCACCACTGTGGTCTTCACCTTCCAGGCCCTCTCCAGTTCTGTGAAAGATTGAAATAATTTGACATGCAAATATATATATATATATATATATATATATATATATATATATATATATATATATATATATATATATATATATATCACCACTTGTTAACCTGGTATTTAGCAAATGGGTTTAGGTGAACCGATATGACCTAAAACAGGAAATGTTTATTCTGATTCAGTGTCATATAGCGAGAAAATATAGGTTATATTCACTGAATACAAGTATTTGTTTTTAGCTGTAAAAAAAGCAATTTGCTAATTTATTTTTATCTTCTCGTTTCACTTTATGTGGTGGAAGAATTATTATTTTGAGTAAAAATAACAATTTGGAAACACCAAAGTAAAAGACTGTAAGCTGGAGAAAAAAAGGCGGTCTATTTTGTTTGAGTTTCCTTTTCACTCTGTTTTTATCTATTGCACTTTTTATTGCCCACAAGAAATGAACTGGTGTTTCAAAGCATAAGATAATTGCTGAAAGAAGAAATGTTTAAGGCCACCGTTCTGTCATACAACTTCCACTAGTGGAGCAAAAAAGACATTTTGTGTTTGCAAATAACATAGTTAGCCCAGTTGAGATATTTTCATCAAAACATAAAAGAGTTTGTATGAACTGAGGTGGACAAGAGCAAACCACAGACAAATGCTTGCGTCTAAACATGCTGTTCTGCTAAGTTGGAACTTAAATATTCAGGATGATGTCAAATCCAACTTGATCATCTTCCAGTTCAACTTTCCAAACTATGCGATTTGTTAATGATTATGTTCACTTACCAGACTAACTGTCAGCAATACAAGTTGTTAGCATGGCATGTTTCTTCATCTTGGACGTTCAACTAGTCTAGCAAAATCTCTGCTAAATGAGATCTTTAAATAATGTGTCTGTGAAAGATTGAAATAATTTGACATGCAAATATAATACTTTTCACAGGACCTATCGCAGTTTACGAGGTATCCATATTGGACATTTCCGTCAAGAATAATGGTAAACCTTTAGAATTTTCCACTTTGAATTCCAACTTCTATAAACTCTTTTTAATCGAACATTTTTTCAATGGAGGCTAATAATTTTTCATGACATTGCCCAGGCCCTGTGGTACTACTGTTTTAAAATGCTTACTACAATGGTAGCAATGAAAAAACAAGCAGTAAAGTGGGTCTTATTCAATAAAGTTTAGGAAACGCTTGTATAAATAGTTTCCACTCCTTTTCTTGTAGCATCAGCAGGATACTTTCAGTTTTGACAATCACTTGTGATATCTTAAACCCTATTTAAACGTATAAACTTTAACCATATGACAACGTAGTGTCATAAATCGTTAAGTAATCCAACATAATGCTTAAAAACATAGTAGAGAACAATGGAAACAAACCGTGTACCCCATCTTGTTTGCAACAGTTGTCCACAGGGTAACAGACGACATCAGCCGGGAGAAACCATGGATTATGTTTTTGCAAATGATTTTGTTACATACATTGAGAGTAAGGGTCATGTGCAGGAAAGCCTTGAGTAGAGAATGAAAGCAAGACAGATTAATTTGGTTTGGATGAGAGGAAGACAGGTGGAATACTCAAGCTAATTCACTTTATAGTTTGAAATCAGCAGTCAGATATCCAAAACAATTGGCTTTGGACAAGTAAGGAGCATCAGATAAAGTTAGAGTGGTTGGATACATTTTGACAAAAGAGAGAAAGAGAAGGTTTAGAAGTTGCTAGTGAGCCATGCTATGATGTATTGTTTGGCTTAAAGATGGTGGTTGTAAAAACAATTTATAAGGCAGAACTTGGCAGGTAAGTTTATTTAAGCAGCTCCCCCACTGGCCCCCCACAGCGTACTAGCATTCAACTTGTCATTATTCCATCAAAGAAATAAATTGACTAAAGAACCAAGGAGGTAAAATACAAGCAGTGGTTTGATGTCATAATTAGACAACCTGGCAATGCTCATGAGGCCTGCTGGTCCTATTTGGCTGCTTTCACACAGGAAGCAACAGGCGCTGTGCTTGCTGCTGATCCAGAGCCAAAACCAGGAGAGAGGAGTGCTGAGCGAGCAGCACAAAGGTTGCAAAAAATTGCAAAAGTTGTTTTCCAAAAGTATCTTCTCTCACCACATGAGAGACCCTGTTACCAGAGAGAATTAATTATGAGGGAAGATAACTGTGTCAGCCAACAGTTTTTGTAACCTAATACGACACATCTCTTTCTTCTCATGGGATCATCAAAGGAGGACCATGTGCCATAGCTTGTCGTTTTCTCCTCTGGTCAACAATGCTTGACCAGAGGGCGAAGGCAAATAGTTTTAATTTCATGCTAATTTTGCTCATGTTCGTGCTTAAAGTGTATTAAATTAAATTCTACTTACATTATATAGTTTGAGAATTCTAGACTTTAGAAGATTTTCTGATTTGAAAACAGACTCCTTTTTATAGTTCTGTCAGTGGTTTTCTCTAAATTTTCACATCTTCACCTGTCTACTTAAAGAAGTAGCTGACATACTGGATGTCTGCTGGACAACTCGGAGCTTTGAGAAGGTCTAAAATCTGGTTATCTCTACAGCATCCCAGGAATGTGAAGTTCATTTTTCTTCAAGTCTCCTCCATCCAACACTCCGATCAGCACTGCAAGTAAGACCTGGAAAAGCCAGTTTAGTTTTCACCAGCATCACCTGTTTTGCCCGCCTGCAGATTTCTCAAGCCCCCTTTTTTTCCCCTCTGCGAACATTGTTGGGAGAAAGCCTAAAGAAACGGTTCTATTATCCTCCCCTGGAGAGCCCGATTGAACCTGGCAAGCAACATCTTCCTTTTATGTGCTGTTACACTGAGATGTAGCCTGGGCCGGGATCCAGACGGCTCCAGAGCCCAAATATCCAAGTTTGTTTGACAGAGTCCTGCTATCTCCTCTCCGTCCTCAGAGTAACGACAGGCTGAGACTCCTTTGGACAGAGAGAAAAAAAGAGAGGGAGATGGAAAGCTAGATTTGTGTCTTTTCAGCTACACAAGAATCAGGGATGCAGGAGGCAAGTAATGTTTTCATTCCAACAGAGAGAAAAGTGGGGGAAATACTGTGTTGCCATCCTGTTATGGAACGGGACACAACACAAAAAACACAAAAAGGGTTAAATCTTTTTATCCCTTTTATTTTTCCAATGAGGTAAGAAGGTCAAAGAAAGTGAATGTCTTTGGTTCCAGGATTTCATAAAAGTCTTATATGGTCCGGAATGCATTTAAAACATATTAGAAATATATTATTAACATATTAAAAAATGGTATCTACGCTTTGATTTTATCTGAAGCTCATAGTGATTTTCTGTGTTTTTGGATGACATGCGCTTATCTTTGATTAAAAACAGAAAACCTTCTACTGAGGCATTAACTGGGCCGGCTGATCTTTTTAAATGTGTGATATTCATTTTCCTCTGGGAAGAAAACAAACTCACGACTGATTTTCAAGTACATATTTGCCATTTGGCTTAATCTGTGCATTGCAAAAAGCACAAACGGCGCCTTTTGCATATTTTTGCTCTAACTTTTAAGGTAAATGAGGATTGGCACAAAACAAATAGCAGTACCTTCAACTTCTGACATCATTTCTGATTTATTTTGGTCTTTTTGGTCATCTGTTGTTGAAATATCAGCCTTTGAGTTTCAGGTAGTGAGGTGTGAGGGTTTTTTTGTTGTTTTTTTTTTGTTGCATTACCCATGAAGGCCACCGTTTGGTCATCGCCATGACAACAGAGTCCTCTCAGCAGCAAACTGCTGATGGGTGTGAGGCGGCGAGAATGAGCAGGACCGGTTCTGTCCATCTGTCCATCCCCCCCTCCGTGAGCAGACTGCCCGGCACGTCGGTGTGGGGAGACACGTCGCCCAGTGTGTGTGTGTGTGTGTGTGTGCGCGTAGCAAATGAGCGCACACACAAATGGTCTTCCTAATTGTTTTTCAGTCTGTTAAATTCAGCAAATGTGATGTGCTCCAGTAAACATATTGGAGGCAAAAAAAAAAAAAAAAAGTGGGCTGTGTTGGGACTTAAATTAAATTAGGAGGTCAAAGAAGTCCATGACTGAGAGGAGTATTAAACTCCTGACAAGAAGTTGGAAGGTAATTGGTTTTAAAGCCTCCATTTTTAGCAAGGACCAGAGCGACGAGTCGGGCCGGCTATCGACTCTGGAGGGAGACAATCAGCCCCCGAGAATGAGGCAGCGTGAGTTACGTCCATCAGCATTCGGGGGAAAAAAACAAAGAAAAAAAAATCTCACTTAAAATGGAAACAGTTTCCACGTCACTCATTAACCTTTGTCTCCAGTGTCACTTATTTTCAACCGCTTCCTTTGAGGCCCCGGACGCCCACACGTGTCTCAGTCTGCAGTGTGAAACAGTCAGAAAGCAGCGATGCTCTTTTTTGGTTTTTTGCAACTGATGTTATTCCACCAACTATGCAGAAGACAGATGTAGGGGCTCTGTGAGAAATCCTAAAATAGCTCCTTTACCGTTTCCCAGTAAATACGGTCATGTCACACATTTATCGAGCTCATGAAATAACATCCAGTTTTCTGACAGTCGCTATAAGAGTCATTGAAGAAACACTGGAGCAGGATTCTCAAAACTCTTGATACATAAAAATCTTAAAGAATGTTATGTTTTGTTTTTTTTATTCAGCCCACTTTGTTCACCCAAATTCAAATGCAGCCAAATAAAATTAAACAGCTTGCCTTCAGAAATCACATAACCGGTACATGTAGTACACCTGTGTGTAAGTTGGCTTCACTGAAAATGCAGCTGTTCCGCCTCAGGTGGTCGGTGCTGAACATTAGTAAACAAGGAGCATCACGATTTTATGTGTTTGGTGGGAAACAGACATCCTATATTTCGCTGAAATGAGTATCCAACGGTAACATTTAGTGGTGGTGCTGGCATTATGCTGTGGGTTTCCATTTCTTCATCTGGAGCAGAGAAGCTGGTCAAGGATGATTCAAAGACTGGGGTCAGTAATCTCCACAACCAGAAGAGCCATTTTGCCTTTGGACTGGCTGAACACAATCTGCTTATTTCCACACAAGAGACTTTACTCTTAATTTGTTGACACCTTCTAGAAGAAATTGGTTTAAATGAAAGAACTGCTTTACTTTTGTTTCTATGATTAATACATTCTCTTCAGTGGGACTTTAATTAATTATTATTTTTTTAAATAGAAAATGGCATCAACAAGAGTGTATGCACTCCTGTTGATGCCATTTTCTATTTAAAAAAATTGCAACCAACTCACACAAACAACAGAAAAGACTGTTTCTTACACTATAAGTGTCATTCTTCATATAATTTTTGGCATACATTTTAATGAAAATGCCTTGTAAAAACTGCAAACACTGGCATTTTTGAAGCAACATATGCATTTTTACAATTATTATTATAATTTGTTTTTTTTTTTGTTTGTTTTGTTTTGATAAACCATTTGGTCTTCACCAAAGTAAAGTCAGGTCTTACAATGGTCCAGTCAAAGTTCATAACTAGAATTGAGAATCTCCGGCAAGATAAATGAATTGCTCACAGAAGTCATCCTTCCGACTAACTTTACAGGTTTAAGGCATTATAACACAACTTTATTTGGCCTTTTCACGGTTTCTCCTCTGGGACTTCACGCGTACCGTGGGAAGACGTAGGCTGCCTTCTTGTGTCGTTGCAGATTTGGGTCTATAAATAAAGGGGATTCAGACATGCCGCCCACGCCCAAGGGGAGCGCTGCGTGATCATCAACGCAGCGTCTCGACAGAAGCCGCACCAACTTACCAGGTATCACAAAGTAACGCTCACGGGGCCGCAAAATCAGGTAACAAGAGACTAAGAAGACCTCAAAGTATTTGTTTTGGACAAAAACAAACTCCTAGGGTATGTCTCGAGGAAGTGGGCGGGGGCGAGGAAAGACGTGCGCGCGTGAGCGTCGCGTCATGTTCAGTCTCGCGCGCGCGCGGGTGTCGAGTCAGGTGCGCCTCTCAGTCCGCGGGGCGAAAAACTCAGAGAAACGATGGATTTTGTCGGACCTTTCTGAACAAACGGCGAGAACTATGTCGTAGCGTCGCTGCGGCGTCGGACGGAAGACGGAGCGAAGAGGAGATATTCGCTTAGGGTAAGAGACGCGTTTGGAGAGGCGAACAGGATATCATGCGGGGGCTCAGAGTCTCTCACAGGCAGACTCCTCTGACCTTGTTGGCTCGAGAGGTTCAGGAAAGTTTCTGAAACAGCGACAGGATTTCATTCAAGCACCACAATACATCATTTGTCTGTTCGAAAAGTGATTTATTAAAGTAAACATTAATTAAATGTAATTCTTAATCAGCGAGATATCCATTTGCTTTGTCCTGAAAGAAAGTTAAGAGCTCTTGTAAGTGTGTATGATTTAAAATAATAATTCTAAGAGACTTGACAAAGTAATCCAAAACTTTATTTGTGTTTAAGTGGCTCATTATTACCCAGTCCTGAACAAGTGGGTTAAATTACACTTCCAAGACATTTTGTCAGGTTTTAATGTGATATCCAAGGCAACTTCTAGGCATTTAAATCCTCATCATGGACAAGGTGCTGGAACAATGAAGCACAGTGTTCACGAGGAAGCGGCAGCGATGCAAAGAACTCAATTCCTTTCTGAGAAAACTATGACTGCAGAGATGTGGCTTGCTAAAGATGACCTACAAACCAGAGGGCTGATCTAAAAAAAAAATGTTTTGATGTGTGTCATCTAGAGCACCTCGCTCTCGTTCATGGAATAATGAATTAAGGACTTCATTGTGTCCTAAAGTAAAAAAAATATAGCATGGTGCTTGCCTGTGAGATGAAGCTTATTGTCACAATTCACCAGTGTTTGTTTGACAAATATCTTCCAGCTTGCAAAATATTCAATTTCAGCAGCAAGGCATTTCAAAGTGCTTTACGTCATAACAAACACAAATTCAATCAACAATCAAAACATTACATTGAGTCAATGCCGTCTTTAAATTCATAATATGATGTTTTGAATATTGTTGCATGCAGAGTAGTGGACTAACATTCAACTTGACCGACCTCTGACCCTTTGATACCAACGCATTACCTTTTTATCACCTTCTAAATCCATTTCGTAGCTGTAAACAAACCATTTCTTTTGGAGTATTTAGCTGCACTTCAGTAAGTCAGTAACTTTCTACTATTGATGAAAACATAATTCTGTTTCGTTGACGGATTATTTCAGTTATGGGAGAAATATCTTGTCATTAGTGAAATAATCTTCCAGTGAATGAACTCATTATCAATGCCACAATTTTGGAGTTGATAATAGAAATTAAGACCTGATGAGATGTGACTTGTCTGTGAAAACCTTTAATTTAATAACCTGCAGAGTATTGTGTCTTAAGCTGACATTTTAACAGGAACTCACTTTAAATGTCAACATTTAATGTTTTGGCTGTTCTTTCTTGAATGACTGCCTCCCATATGCCAGCTTCTCCTTTTGTGTCCAATGAAAAATCCACCATATTTGGTTCACAAGATGAAATTTAAATTATTTTAGGCAAAGTTAAGAATATTAATTTCTTTTTTTTGTTTTCGCACATAGATTTCACAAATTCAAACTGCACAAGAATCACTGTAGAGTAAATAACTTAATCTTGGACTGCTACATGTATTTTTCAGTACTGCATCAGTCTAATGCATCTAGTCAGAAATTGATGCATTAGAAAATGACAATTTATGTGAAATCAAACAGTCCATATCACTTGCATGTTGGCCATATTTCCTAGTTTGTACACAACACAGTTGATGCTCACACCCCACCGACTGGAAATCACAAAAACCAACTACAAACTTGATTAGCTCTTGCAGTATATTTATTTATAGATTTTTTTTCTAGCACCCAAACCAGCCTTAACACCCTGCAGCCCTGGGTTTACCGCTCTGTAGATTGGTGTTGTTTTATTTTCTATTGTTTCGTGCCCTTTTTCGACATCTGAGACAGACATGCCACTGATTCTGAAAGCTCACTTTCAGGCCTCGATAAGTCAATTACATCCTGACGCTTTGACGTTGTTGAAGTCTTGCCTGTGGTTTATTCAGACGGTCGACTGCGCAGCATCACGTCCTGCTGGACGAGGAGCATTATTCGTCACGTTTCCACTCATCGCTGAACTCGAGTGCCACTGCATTTTGCAGTCTGACAAACCAGAAAGGCCGCTTACAAACACGTCGCTCTCCCAGGTCTGCGTCAGAAAGCTGTGAGAGGTTAAAGAGAAAAGCAAAGCAAAAAAAAAAACCAAACACATCCCCTCAAGTTGAGAAGTTGACAAGAAAAACCCCCCACAGTGAATCGGTGACCTTGCATTCTCTAAAAGTGAAGCTTCCAGCTTCTAAGAGCCCTACTTTGTCTTGTTTTATCTAGGGAGACAAACCCTAAACACGAGCTTATCTCCTCTCACAAACATCTCATCAGCACTTTTGGTGAGTTCTGCAGGGCACAATAAAGAAAGAGAGGAAGAGTCTTCCAGTAACCCCGATAACGGCCTCACACTCCTGCGCGGAGACATGTTGACAGTCCGTGCGCCGTTCAGGAATCACTTAGCGGGTTAACGGGCCTGACGATGACGTGGTGTAATTATAGCACATCACAGGAGTATTTGATTCCTCCCAAGGACTGTTCACCACTTGGTGCATAAAGACTTGGTTCATCAGGGAGATGAAAGATGGCAACGGTGACTGGATCCACTTATTCATGTCTGACATCCCGTGAATGTCTCGCCGTCAGAGAGATGCTTTTCCAGTCAGCGTGCTTTTGAAACAGAAAATGATTCCTAACTGGAGAGAGGATGAAGGTAGGAACGGCGTCACAAAAGGAGACTGAAAAAGAGAGACTGAAAAAGAGAGGGGTCAGGGAGGTGGAGGGGAAAACGGCACCAGAACGCGATGATAATAACATGGTTCGCAGACTCGCACTGTCATTAACGTGTCACATTTTGTCACGTAAAAACTTCAGCGTGTTTCATAAGGATTCAAAGCCGCAGATCAAAACAGAAGTCGGCATGTGATAGTTAACATGCTGCTTTCAGGAAGTTTTGCAAACGAAATAAAAATTCCAGGTGGAAGTTTAATAAAAGCTGAAGTTCAGTCGGATTTACGACACATTAAATTGTTGCGTCTTAAATCTTAAAAATTAAATCTCGATTTAATATGAGTTTCAGCAACATTTCATTTCCCTTTGGGAGTAATGAAGTATTATTGAATTGAACTGGATTTAAAGAAAAGCATCTAAGAAAAGAATAGGAAATTTCAAGAACTTTGCTCTGGACTTTGACTATGCCAATATAAAACATTGACTCTAAACCATTTCATTGTTGTTTTAGCTGTCTCAAGCCTTTATTTAGCCTCATCCATCTTTGCCTCCATTTTAACCAGATTCCTTCACTCAGGATGATGCTGCCACCACTTTGTTTCACTGCTGAGATTTTTTTTCTTCCTCTTTTTGCGAATAGATTAAAAAGAAAACTTGTGTTCCTTAATAAGAATTGCAAGGACACCGCCTGCAAAAGAGACTTTGAATTTAACTGAGTCTTTTCTGGTGAAATAAAGTGTAAAAGAAAACTGCTTCCGAAGCCTTCAGAGAGCTTCAAACTGAGATTAAAACACACAGAAGTTGACTATTAATTAGACTCTGAAGGCATTTCGTTATATCTGGAGATCAGAATAAAGGGGAGTGAAAACCAAAACCTCTTTGAAACCGTGCACAATGTTCCTTCCACTTCGATTTGATTCGTCTCATCAATTCCTTAAGGTTTGCAACAGTACTGTGACAAAACATGGACAAGTTTAAGAAAGTTTTTGCACCGCATGATTTGCTGAGACGCCTCGGAGATGAGAGAGATTTAAAGTCGTAGTAACAAGAGGGAATTATGTGTTTATGGGAGTTTGCAAATCTTTGCTAATTAAAACGATGAGCCTGTTGCTTTGTTTTGAGGGGAAGATTTCCTCCGGAGAAACAAAACAAGAAAAGCCCTGTCACATAACAGCGAGTAAGAGGAGAACAAACGACTGAACAGGCAGAGAGGCTGAATCCTTCAAGCTATTTTCATCTGCTTTGAACAGGCATTACTCGCGCCCATTTATCCCGCTCGGATAACAGCTCTCAGCCGATACTCGGCACTCACGTTAGCAGAAAATTGTCTTTATTGAGAAAAGAATCAGTTGGCCTTACTGAGTGCTCTGTTTTATTTTCTTCTCTGTGTGTTTTCCATCTTTTTCACTCCTGCGTTTCACCATTTTCCTCTCAGGAGTTTCTAATCCTCCTGGCAATTTCCCAACAATTCCCGTCTTTATTTTCCTACATTCTCAACAACTGAGTCACTTTTCTTCCGCTTGTATCTTTTCCTGCAACCTCCTCCCCTCCCCCCCGGCTCCTCTTATCTCTCGGTCTCCTCTGTCATGTCCGTATCCATGAGGAACCCACCTCAACGCCGGCGCTCCCTGGGTCCCGTCTCACCCAAGCGAATCTACAGGAACCTCTCTGTCAGACTGAGGGGAGGAGAGTCGTCCGTCGCCGCCGAGGTGGATGCACCCAAACACACCAGCAAGCCTGCAGAAGCTGTAAGATGCTAGCACTCTCTTCTACCCCACCACAACATATTTAGCTTCGGCACAGAGCTGAAACTGTTTTGTATCTTTTGTAGGAGAATATGCTATAAAAGGTATAGCAACCAATTCAACCTGCATTTGGCGACACAAAATTTTACCTCCTTTAATCTCCTGTGGCAACCATTCAGCCATGCAAAAAGCTCAGGTGGATCTACCTTCAAGGATAAAGCTCCTCCTTGAAGCTTCTTTCTCACAGAGCAGTTCTGCCCCGCCCCACTCAGTTCCTTCAGACTAGCCAGCAGCAATTAGCAAACAGCTAATGGATGAGCTCATTACGGGAGCTACTTCTCAGTACAATGCTGCTAAAAACATTGCTAAAGGGTTATTAAAGTAACCATGTTGTGGTGACTTCCTGAAGGCGGAGTTTCACACAGGGCCGGTGTTTTAAAAGAGTCAGAGACCCATTTTCGAAGTATTGAATTACAAAGTTGATGTTCTTGCAAGTCATATCTGGTGTAGCATTTTTATAATAAATTAGGGTAACATTCCAACCTGATTGTGCTATAGAATGGTACTACTTTGCCTGGAAAACTCAACACTGCCCCTTTAATGAATGAACTCCTCACTAGACTGTGTATTTGCCAGGAGGAGTGTTATGCTAGAACTGTCAGGATTATGCTAGAACCGTGTTAATGAGTCTTTCCACCCCTACACCTCAAATTAAAATGACACCGTGAACCTCTCACTGCAACGCTATAATCAAGGTGCTTTCAGGTGGAATAGCTGATTGGAGATTTGTTTTGAAGCACAAAGCTAATCCTCCTGTCGCTCACATGAGACAAACGGCGGCTGCACTTTGACTAAGCTGACTGTGCAGAGGAGCTCGCAGGAGGCATTGTGGTTTCCACCAGTTGTATGGTGAAGAGCTATGACTGCGTCTGCTGCATTTGTGTCTTTCGGCTGCGTTATGGATTGCGTTTCAGTTTGTTTTCGGTAAGCAGTTGCTTAGGAACGTGCAGTCGGTGTATTCCCTGCACGAACGCAAAGTCTTACCAAGTGTTTTTGGTCTAAGTTTCTAGTGCAAATATACTGCAAGAAGACAAAACTAACAAGTACCAGCAAGATATAGGAGATTTTATTTGTGTAAATAAATCCTTAATACTTATGAACAAGTACTTGTTATCAGTGGACATTTTAGATTGTGTATAAGACATAAGCTTCTATATTGTGCTGAAAAGTTTCCTTTAAGTTAATTTTGTCTTACTTCAAATCCATTAAGATGTTTAAGGTTGAAACCCGACCAAAAAAATCCTTGGTAAGATTTTGCATTTTTGTAGAGCTGTTCTCTCTCTGTAAACAGAGAAAGAGAGAAATATTCCCAAACAAATCACCACCACTTTTTCTTTCATCCACAGCTCAAGCTTTTATTCGGTAATAACTCAAATTCCCTGGCTTTCTTTATCTCATGAGGCTGGGGTATGAGTTTGTCGTCCTTGGCCGCTTTGATTTATGGATCTTGTTCTTTTTCCTCTTTCTTTGCAACTCCCCTTCCTCGCCCTCGCCAAATAAACCTCCTTTGACATATGAACCCTCTTTCTTTTTCTCTTTCGCGCGCCTTCTTCCGTGGTGCACCCTTCTTCCCTCTGCCCATTAGTACAAGACCCTGTGGGAGGCAGTGGAAAACGAGGACACTCTGGCTGTGCAGAGCCTCTTGTCCAAAGATCATGCCAGCTGTGGAGGAGGAGGATCGAGCTTGTGGGAGCGAGGAGAGAAGAAAGAGAAGGACTGGGAGAGAGATAAAGAAAAAGGGGTGAACCGAGTCAGCGAGCAGGGGTTGGTTCCTCTGGATGTGGCCGCGCTTACCCACAACTCCCCTCTTCTTCACGTGCTGACAAAGGCAGGCGCCAGGCATAACCCTATTTGTAAGTTTCACTCTTTGACTGATCAAAACATGCACAGAAAAAAACCTCTGCTGATTTTTCACCCTAACGAATGATGCGCGGCGTCTGGATTAACGGCTGCGTTACTTCTCAGTGTGCCGGCCAGCAGACTGGGGGCTCAAGCTGGACGCCCTGGTGGATATGGCGAGCAGATGGACGGAGGAGAGGAAGTCGGAGTTGGCCAGGAAAACAGGAGCAGGCCCCCAGGCGCAGGCGGAGGTCCAGAGACAGAGCCGCCTCTGGAGACTGCGGCTGCAGCTGTACTGCCGGATGAGAGAGAACTTCCAGAACACGGGTCAGTGCTGTGAAGTTCTCCCAACCCCTTGAACTTTTTGACATTTTTGTGTTTTTATAGGATTCCTTTTATGGAATGGACAAACATCAGTTTAGATTCACCATATAATTGTGAAATTTGACATTTTGAAAATAAATTTGCTCAATAGAACCCCAAAAAATGTCTTGTTTTTCAATAAAACGCTGTGGCACTGGGATGAGGTTGCTGATGGCACAAACCACGAAGAAGAAGAGGACAGGAAGTAAATGAAGGGGTGGCGTGTTTTATAAAAACTTATCGTGTCCACAAGCTTAAACGTGTGATTTTATTTGCATTTCTTACTTCTTACTTTGTAATTGCAAAAATTCTTCAAGTTATATTCAAGAAAGCAATGTTTAAATAGTATTTTATCAATTTAATCAGTTTTCTTCTGTATGCTGTCAAAAGACATCAGAGTGAAAACATGTTCAATATTTATTTTAGGAAGTGCTTATTGAATGCAGAGACAGCTGTTTATTAATATTTTAACAGTTTGATAATTGATTTTATTCATATATTCTGTCACTACTGGCCCTTTGAGAGCATCCATAATTTTGACACGGCCCAAAGTGAAAATGAGTCAAATGAGTTTGACAACTTCTGCTTCACACCGCCTTACTTTCAGGATTTACATCCATAAGAAGTTGTCGTGTTTTTTTCCACAATTTGTTGATTTCAAACACTCCATGCAGCAAAGGTCGCCAGGCAGGGAATCGAACCTGCGACAGCCGAGTCGAGGACTAAGACCTCCATTTGTGGGTTGCGCCACCACAGCACATCCCAGATCTGTGTAGCTTAATCTCAATTTAGACGCAGCTTTTCTCTTGTTAAGGCCTCAGAGGTTTGTTGGAAAACATCAGTGAACAAACACAAACTCAGTGCTGTATCTGTCAGAATAACAACGGTGGTGAAGATTGAAACAGGTTGGGCTATAAAACAACATCCTAAGCTTTGAACATCTCATCTTGTTCTAATAATAGAGTACGGAACTACTGCACTGCAAAAACACATTTTATTGAGTATTTTTTGCCTGTTTATTCTAGTTTATATTGGATTTGAAATGAGAGAAAACTATGAACTTTTCAGCAACATATAGGAGGTCATTTAAAGTAAATAGTTCCTTAATATTGGTAAAGAAGTGGCTCCACTGGAACATTGTTTCACTTATAGTTAAAATAATCTGCTATAAATCTGACTTTTATTTTATTAGAGAGTAACAAAGAGTGAAGCTCCTGAAAAATACATTTTTAGAAGTTTTATTTATTAATTTTTTTCTGCTGTTTGTAGCAAACATGTGGAAGAAGATGCTCTGGTCAGATAACCCGAACTTGAACGACATGACAAATGTTTATTGTGGCCAAAAAACAAACAAACAAACAAACAAAAATCCCTCTCAATACATACCAACATCTTAGCAAAACACAGAGGTGGCAGCATCATGATATGGGAATTGTAAACTTAAAAACAACAAACCCATCTATAAATGGAGCTGGTGGAGGCGCGCTGCAATTTTTAAATTTTGATTCCCAAAAAGAGCTATTTCTCCAGTCTACTTTACAGCTGCTCTCTACTTTGTGATGATCGATCATATAGAATAAAAACCCAATAAATTAAACTCCGGTTTGTTGTTGCTGCGCAACAAAACGTGAAACAGTCGGAGCGTCTCGATATCTTGCTGTAATTATTAAACAAGGTGATGGGACCGCCTTCGCTAAAGAGGACAACCTTTAACTCGCCAGCCTTTCATTTAAGGCGACGCTAATGTGCCTCCATTTCCGTCAGTCTTTCCGCCGAGGCACTGAGACAGAAGGAAGGAAGAACCTCCAAAACAGCCATAAATGGCCTCCCTCTGAACGGTGGAGAAGCGGGGATATAAATTGTGCAGCGCTGCATTAGTTCTGCATGACTCTCCTTTAAAAGGGATGGATGCGAAGTTTTAAATATGCATCGTATAAAATCTCCCACCAGATATTTTGACGAGGCTTGAAATCTTTATATTGAATTGTCTTTTTACTCCAGTTCTAATCTACAAAAACCTCCACGACTGCTGAGATCAATTAGCCAGCCCACACTATCTTGCTAAAGTTTTATAAATATTATATATATATTTTTCCTTTCCCTCAGCTCTTTTGCTAAGTTTTTTTCTAAAAGTCTCCCATCTTAATCTCATCTGAACTTCCAAGCGAGTCCCTGGCCATCAGTCTGTCCAGATTCTCATTGCCATGCCCCTGCTTTCCCTCCACCGGCTCTGTGGATCAAATAAAACCTTGATGATGGCGGATTTATGAGCGAGGATTCTGCAAAGAGAAGTTTCTCAAGGCTGCTGCGCTTTTTGCTTCTCACACAAACCCATTTATGTCTTAATTCTGTTTCCCCTTCAGCGGCGCGAATGGTTGCGGGGGTTGTTATGTTATCATGTCTATTTATTACCGACTCTAATGCTTTTAGTTAGAACTCGATTCGTTTCTCTTTTAAGGATCTTCAGATCTCTTTATTACCGCACTTGTGAGGAGAACAGGGCCTCGGGTCTTATTTCTGTGCGCGGTGAAGCCAAGCGAGCTCCCATTGCAAATCTCCGGGGAAGAGAACGTTGGCTGAATGTTTAAAATCTAAAATATACATGAAATGTGGCCCAAGGTGTTTGACATAGTGGGAATCCATTCAATTCCAGGTCTCCGCCGAGTGAGAGCGAAATATAAATCTCTTTGTCTAGACTCGGCAGAGAGAGAGCGGCTACGTTTGATCACAAAGCAGAAAGTCTGAGCCACTGCTACAGGTGAGATGATAACAAACGGCTCCCACTGTGTTTCAGAACCGCGGGGAGCCTCAGGAAGATTTGTTTTTGCTTTCATTGGAGGTAATAATGTGAAATTATTCATTTAGATTTGAGACGGATTTATGCGGCAGAGCGTTAGGCTGTAGCGAGAGGAAAAAAACGTAGAATAAATTCTTAAAATCCAAAGAAAAACATCGAAATAGAATAATTCTGACTTTATTCTCATAATATTTCAACTTTATTATCTTAAATTTATTGTGTTTACTGAATTTAGCACAGATTTAGACACATAGTGGCCCCTGAGCTGGAGAATTCGATGCCCTTCCACGCCCCTGCAAAGAAAAATCTTTTACTCTTGAAAATTGCAGAACATTTACATTAGGTATATTAGGAAGCTGTATAATTCACCTACACATCTGCAGAGGAATTGATGGATGGCTGGCGTCAAACATATAGCAGGTGGCTCCATGTTGCTCCCAACAATATGATAATTTCCACTTGACTATAGATTCAGTTAATAAAACTCCAACAATGTGTTACTAAAACACCACATGCGAAATGAGCTTGACTTTAATATGAACACACAGTGGGGCGTGTCGGTTCCCATCACAGTCCATGCTCCGGCTTTGGACCGAGAAGGACACAGAAAGGACACGCAACTCAGTTGTCATAGCTATGTTTTATGTTTTCCATGCATGTTGTTTGACCTTGTGTAATCTTGTCCCACCCAGAGCTCCCAGGCCCTCCCAGTCATGTGTCCTTACTGGTAACCAGCAATTCCTCTCTGTGCGTGGTGATCAAGGAGCCGGACGGTAACAGCATGGGGCTCATCACCCGCTACAAAGGTAGGCGGCGATACCTGTGGGAGTTTATCGAAGCAAATTAAGTTGTTTTAACTCAAAATGTTCATAAACACTAGGGGTGCACCAATTTATCGGCCAGCCGATTTATCCTGATGAGCCTCCAAAACAGGCCCCCATCATCACCACTCTACCACCATGCACTGAGCTGAAAATCTGATTCACAACACCTACATCTTTACTTCTTGTTTGTTCCAATGCAGAATGGCAAATCGAGGTTGTGCCGCCATATCCTTTAGAGAGAAGAGACGTTCTCCTTCAGTCGTTCCAAAAAGAAAAAAAAAGAAGTTATTTTTAGAACTGTGATGTCTTGAACTTTTAACATTTAAGATGCTAACAGAGGCTCTCATATTTCCCCCGGGCTTTTCGCAGCTTCTCTAAGCTCGCTGTGTCCGACCTTGAGGTGAATTTGCTGGTGATGTGAAGTCCTGGGAAACTTGCCAACGGTCTTAAATGTTTTTTCCTCTCTTGAATAAACGTTTTTCACTGGAGAAAGATGGACTTCAAATTGTCTGGGAACAGCCTCACAACTTTCTTTCAGGAGTAGCTTTTCTTAAACCTCTTGACGTCTCTCCACCTGAGCAGCGTGCTCCACAACAGCAAACTGCCAGAGGCGGTCACCGTGGCAACAGGCCGTTCATCCATCTTAAATCTGCTGGTGACAATAGTTTTCTACGCTGCGGTAGACTCGGTGACCTCGAGGTACCCAGAACACAAGCCCACATCTCACTCTGCCACCGCCGTGCTTGACAACTGGCAGGACATGTGTGAACAGATACTTTGCACCTAATTATGCTGCAATGCTTGGTCAGGGTCAGTTGCGGGCATTTATTATATCTTTGATCAATTATTGCGATGAGTTTCTTATCATGATAAGAATTTAGATGTATTGTTGTCACAATAAATTCCAATTAATGATGTTTAAAACCCCTCAAACTCGTCCTTATTGTCAATATTGATGTATTTGTTTTCCCCACCATTCATTCACTGAAAGCATCAATAAGTAAAAAAATACAGATGCCGTGTCCAGCAGTTTGATGGTACAAATCAAAGCATGGGAATGTTTTTCAAGAGCACGATTTGTGTTTCTGAGGCTGTAATTGTGGTTCACTTCTGGTGTGAATACCAACTACAGGAAGTGTGCGTCTTTTTGGACGCTACTACTGCTAATGCTACTACTGCATGTAGCTGTTGCAACAAAGTCGTACCTCATCATCCGTTTCCTGCTTGTTGCTGGTCAAAACATGCAGATTAAACTTTGCCACCCTACATTTAGCTGAAATTTTGAAACACAAGCATTTAGTATTTTATAATACATGTTAAGATCTAAAATATTGACTGAAGTGTGTGGAGTTAGTTGGTCTTTTTTTTATTTCTCTTGCTAATTTTTGAACAGTGCTACTTTGGGGTGAATTTGCTCAGATTTTTCAACTCCTGGGAATATTTGCAAAATTTTTGAATGCTTTCTGCTTGTAGTTCAAACACATTGGAAACGTATATCCATCAATCTTCCTAGATTGATGGATAACAGCACTTGGATAATTCCTGATGTCTTTCTGCCTTGGCATTGATTTAGAAAAACACTGCTATCTTTTCTTCTAAATTCTTGTTCACAACAAGGGTGGGATTAGTGGCGCCATCCTTTTAATTAACATAAATAATAATATTGTGAAATCTGTTAATAACCCAGGTTTGTTTTCAATCATTTTGGACCAGAGCGGAAGTGTTACGTCCTGTCTTTCCACCACTATTGGATACAGACGGATGATTGCGAGAGGGACAGTAAATTATCTGGAATGGGACAGAAAAGAAACAAAAAGGCGTTTCATGGAGTCTTATATCAGTTCAACAAAACCAGAATCCCACACACTGCCAAGCTGGTGTGGAGGAAAGAAAGAAGAAAAAAAACCTTTTTACTCGTTCTTCTGGAGTAGGCGTTGCTTTTGCAGCTGCTTTATATCCTCCTGCCAAGAGTAGATTAAGCTCATGTTCTTTGAACTGTAAATACTCAAATCCTTTGTTCTCACTTATTGGAGCTCTGAGCAAAGCCAGGGAGAATTTTGTTAGTGAGACTGTTTCTTTATTTCTTGATTTTTATATTTTTTTCTCCCTCCACAGTGGAGTGGAGCACCTCGGTCAGCTTCAAACGCGTCCTCGGAACGGCCCTGGTCACAGAAACGAGGAACCCGTCCTATATCATCAACGGACTGACAGCAGTGAGTTAAGCAGCACACACACACACACACACGCACACACACACACACACACACACACACACGCACACACACGCACACACACGCACACACACAAACACAAACCACACTGATAAAAATGTGCAGCGACTCGAGAGTTTATTGGTTATATTTCTGCTCATTGAACCCGGTTTCACATGGAGAACGTTTTCCCCACAGCCTCACATTTGATCGATGAGATGAATTAATAACAAAGAGCTTTCCCACTCCTTTGTCCTGATTCGCGAGGTTAATGCACAGTGATAATTTGGCACTCTGCTGCTTCTCCCAACGCAGGGAACACACTACTACGTGAGAGCGAGCGCCTACAACGTGAAGGGATGGGGCCCACCTCAGAGCTCGGCTCCGGTCAGCGCCGCCCCCTCCAGTGAGTACGCCGCACTGCAGGACGAGACCGAAGGACCGTCAGCTAAATTTAGCTGACTTCGAGCTCCGTGTGAAGCAAGTGAAGTTTGGCAGATGGCGTGAATTATTAAAACACGGAGAATCAGGGATGTCACTGTGAATCAATGGGCCCTGTAGCCGCGCTCCCTTGAGTTCGAGTTAATCTTTTCCTCCCCTCTCTCGAACCTTCCTGTTCTCTTTACTCGCTTTTTCTTTCCAGTTTACGCCTCCAGTAACGCTGCGCAGTCTTTTTTTTTCCAAAATTGAGTTGAAAAGTTTAAAGTGTTTAACAGCGCCAAGCTTTTCATTAGATAAGTTTCATTCTCATCCAACTTACAGAGAAGTTCAGAATTAAAAAAAAAAAAAAAGCGTAGAAACTTTCAGAGCATGCAGGTGTTTTGTCATGCAAGCGCTAACACTTCCTTATCTTTGGGAGAAAAGCGGCACTCAGGACTTGGCAGCAAATTAATTCTTGCCTTTTAAATGATTTTTTTTTTGCTCCCAGCTGCATGAAAGAGATGATTTGTTTTTTTTTGCCCATGCAGGCTGGAGAGAGTGTGTTGGTGTGAAGACGCCGCTCAGGAACCACGAGGGCTTTGTGAGGAAACTGCTGGAAGATGCCAAAGAATCCCAGTACAGAGGATATTATATAGGTAACAATGGGCACTCAATCATGCAGATTGTTAAAGCTGGCAAAAACACATAACCAGTAGATGGCCAGGCTTTTCAAAAGTTTTTATATCCCTTTAGTTTTCACATTTTTTTCCATGTTAGGACCACAAACGTTATTGTGTTTAATGTGATCAACCATTGCAAAGTGGAAAAAGATGCTCTAAAGGCCTGCATGAAAAGCATCGTGTGGTGGAAAACTATCGTTGCACATTGGCCTGAACACACCATTCTCACAGGAACATACGTCGGCGGCAGCATCATCCTGTGGGCCGGTTTTTCTTCAGTAGGAGGGAGAAACAGGTCAAAGTGGATATGGAGAATAACTTTGGCAAAAAGTAGTAAAGAGCCAACTAATGTTTTTAAAAATAGGGCTTCCTCAGGTTTGAGGGATTTTTCAGTGTTTTGACAGAGTAATTTCAGTAATTTTCACAATAAAATGACTCTATGAAAATATTTTAGATATTTCTTTGTGTTTTTTTTTTTGAATTTTTTTTTTAGAATTTTTTTTCAAAATTTCTTTGAATAAATTTAGAGTAATTTTTTAAAAAAAGAAAAATTTTTGTGTTTTACACAAATGTCAACATCTCACTCTAGGAAATGTATCCACCCACTTTCTTGCAAAATTGTTGTCTCTCTTTATTTAAAATCTAAAAATAGAAATGAAACTAAGGCTATTTAAATGTGAGAACACTTTTTTTAATAGACTTTCATCTAAAATGAGAACATTTGCGGCTCTAAACACTTTCTATTTAGCCGGACCGAGGTCTGTTTGGATTATAAGGGCTTCAGCTCTTTGTTGCAGGCAAAGACACCGGCTTGTTGCCATGGAGCACACACACATAAAGACATTAGTAATGAACTGTTGTTGCCTGTCCTCCAGCTAAGGGTCAATGACATTGGCTCCGATCCGTATAACCTGGTTATTTTCTATTTAACAACCATCACCGGCTGCGTTTAGTCGGCCCGACTTCCCAAGGTGCAGCCGTCACTCGTCCTTTTCATAAACACTGTTGTATTTAGCGCAACGTCTCAGAAATAACTGGCTAAACATCCCTCTCCCTCCTCTTGTTATTTTCGACAGACAGCTCGAAGTCGGCGAGTCCCAGCAAGCGCCTGTTGATGTCTCGGGGCATCAAGCAGCTTTTCCACTCTGCCACCAAGTTTGTTCGTCTCCTGCAAAGGTGGGCCCCGTCCGTCTGGCCTGCCCCAGCTCACCTGGAGAGTAGCGAGACGCAGCGGTTAAAGGGGATGTAATTAGAGCCATGCAGCCATCAAACACTTGAGAAGAGCAATTGTCACATGTTCTAAGCTCGGGGCGCAGACATTCATCCAGCCGGCCACCGAGTTTTTTGAGATAAAAAACGTTGACAAGAAATGTGAAATTATCACTAAACACCTACTATAAAGTCTTAAAAAAGTCAATAAAAAATTGAAAATAAAATAAATAAACAATGCTAAGCCTGGTGGCCCGCCAGGCTTATATTACACTGTGGGAAACCCTGTCACATTAAGGCTTCTGCAGCTCACAAATGATCTTATTTTTACCCCTAAAAAACCAGAAGACCATCTAAATCAACACTCACTTTCTATGTGAAATTACTGCAATTTATTTCCATTTTTATGTGAGTAATATGTGAAAGTCTTAACAATGGTCCTCTACGTTAGCAGGGGTGTGTACTTGGCGACTGTTTTCTACCACAAGGACAACATCCTGGTGGCCGCTGAGGATCAGATCCCACTGGTGGAGATCCAGTGCTGCTCCACCTCCATCACCCAGGACTTCCTGTGGTTTGCCAAGGTGAGTGAATCGCAAACACAAGCGTGCAAAAGACTGAATTCATAACATTTTTTGCAACTTGAGTGCCTAAAAAACCTGCTTATCCCTCCATTTTCTATTGTAGCTGTCCTGCGCGTGGCAGCAGGTGCCCTGGCTTCAGCAGGGCCTGTCGTCTGCTCACTCCTCTCCCTCCTCCCTCCTTCAGAACCGGCACAACATCTTAAAAGCTGTTTGTCAGCTGCAGGTAGGAAGTTAAGCCTCTTATTCTCCAGATGAACGCAGTCATGTTGGCTTAATTGCTATTTTAATTACCTCCTTTAAATCTCGTCCTTCCCCCTTTTTTCTCCGTGTCGCCTTTTTGCCGAGCTCATCCAATCTGCATGAGCACCGAGGCTGTGTTAACGCGCTAATCCTTCCAATCCTCAGTTTTACCTTTTGCTCTTGTGTCTGCTCTCAGTCTTCTTTAGGAACGATGGATTTGGGTCAGGTGTACTACGAACCGCTGAAAGACAGGCAGGGCAATGTGCTAATAGTGACGCTGAGGGAGTTCCCAAATCCTCCTTCAAGGTGAGATGGAGTCTTTTATCCAGCCTGTAGGATATGTGCCCAAACTGAAGGCGCGCGGGCCAAATCCAGACCGCTATAAGTTTTCACGTGGCCCTCTACACTCTTCAAGGACACAAGATTATAACTGAGTGCAAATCAAACCATTTTTGTTATCTGTATATACTGCCACATTATGTTGATGTGAAAATATGTTAAATGTTATAAAGTTTGAAGAAGTACTCTTCGAATAAAGTGATGAGTTTTTATTATTTTTTATGGCAGTTTGTTATTGGGTAGTTTTATCGCTACATTCTTCCACAGCCAGAACTTTGAAGACATTCAAAGTTTAAGGCCCAAAATGGAAAAGTATTTGACACTGCAGTGTAGGACATTTGTTGATTGCAAGATATTTGACTCTGCAACAATGTCTGATTTTATTCTCACACCGCTTGCCGTACTGTTGTTGTTCCTGGAAGAAAATGACAGAGTTTCGCTGAAACATCAAAGTTTTGCTCCATTTCTCTGCGTTAGCCCTCCTGACCCTCCATTCCACTGGATTGCTCTGGACCGGCTGGAGCGGAACCGCAGCAGAACCCCTCTGCTGCCCGAGCCCACGGCCATGGATATGCTCTTTGAGCAACTGAAGGTGAGTTTGTGTCTGGGTGAAACGGAGACGAACGGTGTTAAATTACTGGAAATCAAACATGTCCTGCTCTCCAGGACAAGCTGTCCTTCCACAGGCACAGCATCCAGTGGGCCCAGCCCGGCCTGTATGTGGGCATCCTAAAACTGTGCAGCTCGGTGGACCAGATCAGGGTCCTGGTGCCGCAGCGGCTGCCAAACCTCCTCTGCCACACGCGGGTCCGACACAATCCCCACGTGACCAGGTAACGCCGTTGAAGTTCACCGAAAAAACAATACTCAGAAGTTACTTAATCACTGTTTTCTTCTTCTTCTGTCGCCGGGCCACAGAGAGGAGTGGGCCTGGCTCCAGAGTCATGTTTACACCGCACACAGCGGCAGCGCTCAGAGCCCGCCGAGCGGCGAGGACGAGAGCAGCGGAGTGGAGGAGTTTGTCAGGTCTCTGAGAGCCGCAGTCACACATCTCCTGACGAAGCTCAACATCCCCCTCTACAGGGTAACGCCAGCCAGACCAAAACGCCCGTCTAAAAATGACTTTCTTAAAGCCTGACACTGCCTTGCAACAGCATTCACTTCTACTAAACATGCTACGATTAGCCAGGTGGATGTAGGTATGTGTGTTGATGGGCGTTTATGTGATGGCTCCTTCCAGCTTCACACACCGAGAAATTTACTTTATTTATTATTTTTAATTTCTCATTACAAAACGGATCAAACTCGAGATCAAACGGACGGATCAAACATGAAATGTTAAATCTTGCCACAGATTATCAGTTGGATTTAAATCTGAACTTTGACTAGGCCATTATTAAGCATTACATTACAGCTGTAGCTCTGAACGTTTGTCCTGCATTGCTCAGCCTCGTCCAACTCTTATCAAAGTCGCCGTCCGTGTTTGGGAAATGCATCACCATAGCATGATACTGCCGCCACCGTGTGCTAACAGCGTTAGTTTTCTCTCAAGCCTTGTAGGCCTTCACAGAAAATCTGTATTTGTATCAACAACCACTGAACTCTGCAACTTATGTCATCTTTGAAGAGAGACAGTTGCATTATATTTATTTAGGGGTAACAGAAAAGGGGGGGCTGTAAAGAACATTTTAGATCTTTATTTGTGAAAGTTAGATTGTCCTGTCGCTTCATAGTTACGCACATATATTAGGGTTCTTGTCTATCCCATTGTAGTAATATATACTTTTAATCCAGGATTCAATATGTTTCCTTTCTAATTTGTCAAATAAGGCACATTCCTCATTTTTCCTCATGCAACCGTGGTCCTCACAGGCCTACCAGTACGGCGTGTACACGCGGGAGCTGCTACAGTTTGGTGGGAAGGTCTCCATGCTTCTGCTCCTGCCTCCCAGTGAGGACTTCAGCTCCAGCTACTGGCCTCTGGTGGGAACCAAAGAGCCTGGCTTCACACTGCCCCTGCAGATCTTTGAACTGGGTAAGAGGAAAACACATTTGGCTTGGAGCTGTTTTAGTGAGTCGCTTCTTGATTAAAGCTGCGGTGTGTAACTTTTTTTTTTTTTAATCTTTTTATACATATTTGTTGACATTGTCACTGTGCAGTATGGGACAAGAACAAGCTGACAACAAATGAAGCTCACCGGCTTTCCCCCAGTGCAACTTTTTGCAAATGCAGAAATGCATCACTTCCAGTGAAAAACAACCAATCGGAGCTGGGAGTTGGGTTTTAGCGCTGTCAATCAACCCCAATGTACTTGCTGCTCAATGTGTTAAAGGTGGAGAAACATCATAATGTTCCAGGAAAACTATTTGTCAGCCATCAATTGTGGCCATGCTAACTAGCCTTAGCAATCATAATGCGCTAAGACCCTCCTCCTGGCTCTGATTGGTTGTTTTTGACTAAGTTGTATATTTCTGCAGATGGCTGTAAAACTACAGAGAGAGTACACAGAAGCTTCTTTTTTTTTTAAAAAATAGAAAAAAAATAACATCACTTTAAAGAGGGACTTCTATGGACCTACAAGGGAAGTCTTGCTAGAAAAGCGTTGCGTCCTCTGCATTAGAGACGTGTGTTGTTGTGTTTGATAAAACATAAGGCAGTCATTAGTTTTATGAAAATGCCACTGAAGAACAGTTTGTGTCATATCCAAACAAACTAAAAAACAGAAATAAAAAATATTTGCAGTAAACAAACAAACACAAAAAGTCAAATTACCTTATTTTCCGGACTATGAGTCGCTCTGGAGTATAAGTCGCACCCCCGGCCAAAATATGAAAAAAAAACTGCGACTTATGGTCCGGGAAATACGGTACTGTGGGGAAGAATCTGACTGTTCAAGCTTTCAGGCAAGTTTAATTTAAAATCTTCTGTTTGCTCTGTGACTCATCATCCAGTTCACTTCTGGACCTACGAACGGGACTTCCTGAGTCAGTACTGCCAGGCCTGGGTGAGGCTGGAGCTGGACACTCACCTGGCCCAGCAGGCCCTGCGTGAAGCGCTGGACACCAACGAGGTGCAGGAAGCCCGGGAGCGCCTCAATAACCTCACTGACCTTTCTCGTGTAAGAGCATAAAAACGACCTTTTTATGTGGACTCGCTGGATGAAAGCTGAAATTGATTATTGTCTTAAATATCGTTGTTGTCTGATTGATGAGCATTTACCGAAGGAAACTGACTCCCTGGATGTGGGCCAACGGTAAAATTGATTGAAATATTTTTCCTGCAGCGTTTGGAGATGGTGTGGAGGGACGCCCGTTGGATAATGGACTGTCTGCAGTGTGTCCGCTCCAAGCAGTGGGTGGGGGCAGTGCCTTTGGGACTGGTGATGGGGGGGGACCCACCGCCTCGTCCTGATGGTGAAGAAGAGGAAGACAGCTTGACTGCAAGGTTGAAGTGGCCGAGCCGGGTCCAAACACTAAGATCTGTAGCAGGTAATGGCAGCACAAAGGGTGGTTAGCACACGTCATTTAATCTTTTTTGCACAGTTTTTAGGACTAAAGACTGAAAAAATTGCACAAGAGTTTGATGACAGTAAAATATTCTGTACTAAAGGTCATATTCAAACATCTTTGTCCTTTACTTCTCTTTTTAATCAGTTGCTGCTCTTTGTGGGACTAAGAAGGTAAAATAAAATGTTAGCATGACTAGCATATGAACTGGGTTCCACCTGAGATCATCCAACATCTAAAACATTTCCACACACCTTCCCACTATAATCATATTTTTTTATAACACATTTCCGAAAGTGCATTGCAAAAGAGACCAACACAAAGTTTCCACCAGCTTTACATATATAAAGGGGGCATTTTTAACCAGTTTTTTTTTTTTGCTATGTAGCTTGAGGTTGAAATGTTGATAGTTTTACCATAAAATTCCAACATAACACATTTAAGCTTCAGGTTAAGATGAAACCTTCACATATTTCATGTCTTTAAAGTCTTCATTGTAGAAAGTATCCCCCGTTTTCTTTTTGGTTTTTTTTTAAGTAAATGATTGAAACCTGGGCAAATGTCAAAAAAGTCGTCCTCACTCCTACCTCCTTTCTGATTCTCTCTTCACTTTTCAGGAAGTTCTTCCGCTGTCCCCATACCGGTTACCGCCGAGGTCTGCGCTCCAGAAAGAATCCCGGTTGTCCGGGAGAACGCTGCGCTCAGGTTGATGGAAGGCGTCGTGAAGGGAGGGTACCCTGTTGACATCAGTGCTCAGTCGACAGCGGACCTGTCCGGCGTCGGCCTGCCGGAGGACGGATACACCAGCGCTTTAGCGGACAGCAGACTTAACTCTGCTGCTGTTGCACAGCTAGAGACCACGGTGTTGGACACCACAGACTTCAGTCCCAGCATCACGGACGTCATCCGGCCGATGGAGATGGCGGAGCTGGTGGACATCTTGCCGGCGCTGAGTCTTATTGAGGAAGAGAACCCCTGTGCTCCATCCACTCCGTCTGTAATGGACATCCTGGAGAACTTTGGACTTGGGATCGGGGAGAAAAACGCCCACTTTGTCTTTGAGATTGACGACAGGAGGGGGTCAAAGGCGAACACCGAGAGCGAGACGCACTGTGAGGGTATTCTGTTAAACCGAGCAGGAGTCGCGCCTTCTTGTGCCACTGTAAATGGATCAGAGAGCGACACGCCTTTTTCAGGGCGCGTCCGCCTCGGGGCGATAGACAGACGATGGAGGCTCCAAGTAAGGGAGCATCAGTTCCAGTGAGGAACCTGGTGGAGTGGGACAGACCGTCCACCAGTTCATCCTGATGTTAAACTTTGTCAGCTCGAAGTTGCAGTCACACTCCAGGGCTCGATGAAGAAGTGAAAAACCTCACTTATTCTTTTTTTGATCACTGTATTTATTCATAGTATATAAAAACTTTAGCTAGGGCTGGATGACATTAGGGATCATATCAGTCGATATCAATAATTACTGATAAGTTTTTTGTTTTAAATATCTGAAATGCTCACAAACTGGTGACATGGCCTTTCCTGTTTTTTCCACAGTTTTCGTTCTATGCCATTTTTTTAAATTTATTTTTAAGCAGCTATGAGGCACGGTGGCGAAACCTGAAACTGCTGCTGCGCAAGTTACTCAACAGGTTGTTGCTAGACGACCAAAGAGTGAGTGAGTTTCTTTCTAATGAATGAGTGAGTAAACCTAAGCATCGACCTTTCTTAGCCAGCCGTGAGAGGTTGGGCAACTAAAGCCTTTCCTCTGCCTACATCCCCCAGAATGCTGTGCGGTTCTGGATTGGCGTTCAGTGGAATTACTGAACATTCTATCAGACATTACATCTATAGATACTGATCACATATCTATATCTATCTATATCGTTACTGATTGATTGTCCAGCCCTAATTTGAATGTATATTGTAAGATTTAGTCTCTGTGATAAATTGCACCCAGTTTGATGAGTATACCCAGAAAGCTGGACTTGTTTTTGCACATTTCTCAAACTTTCATTTTGCATTTTTCTAGCATGTAAACTTGTGTTCATAAGTTTCCATTCTGAATATGAGAAAAAAACAAAACAAAACCAGGTGTTGCTTAGCGGTTGACGAAGTCATTTGATATCTGGCAATTGTGTTTGCTCTTTTTTTAGATGATTAGGACAACAGAAACTAACTATGCGACCCTGATAAAAAGTTTACAGATCATATTTCATGTCATGTGTTGCACCCTCATGGAACCAGCACCAGTTTTGGCGTTTGCTCCGGGTTCTGCCCTCAGGCTGTTTGGTTGCAGTGATGCAGTGATGGTGACTCAACCCTGCAGCCTTTTTTACATCAGGCGAAGTTGTGTGTTTTTTTTTTTTTTTTTTTTTGCATGTCAAATAACGTGTTGGTTGGATTACTTTCAACTGAATGCCTCTTTTTTTTCACTTTTCATGTCCCTTTTCTGTTTTATACAGTTCAGTTTTCTTCTAGCACAGATCCTTTAATGAAACTTTTTCTCTGGTTATGAATCTAGAAAAATCCGTCTATTATGGGGAAACCACTAGTGTTGGAAAAGGATTTTGTATTGTCATCCGTATTTTGTCAGTGTATGTAAACCTATGAGCACAACTTCAGTTCTCTAGAGCTACAAGTCAAATGTACAAAATGTAATAATATTAATAATAATAAGCTACAGTAGCAGTCATGACTTGAATATGTCTTGCTCACTACAGGACAAAGCTCTGTTGGTGCTTGTCTGAGCTGCGTTCAATTCAGTCAAATAAAAGCATTTCCTTTGAATTTTATATGTACGGTTTAGGCATTACAAGCTTCCAGTGTTACTTTCTCTTTTTTCTGGTATTTTAATGATCATTTATATTCAATAGGAGGGTGATATTCACCAAATAAAACAATGTGTCTGACTCCGAGGGGATATTTTCCACCCACTGATTAACCGCATCAATAATGGTTCCAAAGATGTGTTATTTACTTATTTAGGTTTTACTACACAGATTCCAAATGAAAGCGTAATATGAGCATCTTTGACGTTGAAAGTGGAAAATAACATTTTATCTTATCAAATAAGGTAAAATCTTATGTGATAAGAGTAATATTTGTCAAGTGAGGATTTGGGATCACCAACAGGGTTAGTGGCCTTTCTCGACGATTCCCGGGGTATTGCGACGGTGAGTCATCACTGCCTCCTAGTGGTCAAATAAGGGAACTACAGACCGTCTTAAATTTTCTTTTTTTTCTTTTTACATAAACCGCATTAAACGTATTGCTTTTCGTCGCTTTATAGACTTTTGCTTAATTATTACAGCATTTTCGGTAAGTATTTAGTGCATGCAATAACTTTCTCAAATTGTGGGTCAGTGTGGAGATCCGCTGCATCTGCGCTCTGGCGCAGGATGAAAATGCAACCCTTTTTTTTTTTTTTAACATCCAGGAAGACGTAGGTCGGGAGTCGCCAGCAGGAAAACGGATTAACCTGACGTTTGCCCTTCACTGTCCGCTCAGGAACAACATTTACAGTCGAGGCTTTGCATCACATTTTCCTGACGGAATGTCATCTGAAGGTGCTGCGTCACAGGAAGGTAAGCGGCGTCCTCCTCCGTCCTCCTCCGTCCTGCAGCAGGGCGGCTGCAGAACCTCGCCTGTCCCTGAGACAGAGACGGGCCTCTTACAGTTGGATCTGTTCACGGGACTTAAAATTAATGCAGATTTTAAATCCCCACATATATTCATAAAATAACAAAATATAAATCCATATGTATCACTGCTTAAGTCATGTGGCATAAATATTAAAATCTATTTTTCAGTAATGCTTCATGACATTTAGTAAATAAGCTTCACACCCTCCTCATTTCAGCCTATTAAACTTTACTAGCCAAATGTTTTTTGTTTTAAATAAGAAATTACTCGTTAATCTGCTCAATAGAACAGAAATTCAACCATTTCTGCACCATTTGCTTCCCCAACTTCAGCATCAGGCTCTCCTGTTTTGAGATGCTCTCCTAATCGTTACACATCGTGCCATATTGGACTAAGATGTTAGCTTCAGGACTCATAAGTCTTTCAGTTGGTTTATTTGTTTTTACACCTTTTTCCAACAACTGTAACCTCAATGCATTTTACAAAACACTAGTAACATCATTTCTAGGTTATACAGGACCGACTGCATAAACGGTTGATTGCAGCAGTCCTTCAAACTGAGCATGCATTTGGTAACAGTAGAGAGGAAAACTCCCCTTTAGCAGGAACAAAAAACTCCCACAAAACCTGGCTCACCGTTCACAGCCACCAGTCGGGATTTGGGAGAGCTGAGCTGACCCCGCCTGACAAACCACTCAAAAGAAGCACTTAAGCAGGTCAGGAATAACAATCACGGCCTTATCAATTACAAAGACACCAACTGTAACTCGCATGTCTACTCCTTTTGCTTTTATTCAAAATGTCAGTGGACAGACCAGGGCCGGCACAAGCCTCCTTGGGGCCCTAAGTGAAATTTGGTTTTGGGGCCCTCAAGTTCTCTAGTTCTGCTAATAACGTGGACCAGCTGCAATAGATTATTAAATCATTCAAAAACCTGCTGAACTTACTGTTTTAATTATCATACTTTATCAAACGTGCTGTTTTGAAGCCAAAAACACCTCAGAAATATAGAATCAACTCGTTTAAAATTTCAAACTCAGTTTCTCACAAATACAAACATTGTAGCATAAATGTTCGAACCGGTCCGATCCAGGTCGCTATTAACTTTCTATTAGCAGCTCCACTAATCTTTCTCATAAACATTACCAAGACAAAAAAAAAAAATCTTTATCTCGTCTTTATTCTATCCTCTCTCCCTGAAGGGAAAGTAACTTTTTTGCGACATTGTTTTGCTTGCTTATCTTCCACCAGAGCTTTGGGGGTTTGGATGCGCGCTGCGCAGCAGCTCATGTTATCATGCAGCGCAGAACCTACCGCTACTGCATGGAACACTTGTATAATGGCTTTTTAATAGCTATGCAGGATAGGGTATGCGATGCAAGAAAGTATCAACAAAGTTTGTATGTTTCTTTCTTTTTCAGCCAGTGCGCCATCTCTCGAATCAAAGACCGGACCTTTGAGGATTGTACTGCTGGGCAGGACTGGGACGGGCAGAAGCTCCTCGGGAAACACCATCCTGGGTAGACCGGCCTTCTGGGTTGAGTTGTCCCCCGCTTCTATCACCGCAAGGTGCAGGAGGCAGACCGGGACGGCAGGCGGGCGGAGTGTCTCGGTAATCGACACCCCAGGGTTCTTCCATACGGACCTCTCCCCACAGGAAGTTATGGCCGAGGTGGGTCAGAGCGTTAGCTTGTACTCCCCAGGGCCCCACGTGTTTTTGGTGACCCTGCGGCTAGGCAGGTACACCCAGGAGGAGCGAGAGACCTTGGAGTGGATCAAGGCGATGTTTGGGGCTGAGGTATCCAGATACACCATGGTCCTGTTCACCTGGGGCGACCAGCTCAGAGGCAAATCGGTCGAGTCCTTCCTGGACGAAAGTCCGGAGCTGTCTGGGTTCGTCAGCAGCTGCCGTGGGGGGTACCATGTCTTTGACAACAGCAGGCAAGAAGGGACGTCGGAGTGCCCAGAGCAAGTCTTAGACCTTCTGAAAAAGATTGACGAGATTGTTTCAAACAACCAAGGCAGCTGCTACAGCAACGCGTTGTACAAGGAGGCTGAGAGTACAATAAAGGAGGCGTGGGAGAGGATGCTGGAGGAGAGAGGACCCAAACTTCAGCCGTCTCTCAAGGAGACTGAAGGAAAAGAGAACGCAGAACACTTGGAGAGAGCGGGGAAGAGGCAGAGGAGGCCAGGAAGAGAGCCGAAAGGCTGTTCTGGTGCGAGCTGGTGACCGCACTGGGCAGAGGAGCAGCAGAGGGGGCAGGCATCATGGGAAAGGACAAAAGCAAACCAGTGAAGAAGGCGAAGGTGGTGGAGAAGGCGATGGGTCTGGCGGTGTCGCCGCTCTCCATCAAATCAGCTGCGAAAGCGCTGGAAGGAGCGGTGAAAGAAGGCAGCAAGGTGCTGCAGAAACACAAAAAGACTCTGCTGCACTGAGAGACTCACCGACAACAGGTTGGTTTGAGTCTCTGAATCAAGACGGATAACCTTTATTACAAAGACGCGACGTGTTGAAAGGAACAGCGTTCTGTGGATCACGAACACTTTCACCTTAAGAGCACTTGAAAAGACTTGGGAAGTAGTGCGAATGTTTCTTAAAACCAAACACGACCAGATCTTTGTAAAGACAATTCTCGCGTAATAAAAGAAAGAAAATTTGGATTTCTGATTTTTTTGACTAACACTTTAGAAATGAAAATAGAAACGAGAAAGTTTTAGCTAAAGTAAAACACTGCAGCTTCTTTGGCTTTTCATAACACGATATGATTTTAAGCCCTTTTTTTTTTTTTACTCCCTCCCCTCAACAACAAAATTACACAAGACAAGGTAAACAAGAAATACCATAACCGTAACAAACTTGGCAATAGTAAATACAGTAAGTTCTTCAGGGAGTGCTTATGAATACAATCTGTGAGAAAATAAAACATTGGGTTTTCACATGTAGGACTGGACGTTTGGTGATGTTTAGTTTAAAGCTACAGTCTACCTGAGTGCTCGAAACACCAGCTGAAACAATCTAAAAGTTTGTCTTCATGCATTCAACATTCAAACCCGTTAGTACAAAAACCAGGCTGGTTATTTCAAAAGCAGTTTCTGAAAAGGAAATGTTGGGGCAAAAAAATACACGCTCTCCTCGCTGTAATCTGTACAGAACCACGGCGCTCGCCCCCAACGAGCATCTCGCGTCCTATTTGCATCTCGGGAGAAAGCAGGACGACGCATCCGCACCGCGTTGCTGCATACGCACTCATACGTTTATGCACGAACACAGACTTGAAGTACCGGTCAAACAAACAAATAAAACAAACAAAAAAAATAATATTTAATTTTGGTCTACAAATATAAGACCTTTAGTCCCTTTTGCTAAAGTACAGCTACAGGGAAAGGATTCTGCCGCGACGCTGAACTGTGGCAGGCACTGACGGAAAACCTAAACCGGCATCGGCAGGCTCATCTTCCCTCTTCCTCGGAGAACTGCAAAAAAAAGAGAACAACTGTGAGAACGTACTCCATTTTTCCATACAGGCGAATGTACTCGGCGTGCGGCTTCCTCACCCCTCGTGACGTAAAGGTAAAAGAAGTCACAGTAGAAAATGGTCTGAACGACTCCGGACACGATGGCGATCTGGTCATAGAAGCCCTCGGTGTGGTAGCGCCACACCCAGTTGGCTATGTACAGCGCCCTGTAGAGGCCGAGGAAGAACAGGTAGTGGGTGGTGATGGACTCCGCCTCGCCCGTCTTGGTGATCATGAAGAGCTGCGGCATTATGGCAACGGACTCCAGGAAGATGGAGAAGGTCCACAAGATCTGGAGGGAGGATAGAGGAGAGGGACAGATGTCCGTTTCTACCTTCGCCACGTAAAAAAAACAGAAAAGAGTTTCAAGGATCTACGGACTCGCATTCGTTTACCTCGAGTGGAGTGAAGGCGTAGTTCTCCAGGAAGGACAGGCCGATCACCGGAACCAGCAAGAACTCCACTCTGAACGTGTCATTCTCTGAATCGTACGAGTTCCTGAAGCGCATATAGATCAAATACACTGTGGCGTAGGACAGAGCCAGAAACACCACCTGAGAACAGAGTCAAACAACGATCACAGAGACGATCTTCGACTCATCTCTTGCTGCTTTGCACAAAGCTACCTGCTTTGCTTCACCACTACGGAAAAGAGCTGCTCAACTCATTGAATCGCTAACATATGTGGTAGCTGATCATTCAAGTTCCATAAATTAAAACTCTGCGTCAGTCATTTATTAACCCAGTTCCCCAATTGTGGGAAATTGGCCAATACTTGCATAAGGAACCGATCTTCTCTATTGCTCTTATCTACCTCCACAAAGGTCTGAAAATCAGCCACTGTCTTCTTTCGCTCTTCCTCGAGAGTGAAAGAGGACAGTAACGGTGAGCACGTCACGTCTGCATCGGCAACAATAGTCAGCCCACCGTCGCCAACTCAGTCGTTGCATTTAGCAACCTTTTAAACCAAAATAAAATCAGTATCAGCCAAAAACTGGAAATCGGAATCAGCAGGTCAGGCTTCTTAACGATCAGTGATCGGCCAGAGAACTGCAATCATAGTGACGACATTTTCTGAAGCGCTAAATGTTGGGCCGTTCAACGTTTTAGACGTCGTATCGACATGTTGATGGAGACGTATGCGAGTGGGATGTAACTCTTGTAAAGCATGTTGTGTCCATCTTGTCCACCAAACCCACGTATGGACTTTGCTTCACTGCCCCCTCAAGGCTGCAGTCATCCCCATTTCCTATGCGCACTTCAGTCACACTCTTTTTCCATCCACTTAGCTTCACGTCCTTGGAGTCAACGCTCTATAAACGGCCAGCTTCTTCAGTCTCATCGTGTTGAGTGTCTGCTCTTCCCTGTGACGGTGAAGACCGTAACATTTTATTCTCTGTATTTTTTCCATTGGTCTCCTGCAGGTTTTTGTTCAATGAAGACAAATAAATGCTTGGGACACATCACAGTGTGTGCCATGTCTCACGCCGTTCTAATTTATTAAAATGACCCTGCAAATATAGATGTTCACAAAGGGGAAGTTACAAGGAGAACACTGTTACTTTTTTTTCTCCCCCCCACACCTAATATTTGGTAGAAAGCCCATCAGTTCTCCAACATACCTTCATGACTGTGTTGTAGGCTGAGATGTAGACTGTGAACAGGTCAAGGTACCTGGTGGTGAAAACAAGTGCAAACAGCACCTGAGACTTCCCAGAGATGCCTAGGAGAGAGAAGAAAGCTGGATTATGAGCAGCAGTGGGTAATGGTACCTCAGTGCTAATTATTAGCATCAACAGTCGATGCAATTGAGCTGGATGATAACCCCAGCGTGATAAAGTGGGCGGAGCGCTGTGGTTTGTTGACACTGCCACGTCGCCTTTACACGCATACAAGTAAACGCAACTGCAAGCATAACCGTGCAAAAAAAAAATGCAACCATTAAAATCAGTATTTGTGATGATGGCGGGCATGCAAACCATGGTCAAATGAAGCATTTACACTGCAAACACACACACACACAGCGACGCCGTGCAGTTACACAGCAGGAAATCAGATATTTCTGAGGTCGCTCACCGGCACAAGACTTGGACCTCCATATCTTCATCAGCAGGATGAGAATAGCCACCAAATGGGACACGTCACCTGCCAACCGAAAGACGTTCATGCTGTTGCTCGTGAAGTCCTCGCGGGCCTCCAAACTCCCACAACACTGACTTCTGAGTTGTTGACCCACGAAGGGGGAAAAATGAGCTCGGAGCAGATTAAGAGAGGAAAGAACGAGCTAGCAGCGTCGCAGTTGACGGTAGGCGGCTGTTGTTGGCCGCTTGTCTGAAAATATGCGCGTGTAAACAGATACAAATGTTGGTAGTTTCCCGAACAGACTTCTGGGCATGAGAGAGCAATGATGGTTCCAGAGGCGAGCTGAGGGGAGAGGAGGTGACGTGGCTGTCAAGCTAGCCCGATTAGAATCTGGCAGTTACGTCGTTTTCCGTCTGTGCTTTCAAAATAAAAGTGTTCACTCTTGGTTTAGATTTATCCCATGGAAAACAGCCAAGAAAAAAAAGGCATCAGACACGAGTTTCACTCGGAGACGAAAATATAAGTTGTCGCTTGTGGTAATTTCAAGCTAAATTCTCTGTGTGTTTTGTGCAGTGAAAGTGTAAGCTTTTAATTTGGAAGCGCATCGTTTTACACGGATTTCCGGTGTTGCTTTTTCTTACTGCGTGGAACTTAACAATCTAAAAGAAACGGGATTTTAAACCTGTAAATCCTTAATTAAGCAGCAGGTGGCGAGAAGCTGCCGCCAGGAAAATACAGGGACAAAAACATCTCTTATTCAAGCAATCAGATTAAAAACACATTTGGAAAATGACAAACTTTGACAGGTAGTTTTTGTTTTGGTTTGCTTGATTATATTCTAATTTTAAATGTCATGTTTCATGAACTGCAAGTGGAAAAATCACAATTAACAGAAATAAAGATGTTTTTGTGAGTAAATAATCTATATCACGTGTTTCACTTCGTAATAAAGTTCCGGAAATGGACGGACTTTTCAATAATATTCTACTTTATTGAATGGGTCTATAAACGCATTTATAAAATACTTCGTATGTATTTGGAGGACATTTTTAACACCAATTATTGTTTGAAAAAAAAACAGTATGTATGTAACAGTATTATTTTTTTTTTCTGTTTAAACATTTTTGTTCTTGCATTACTTGAAATATCTTGTATATATTTCAAATCTCTTTCTATATAAATAAGGATTTTATTTTATTTTTTTTACAAATGTTTATGTTTTCCCAGACAATTGAAAGCAACACATGTGTTGCAGAGGAAATCCCAGACAGAGCCGACCCATGTGCCATAATAACCGTGATCCAAGCAAAAGGTTATGGGAACTAATCTGACACTCAGGCCTGATTAGAAGCTATTTATACATACGCACAGCATGGTGAGTGTGCCTGACTGGTTGTGTTTTCCTCAGATGATGGCATGTGGGCACGTTGATTCGTCATATTTACATTTTTGCAGAAAACGATCTAGTCAGTTAGCTTTTAAACTTTTTAAGCTGGCTGTGACATTCCCCCTCAAACGCCCCCTCAATGAGGATTGTGGATATGTTTGAAGCTGCCTTGTACAAAACACTCTACAATCAGAAATATAAGCATTTGTAATTATTATAGTGGAATTTTATGCAACGGATCAACACAAAGTTCAGGTTGTGGAAGGGAAAAAAAGCTGCTGTACTAAAAACGCTCAACCATTTCACTCAATCTTCTGGAGTATGTTTCTATCATCTACACATGGGCGTGTCTCAGGACATGGACCACATCTGGTCACTGAAGTGGATGTTCTACAGTCCGGGCCAGAGCCAGAACCAAAGAGCTCCAGCACATTTCGTCAGCTGTTTTTCCTGTTGTATCTGCTGTCAATGGTTGCTAGAAATGACAAACATTTTGTTGTTGATTTACCATCCAGAAACCACCTGGTGCATCCTTGTTGGTTGTGCAGGAGGCACCACCTCTGCTTTTCAAAGATGCCTGGTTGTATAATTGATGTTTGTAGCCTGTTTCAAGGATGTGAGTAAATGTTAAGTTTACAGTAGCAACTTTTTTTTTTTTTTTTTTGCTTTTTTATTAAATTCATGATCTTCAGCAGGAATCTAGCTGAAGTGACACATTTTCTTGTCTTTCCCACTTTGAAGCACGCATAGAAGGCCTCGGTTTTATGTGAAAACATGGAGCCACACACTACTGAGTGAAAGTTTGCAAACACAGCAATCAACTAAAAAAAAAGTTTATTACAAATTATGAGAAAATATTTAGGTCAATTCATTTTACGGAGTTTGCAAGAAGAGATAAGGCTGACAGAGAGCATTTTATCCACAGAAGAAATGCTCTTCTACAATAAAGAATGTTTTTTCTTCCCCCACATCTTTATCAGGGGTGCCAGTAAGTAAGACGGATGCTCAGGCAGGGAGAAAGCACCTGATCGTCTTCTTTTCCTCTCCGTCTCCCCCTCCCATCATGCCCCGCACTGATTGACGCAGCACTTTCAGTCTGTTCTGCGAGTTCACACAGCACAGTGGAGCAGACGGGATTACAATCAGTGAAGGAGGGAGAGGAGGACAATGAAGGATTAAAAAGACAAACACAGCTGGGATGAAATAAGAGATATGCAACAAACGTGAAACTAAAAGAAGAAACTGAAAAACTGGGGGAATAAAGAAAAATTACTTTAAAAAAAAAAAAGGAACATGGGAGCATCGGCGTGAAAAGTGAACGCCTGAACAAGGAGGATAAAACATAACCAAGCAACACAACAACCGTGGGGTGAGTAGAGATTTTGATCAATTCACAGTCTTTATTTTTTGATCATCAGAAGATATGCACATGAGGAAACTTGTGTTTTCCTTCAAATGTCTGCATTTCAGCAAATTGTTCACACTTTATAAGCTCAAGCAGAAGATGTTGGAGTGCCTGGGTTTTGTTCGGAGTGAAGCCGGTGCCTCTGCCACCTTCAGAAAAAGAAAAAGAGAGGAAAGAAAAATTCAGTCTTATCATTAACTAAATCTGAAAAAAAGGGGAAAAGAAATCACTGTTATTATTATTATGAGATAAAAAGTGGTCGAATTTAGAAATGTTTAGAAATGTTAAAAATGACATGAATGAGCAGTTTTTACTGCAAAGAGTTACTGGTCTAAAATCAACAAAATGAACTTAGTTAAGTTGATTGAATCTACATGTTTATTTCAAAAAGGTTTTTTAGCTCTCTAACTGCTCCCAAAAAGGTTGAGAAACATGACATAGACCCACACTGTCACACGAGGGATAAAAACTCAAGAGGAGGAAAGTTTGTTGTCCATAAAAAAAGCAACTAAACAGGTGTTGTTGTTTCCTAAGTTTTTCTGTCCTGGAAAAATGTCTGATAACCTATTTGCATAATTATGATCATACATTAATGTGTCTGAGCTACTGCTGGCCACTGTGCCAAATAAATTAGGAAACATGACACTAATTATTAATGTGCCAATCTCTCTGAGTTCCACTAATTTTAAGAGGAGCAATCGGAGCAACACAAATGGAAAGGCAATTTTCTATTTAAAGCCACTCAGGAAACCTTTGTTCTATAACTTGCCACTAAATGTGTCATGTAATAATTCAAACCTTTTCCAAGACAGTGACTTCATTTCCTCCTTTTAATGACCTGCATAAAGTCTACTTTGCATAATTGCTTCTCTAAATGCCATATGGCAGCAATGCCCCCATCAGGGCATGAAACTCTGCTGTCCATACTGTGAGAGTCATGCTTTTGTCTTTTCTTTTCTTTTTTTTTTTTGGAAACCAGATGTCCACTTCTGTCACCAAGTACTTTAGTGTTTTTGACAAACCAAAAAAGAATATTTAGTTGAAAAACCTCTACACTGGTAGGAAGTTCTCCATCTTTAAGGTCTTTAAGGAATTCTAATGGCTGTTTTTTATTTATTTTATTAAATTTTTTTGTTGTGCAAATTTTTGTTTACAAAAGTTCAGATTGCACGAATGCTGTTTATTGACGTCAACCTTTTAAGCCTTGTCCCAGATTTTTGATCGGACTGAGGCCTGGACATTGACTGAGCCATTTAAACACATGATTAAAAATGTCAACCTGGTATAATAATTCCTTAGAGACTTGCTTCTGTGACCACAGTAAAAGATGGCTGTGGAAAGGGTTCCTTTAAGCGCGCTGAATACAATACATGCCACACTTTTCAAATTTATGCGTGTTAGAAAAATTAAAACAATCCTTCAATCCTTTTCTTCTCATTACAGCATTACGTACCATTTAGTGTTGGCTCGACACAACAAATCCCGATTTTAAAACACAATTATAGTGAAATGTGAGACGCTATAAGAAAAACGTGAAATGTTTGTTTGTGGGGGTTTTTCTTTTAGCTTAAATTTCATCTAAATGCAAAACTGATCTGAACTTCATTGAAGAATGTTAAATGTTACACGCGTGCTGCTGCTTTACCCCATCTACATTTTGCAAACCACAAAGAGACGTCCCCCAGAGCGAGGCGCTGTGAGGAGATAATCCTGTCTTCACTCTGTTTGTGCAGAAGACAAGGTCAAAGGAGTTCACAGAGCCTTGGTATATTTGATATGATTGGATCAAAATGAAATCTAAATCCAGATTTTAGTTCACTGATTGAAATACCCGGGCAAGCCTGCAAGGAGACGCGGAAACCCAGCATCCGACAAAAAGTCGAATGTTGCAACTAGCAATCACGCGACTGCAAGTTGCAATCACCTAGCAATTCCTTACAATTCCACTTAATTGTGGGTTTTCTCCCATTGAAGTGGATTCCTATAGAAGAATGTCAACCAGACCAATCAGAAAACAGAAGAAGTTGTGAATGATGACGGCGTTTTTCTGTGCTGTTTTAATATTGTAGTCTGCTGTAGTTTATCAGTGACAGTGGAGGAAGGAATCGAGGCAGTTCAGTCCGCGTTGGCCATGCTTTCAAGTATTGATAACAATAAGAGGTGTGTTGTTTGGCTTGGGCCTTTTATTTTCGCAGTGGAGGGCGGTTGTTTTCATCTTAAGCTTCATAGTGTCAAGCTGGAGCATTACATACGTCACGGACAAATGTTAGTGACTGAGTGAAGTTTCAAACTTCAACAGAGGAACAAACGTTTCCCAATAACCAACCTACAACCAGACCCTCTTTACAAAGCAAAGTGCAGAACAAGGAGCTGGTTTTCACCAAGCTCCATTGCAGCTATTCTGATTCTGAATCTCATTCACATTTTGCTTTTGTTTAGGTTCCTAAGCTCTTTGGTGGCTCTTCAGATGCACCACATCAGCCACGGAGACCTAAAGTCTGGGGGCACAGTGCAGTCTGTCGTCCCACCGCGGCCCATTCACAGCAATGACAGGTGCCATGGGAAGTAGATCCAA